CTGAGGGAATATGAAATATAATTAGCATGCTCTTGAATTTCGTTTCGTGAGATGGTTGATTATACATGGGACCAGGGAGAGTAAGATTTCATGGGGAGGTGGAGGTTTCGTTCGAGTACGTAACATGTTGTCGTCTCGCCTTATTATAGACATTTATGCCTTGTTCTGGATGATTTGTGAGTGGCTGTAGATGTTTTTGAGGTGGTTTTAGATGATTGTAGGTGGTTCTAGGTGGTTTAGGTGTTTTTAGGTCGTTCCATGTTTTAGTGCTTACGACAAAATATAACCATGTGCGTTCGACAGCTTGAGCCAAAGTTAAAATAAAAAAATATTGTAAAATGAATATTACATTCATTAATTGAATCCAGTGTTATGGATATGAAATGAATAAATATTTCATAGATAAAAAACTGCTGGCTGAGTCTTCAATCAAAAGGGAAAGCCGATCGCTAAGGACGTGCATCTAACAGCCTCCTTGTCACGACGCGACTCTTACCTTGATATCCGGCCCTTCATCTCGCCTTGTAGCGGCAATCCATTTCGATTTCAATAAATCAGTCGAAGGAAAGTTGAAGAGAGATAAATTTTCACCACTTTTATCGCATTTGTCGTTACTACAGAACTTAACGCACAATAATCGTGAGCCATGCTTGCCTGTAATCTCCACTCAAATCACTGTAATGTAGCACAACCCAAATACCCGACCAGCCTCGATTTGGTGCGCTACGCAATCCAAGATTGCGCTGCGAGATAAAGGTCTAATGAAAAGGCTTAGGTTGCTGATACATCAAATCGAATCGTCTTACTCGGGCTTTCCGAAGGAAACGCCAGAGCTGAAATTCCGGCTTCATTGTTTCTTTCGTTCTGTCGCAAATCGCAGTCAAATCCTCATCACGCATGCGAAACCTTCTGACTCAGACTCTTGCGCGACGTTTTGACTAGTGAGCACATGGCATGGTGTAATGGCTGACGAAGAGGAGCTTTCGCGGTGCGAAATCAGCACAGACACTGTGTGTGATACGCGCAAAACGCATACAAAATATGCACACGTCGTTCGCAGTAGACCCACACTAAAAGATATCGAGCGTTTTCGGAACGAGTCGGTCCGCGAACCTTATGATATATCTCTTTAGGAGCGCACATTTATGAGTGAACCTTTCATGGAGAAACATACTATATCAACTGAGCTACCTAATGCATAGACGCAAATCTCATTGTGTATGTAGACGTGATCGTGAACCAAGCAGAATACCAATACGAAGTTTGAAAAGGTTAAGGAACAAGAGCAGAGAGGTTAGAAAACTTGTATATGCACGTATTCTCTCATGTATCCCCATGTCATCTACGTTGTACTGTTATGTTAATGCTAAAAAGCTATTTAATAAAAGGACTGTGAAGTTTAACTGTCGAGAAAGAATTCGTTAAAGTATAAGAAAGGTAAAATATCGTGCCAGTCGATATTTAACATTGTTTTCTTATAACAAACTGATGTGTTCTTGCAACAATGAGGCTCATGTAGCAAATTATTGCAGCTACAAATTAAGTAGGGACAGAGAAAAACTTCAGGCCCTTCAACATAAGTTGACCCTAACAAAACAATAGTAGCTACATTTATAGTCAAGGTAACAAATTAGTTTTTGGACAGAATGCAGGACAACAATGTGTTGTAATGAGTTTCTGTTCTTTGATTTACAACAACACACAAGGGATCAGCTCTGCAAATGATCTTATACAATTAATGAATATTGGAAATCAGCTCTGTTCAAGTTTGTCATGATTAGACAGACAGGCTTATTTAATGCAGTCAGAATTACCAACAGCACTAAATGTGTCTGATACTGATTATCCACTGGAATACAATGAAAGGTCTCTGGTACTGTTCACCAAGAAATTGCTATAGAGGGATATCAGTACTGTAAGTCTTTACAAGAGCCTTTGAGTCGCTCATATCTGAAAGCTACACCAACTTCATATTAACAGTAGGGTGTATTGCTGTTGCAACCTATTGTAATAGTAATATGGGGTTCAAAATATTTGATTCTCATGCTAGAGATTCGTCTGGTAAAGGGCAGCCTTAAGGTACATGTGTTCTTCTTGAAGTACCGTCTCTTGATAGTTTAGTGCATTATTTTCAGAGTACACATAACAATGATATATTTTTTGAGGTGAGAGGAGTACAAATTGAGAATGTACAAAATAGGATGGTTTCTCAAAACAGTCTGAATGAAACCATAAACTTTAATCTAAGTTGTGCTGTAGCTCTATACTCTCTCTCGCTACTCTATAATGAAACTATGTAATTACTGGAATTACAACTCATCCTTACCAACCATTGTTGACAGCAGCAAAAAGATGTGTCGTAAATCAAGTTTAGAACACAACCAGCTATCACCAGCTAATCTTCCAAGAACTGTTAGATGTTTGTGGAACTGAAGAAAATTTGGATAATTTGTTTGAGAGTGAAGGACTGTTTACTGATTCACTTTAAAGCAAGTCAATTCTTGGGAATGAAATAATAAATATTAGTGAATGAAAAGGGTTTTTGATATATTTTCTTCATACTGCATCAGTTTTATCTTTAGACCCACAAAAAGATCAAAATGCATGTATTCTCTCCTGCTCTAATGAAAGAGACACATCCCCTCTTCAGTACACAAAAAACAAAAATGGAACAGCTTCACTTGTTGATACCATTAGAAAATTACAAGATAAAAATATAACACTCCAGGGCAATACAGAATACTGTTTGCTACATGTTCTCTGATTTTTTTTGTTCATTCTATTAACTGTCACAAACTTAATAGTCATTTTTTATTCAAGAGCAAATGAAAATAGTGGTAATTGATTAGAGTGATTTCAATAAGCCTGGGTACTGGTGATGAATTATAATAATGTTATTAGATTCTAAATGCTTTGTGACCTTTTGTTTTTTACATCTATAGAGTGATATTCATTTTCCCATGAAATAAAGAAATGACTATTTAGTTTGTAGTAGTTAATAGAGAACCAAAGAGAAAAAATTCAATGTACACCACTAACTGTTAATTACCCCATTCTTTCACGGAAAATTAAAATTACTCTAAACACTAACAGTCAATTAGTACTCACCAGGTTTAGTGAAACCACTCTGACCGATAAACCAGAATGTATTAACTAAAGTATACTAGCCCAGTAACTCCAAATGGAAACAAACAAACTGGGAGGTAATAGTAAAAATATGCTAAAGTATATTTTACACACTAATGAGAACCACTCCAACAACCCCATAAAATTAATAGTTCATCTGGTAGTAACTTTTTGTTTTCTTTTGGTTAAGAGTCATCACCTTAGCACTTAGGGCTGTTCATAATTAAAAGCTATCTCAGCCTGAAACTTTTTTCAACAAAGAAAAAGAAAACATAAGAAGACAGTCTGTTTGGCAAAAGACTTACCTCACTACAACCTTCAACCTCCAAAACAAAATTTAATTTGAGTATCTATTATGAGACACTATTTTTATTAATATAATTTTTTCGAGTATTACTCGAAAAAAGTATAATGATAAAAATAGTGTCTAGTAATAAATATTGAAATAGTAGCCAATTATATACAGCACTACCTTCCCCCACCCCACCCCACTCCAGAGAAGGGTCTTCACACTATATAACAAATGCCTTTTTCAGCTCTGTATAAATATGTGAGAAACCTGCATCTCTGGCATACCAAGAGAGAAAACAGTTACAGGATAAACCAATAACTGTATAAAACACTTAGGCAAATTCAAGCACAAAAAGCAAAGTTTATTTCCAACAGAAAGCCCGGGTGAATACCAACATGCGTCTAGTGTAACTTAACTTAGGAGACGTAAAGATATTCATCTGTGTTCCAATACGTGTCAGCAAACACCATGGGATGAGATTTACAAAAGTCAGTGCAGACTTACAACAGACTGAATCGAGATTTGAAACAACTAAAACGAGGGCAGGAATTGGAAAACAGGAATGCGAGGTAAAATTAACGGTTTCATTTCTGGGTATAATAATAGCTAGGGCTTTAGCTTTGCCCAATATCCTCCTTGCAGCTGTTAATGTCTTCCTCAAATAGGAAAAAGAAATTCACTTTAACTTCAAAAAGGCGACTCAAAATATATTTATACAGAGAGCAGCCCATATTCTAAATTCAGACACATGGTAATTCCCTTTCAGCTTTTGATGCTATTGAGTCGCTTCTGGCATGAAGTCAAAACAATTATCGACACCACGTGTCATTAACATATTTCCCGTTTTCCGAGAAACGCTAATTTTAGCCTGTGTCACGAAATAACTGGCCAATTTCCAGCTTTGTATTGCAGTTTGAGATGTACTGTATACACATCGTCGGTAGGGGAAGTGAGGAATACACGTAATACTTAGAATATAGAGGAACTTAATAATGTTTGCTAGAATTGTCGGAGGAAGAAGTTGGGTGCGCTGTATAAAAAAAAAGACCTAAAAAAAATTGATGATGAATGAAAACAATTTAGAAATAGAGCACAGATAAAGCTTCCCCTACATTGAAACGGACTTTGCAAAGTTGAAAATTCTCAGATCAAGTTTTCGCTAGCGCGCCTGACCCTAAATACACAAACAGTATCGACAACCACTCCATAAGCCCCACTCTCTTATATGGAACCCGTCGAGAGCTTCAAGTTTATAATAATCCTCCCTTCTCATATCTCCTCCTCTTCACTTCTCCACTCGCTTTCGAAACTCTGAATAAAAGTTTTAAAGTGTTATTTGTTTGGACTGTGCAGAATCGCAGTGCGAAATTTTCTACTAGGGGGAGCTTCTCTAACTAGTTCCCGTTTTATAATTGGTAGGTTTACAAACAAATAATTTCTTACGGCAAATGATATTCATAAAATCTGGGAGAAATTTCGAAGAAAAATATTTGGGATAGAATGAGTTCCCCACGATTGGCTGACGGCCTTTTCTCGGAAACATGAATTTTTTTGCTTATAAACAAAATAAATAACGAATCAATGTTACTTTGGTTAAAAGCTTGAAGGGTATCTTATTTTCAGTTAATAACTACGTCTTTACTATCAAATTCCAAACCATACCATTCTAAAATTGGATTGAGGGAGAAAACGGTTCCATACGCTGCCAACGAGAAGCAACCGCCATGATGTTTTCAGGTATTTTTCTGATGTCCCTGTGGCCCTCAGGTAGGTTGAACATGCGACCGTTTTTACATTTAAATGATTCAATCTTGGCTGATTGATGAAGATAATCTTAAAGACAACTCATTAGTTTCACTGAGAACATAGAGAAAAGGGTGAAAAGTATGTATACGTATGTATACGTTTAATAAACACGGTAACCGGGGAAGCAAAACTGTTATACTGGACTTACGCCTACGCAACTCACGAAATATTAAAGTCAAAGCTGTAATTTAATGTCTTGCTGGCGTAATTTAAGCGCGAAACACGGAATCAAAATCAACTGATGGATGATGTACAGAAATATTAAGAGAGTTGAGGACCTTATTCTATTTCGATTCAGGGTAACCATCTGCTAGTTTGAAGGTGAAAGTAACGAGAGTATTCAGTGTTCTCTCCGAAGCAGATACAAGCAAATCGTATATCTTGGTCAAGTCTGGATACATTTTGAATTGTCCACTCCATGAGACCCACTGTAGAAACATAAAAAACTGAGACAGCTACGGCTTTTAAAAAAAGAAACTGACTGAGCGCTATGTATTACATCTTTGAAGCGGGTGGTAGCTGTGCTTGTGGCAGAAATCTGCCACAAGACGTGTCATGAATTATCAAACGGAGATTATTCCTCACGAAATAATTTCAACATTCCCTTTTGTTGCTACCGAAAAAATATGCAAATACTCAAGAACGAAATCCAAACTTAAATTCTGAGAACTACCCATATCATTTCCTCCCAGAAAGCTGTTTACAAACATCCTGTATTTCTGAGAACTGTTGCGGAACAAAATGTGCATATCATTAAATGTCTCTATATGAAAGGGGTCAATCTGTTGAAAAATCAGGAATCTTGGAACCACAAAGGAGATGGAATAGGCGAAAACAGTGAAAACGCAGTAGCCCAATTTCGATATATTTCAGCGTGAGAGCTGGTAGTGAAACTTCAACACCGAAGCGAGGCTCCGTGGAACAAAATTCATTTGAATCGAGCTTTGGTTGCTTTTAACTTCGAGGTTAAACTGCTTTCTTGGATGATTATCGTTTTTTCAGTATAAAGTCGTAGTTTCTTCGAGTTAACAGTAAATCGAAATAATCATCGTGGACATGGCCACGTCGGAAGAAGAGGGTGAGAGGAATCTACAATACTTCAGCGTCAAAAGTTGCCTTGGTTGCGAACCTTCCTTCAAGAAAGAGGGTTACAAAAATCCTTGGAAGGAAAGTGCAAAGAAAGGCCGAGTTGGTTGAGCTGGCGTTTAAGGAGCAACTTCAGAATACCCGGCCACTCATTTACATGTCACATTTACCTATCAGGTTCAACCAACAGAAAGATCAAAGACGGTATCCAGAAAGGACAGCTATAATGGTATCATTATTTTAAAAAATAACGGTGCAATACGAGGTGCATTTTGCCCATGTCAAGGAGGGTAAGTACATGCACATTATGTTTTTTTTATTCTTTCTAAACATCTTTCAATGCTAAAACATTTCATCCTATGGATTTATGTTTTTTTAGTATTTAAGTTGAGTGTAAGGGAAATAGTATCAAAAGATACTTAAAAAGCTACTAGAGGTAACAAAAGTTCTAACAGGTACAACAACTGTAAAGAAAATGTCCCGTAACATAATTTTACTGAATATGTGCCAGTTATGATCTATTACAAAAATGGTGATACATGTAATAATACTTTTTTCCTTATCTGAGACCTGTTCAGATTTTCTCAGAGTAACAGAGAATTTTACAGAATAGTCTAGCCATCAAATTGCCTATTACCTCTCTATTTCTGGCCAAGTGTAGACTGTTCAGTTTTGAATTAATATTTATTTTAATAGCCCTTTTATTAATCTACATTGTAGGGCTGATGGGACATGTAGGCATGTAGGCATGCACTGGTATTTGACATTGAAAATACTGTGCATAATAACCTGCAGCAGTCGTCAACTTCAAAAGAGTGCAATTGGAAATGAAGAGCCAAATGAAATGAAAAATCTTGCTCTCTTGAAAATTTGATAATATTGAAGGCTGAGTATGGCAAAACTGACAAGGAAACACTTAAGCCAACAGTTTTTGATCCAAGGTCAACTGAACTTGACCCTGTGTCATTTATGGATCAACTCAAAGCTGGTTTACAGGAACATGCATCATCTGCAGTCATTCTTCAAATACTTCCACAGGTACCTGTGGAAGTAACTGAAGAAGAAGTTTTGGAAATCGTTTCAAATGGCCAGTGTCTTGATCATGAAGAGGAAATGGTTGCTGTTGAAGTAAATACAATTTCTGAACTTTGAGATGTATTTCTCTTATGATAATCAAAAGGATTAGACAGCAGCAAAACCTTAGATGTTACTGAAGAAATATGTCATGAATTTCTATCATTTATTAAAATTGACCAGTATCGAGCAGATATGATTTTTAAAAAGACCAAGTTGCAAGGGGACTGTGACTTTTAGAAAGAACAACAGTGGCAGAATTACTGGCTCAAATTTCTATAAGATTTGTCATATAAAGAAAAGTACCAGCCCAGACAATATTCTTAAAGACCTACTGGGATATTGCCCTCTTCCCTCTGAAGGCAGCCAATACAATTTGCATGGGGACATGAGAAAGAAGAATCAGCTGTGGACCTCTACTGCAAAAAAACTGAAAAAGGTTCACAGGGAGCTGCATGTTGTTGAAACTGGCCTCATAATTGACCTTGAGTTTTCCCATTTAGGTTCTAGCCCTGATATAATACGAGTCTGCCAGTGCTGTGGGAAATGAGTGGTGAAAGTGAAAAGCTTGTATTCTCTTTTGTTGAATTTTGTACAATATTAACAGAAGCACCCTTTGAAATTGTGGACATTCCTAGAAGCTTTATCAATTGGTCTTAGATGTCATAATTGTTCTTACCATAACATGCTATATTGTATGTATTTTGTATGTAGTTTACAATGAAATTATTTCTCTTTAGTTACGGTTATGAAATAGATCACATTTGATACATATTTTTAACTGAAAAGGCTGAGGAATAGTGCAAAGGTAACCAGCAATACTGAGATTGTGGACTTGTTTGTTTGCTTGCTTTGTTTTGTTTTGTTTGTTCTCCTCTTAGCTTGAAAGCCAAGCTGAAATTTTAATAATTAAAAGTCACGAAATCACGCTAAATCACGAAAACATATATATTTCTCTGTTCATTTTGCTAGTGTTGGTAATAGATTGCAAATGGCAGCACAAATGATCACAAGCTAGTTAGCTAATCTCACCATTGAGAGTGGCATGTTGCGTTGAAAGATTTGGAAGTTTTTCAATCTTTTGATTCCACATTCAACATGTATTCTGACTTTGGCAATGCTTGATGTTGTTGCCCTTGCTTTTCTGTACAGCTGTTTCCTTGTGAAACAACAAAATAAAAAAAACTTAAATGTAAGAAATTAAAATAATGACAATATGACTAACAGTTCACCAGGTAATTGTGCACATTTGCTGCTGGAAATGTAAACAAGGTAGTGGCTTGTGTTTAAGGGGGGTTCAGGGTTAGTTAACAAGGGAAGTTTTTTTTTCTGCTAGTATGGTACGTAAAAAATTTGCAAACCTACCCTTAGAAAAGGGAGGGATGTTAAGTTTCACCCCTCTTCTTGTCAGGTCTCCTATGTTGAATCCCCTATCTGCCATTAAATGGTCACCCTTCTCAAGAAGATCAATGAGACCACTCTCCTGGACAATCGTCTTCCTGACCACAGTTTCAAGATGAAAGTAAAAGCTCCACAAGGTGCAATTGCGACCAATTTAAGTGTATTATATTGTTTGCACTCACTCCATGAGGCCTTCTGTGCTCATGGGGATGTGGGCTTCTCAGTGAAAAACTCAGTTGCATCAATGATCACTCTTGTGTCAGGGTGTTTTTTTGAAAGAATTTGGAAACTGTCGCTTGACCTCTTCACGGGCTAGCCAGCGAAGTAGGGTACCATCAAAAACTTTTGCTAGCAAGCATACCCACATTGTCACAATCTTACAAACCCAAACGCAGTCCGCAAAGTACCAAGAGACACTCTTCTTTCTCAGAAAGATGTCACTGTCTTCCAGACTCTTTTTTAGACACGTCATTCTGATGGTATGACTTACCATTCTTCTTTTTGTCCCAGTATTTAATTTTTTTATGTAGGGTTGAATTCACCCTAAGGTTGAAACAAGCAAGGTGTGGTAAGCCTATAAAAATTTAACAGATTCATTATCCTTGATCATGTCTTCAGTGTTAAGTTCTCTTTTAAGATCCTTTTGGTTTTCAAGTTTTTCGCTAAAAATCTTATTCTTCCTCCTGCACTCTTCCAGTTCAGATACTAAGTAGTCTATTTCGTCAGCTGTCAAGTCTGTTTGACATGCCGTAGAACATTTCCCTTTCGGAAGAAAAGTATCAAAACCGTTCGTGTTTCTTTTCGGTATTGCCTGTTCCTGACTGCAGAAGTACGACTGATCGTGGTTTACTGAAGTCGCATCAGCACTAAAATCCCCGCGAGTCTCTATGGAGTCCTTAACATCGAGATTTCTGGGACGAACCTTCCTGGCTTGCGGTTGTTCATTACACTGTCTCTTCCTATCGGCAAGACGCTTCGAACGCGAACTAACAGTATTTATAGATTTCGTTGGGTCAAAGATAGTCGAATAGCAGTCTGAACGTGCACTTTTTCGAAATTTCGATGTTGCTTTCCTTAAAATGCTGTGAACAGATTCTTGGATCACCGAGTGTCTTGAATTTTTCATGTGCTCGCTTACAGAAAACCTCCCACTTCTTACCCTCATTGGGCCTTGTAGGAAAGCAAAAGTAACTTAGATTCAGTCTTTTCTTATTCCCATTACGGCAAAGAGCAAAAGCACAATACTTGATAATGATACATGCGAAAATAACTGCAATGGACCAAAAAAAAAAAAAACGCCGAGAATTCCCGATTTATCAAACGCACATGGCTTTCCTTGCAGTATATGCAGTGGTGCGTTTGTTTTCATTATTCGCGCCGTATTCCCCAGAGCCTCCCTTCGGTGTTGGAGTTTCGTCACCAGTCTATCATGCTGAAATATATCGAAATTGCATTGGGTTATTACGATTGCAAAACTGCTACATATAAGCATAACGTATTATTCAAAAAGCAATTTCTATAGAGGGGAGAGAACTTGGATTGGTGAAATAAACATTAATGACATAAGGGAATACAGAACAAGGCTTCAACCAGTCTATTGAAAGAGTTATTAAACAGCTCACATGATCACTTTTGAGTCTGTCTTTATGCGACATTTCATATTCTTTTCGCTCAATTTTCTCGCGACGATTTTGTAGCATTGTGCCAAGGAAGTTATCCCAAAATTGTTTCTGGACCAAGTGATCCTCTGATTGTCCATAGCGAAGACAAAGTTACGTTTAATTGGACGCTTGGGTTACCCCCCTCAGAGACATGGAGCAGTAGCATATTCGAGGTGATGTTTGGAATCTGGAAAGATCCAGGATTCCTGAAAACAAAACTCTTGGTCATCGATAGACATGGTGAGGTACTGATAAGACCAAACTATGAGAAGAAAATTAGCTGCGACTTTAACATGTCCAAGCTTCAAGTTGCATTCATACTCCATAATTTAACCATGAAGGACGAGAATCATTACTGTCTTCAGGTTGAGCTTGGCCTTCATCAGCCTCCATTGACGGATCCTGTGATGCTACTTCTTGAGGGTAATACATTTGTTACATTTCATTTGCACAGGGATGCCACACGCCTGGAAGTGGGGTGTACCTAGGTAAATGTGTTCTGGGTAGGTGCCGCTGGCCACTAAGAGACTCTTGCCCATAGTCATTTAGCGGCCAATTATGGACCCCAACTTAGCCACTTTTAAGAAAATGTAACTTTCGCGATCCCAGTTTTGTATCTACCTTATAAAGCCTTTTAAGGAGGTCATTATAACATAAATTGACACATATCCTCACTTACCAGAATCTTCTCACCCCTAAAATTCCAGAAATGCGCGACCCTATTCTAATGACTATTAAAAATATCACCCAGTTTTGGTCAATCGAGTCGTGACAATGTGAGTCCATCCCGCGGCACATTCCCATTAGCTTATAGCTAGAAAGTGCTCCTCCCCCCTCCCCCCCCCAGGAGCCACAGATTGCTCCCTCATCCTATCACATCATCGTCTCCTGGCTGCAAAGTGCATGGATTTTGCCATGACTTTATAGACATACGTTCTTCCTTGATTCACATATGCAAATGAAAATATCTACTCGTTTGACCAATATTAGAGAGAAATCTTAAATTGGTCTCAATTACCTTCTAGATCTGTTGTATTAACGATGTGAAGCCTTACACAGAACTTACGATGTAAAATACGTACAAGGTGTGGTCAGTCACAAACGAGACAAAAAATTGGCTTTCCTTCTCTGAGATTCATTTCTGATTTAGAAAAACCTAAACCTCAAATATCTAAACAGGTCCTCCTAAGATAACCAGTCCCAAACAGGAAAACTTTTCCGTGAACATTGGAAACAACTTGCAAATAAACAGCCAAGCAAAGGGTCTTCCTGCACCGACCATAATATGGACGAAACAGGGGCGAATTGTTGGTAATGATACATTGGTTCTAAATGGAGTAACGCTAAACGACAGCGGAGTCTACCTGTGCAGAGCTTACAACCAGGTTGGTGAAGACCATAAAGAGATTGTGGTTACAGTTTTGGAGCATAATTATGGATCACGAAAGCTAACAGGTAATTTGTTTGTCGAATTAAATACACATGAACTAGATTGCTGATGCAGATACTTATGTTACTGATTGAATTTTCATTTCCAGAGCGTTTCAGAGGCGCGCCCTGTGTTAAGCGATTTAAAAATAGCAAACACTCCCCCACCAGAAGCCCAATGGGATCGTTACCTATTCAAGTAGTTAGTTTCTCTGATTTTTTAAGCCAAGGATCTCCTTCGCGCAAGTCATGTTATCAACCACATCATTGTCCCTGTAATCTTAAGCAGTTCACGTTACTCTATCAAGATCTTACAATTTGATATCTTCTTCTAGTATCGTTCACTGGTTCGATTAGCTTTTTTATACGTTAAAAAAAAGTTTTCAATTTTCTGAATTGGCCAAGCCACTCGTCCGCAAGTTAATTACAGACAGATTGATAACCGAAGTGGCCTCTCCTGGCCTGTCCTCCAGTATTTCAGGTCTCATGCTGTTAAATTTGTATAAATATCACTTGAACTGATGTTGCTCATAAACGATGACGACGATTAAAGTGTTTTTCTAACTTTTTTTCCAGTTCCTCATATGCCAACACAAACATCACATGATAGAGGAAGCCCTGTGTGGTTATTCCCAGTAGTCATAGGTGTGTCAGTTTTTTCAATAGCCGCAGTGGTCGTCTTTCGCTCGCGTGCGCACCATTGCAAAAGGAATCTCGCTTATGAGCAGCACATTGATGAATAAGCATTAGGTGAGCACTCCACAACTGCCAAGATCGAGCCTAGAGCCAATGAGGAGGCTTCGGGTTAGTGACTTAAAGACAATAGAACGGCGGGCAAACAGGAAACAGAGTATACCTTGATCATACTCTATCATGAAATGCACCATTTGCTGGTATACCGAAATGATAGCAAAAGCAGCGATACAATTTCTCCAATTTTTTCTCTTTCTTAGCTACCTGCCGGTTTCTACTCTAAGCCTCTAAATTGTCTCCACTGACCCGATAGTTCTCATAAGTTATAAATAAAACTTGCGTTATTGTAGTACAATGTAAGTCTGCTTTCAAATAACTTCTAAGGAAAAAAAGAAAACTTTAAAACAGATCAATTCTTGTTATTGACGAGAGAGAATTTTCTCATGGAGAAAATGAGAAATGAGTTACTTCGACAAAAACCATCTATTAGTCTTTGAATAACAATCTGACGCACCCATTTGATGAGTGCATCGGTACTCAAAATCCTTTGTTTTACAACGTTAGTTCGGAGCACAACCCAATCACTGAAAAAAATTCCAAGAACTTGCAACTGAAGAGTTTGTTACCGTAAGTGGCACGGAATGGCTTCGTAGGAGAGAACTTTTTTAAAAATTGAAACCTATGATCTGGCCTAATGTTAGTAAATACAGCAAGAATGCAATTTGCTGCGCTATATGTATAAATATTCTTGTTTCAAAAGTAACACTTTTCAACGACACGTTTCCTCGTATAAGATGCAAAACATTTGCCTTTTTAGCATGGTCGATTGTACTAAATGGTAGACAATGGATTCCGTACAAAACTATCAAAGCAACTTAATCAAATGTAATGTGCCTTTTCGGCTCTTTTAGAAATGTTTATGAGCTCAATCCTGTCGTTTCAGTGGACCATCACGAAAACGGAAAGAGCCTTTAAAGCAATAAAGGAAGCTACATGCAGGTCAATTACAATATCATTTGGCCCGACAACCAACCCTTGTAATAATCTCCATTTTAATTAATAAACACTACCAAGATAAAGTCTGGTTTGCTTTTAGCTTTTGCCATAAACACAGGATAGGAGTCGCATACGGTTCAGAAGAATGCGGAAGCATTTATCTGTGGGTGAGAGAATCATAAAAATGTGTGAAGCCTTACCAAAAACACATCAAAATTCGCTGAAGAGACGCCAAAATAAGTTTTAACCCTTTAACTCCCAGGAGTGGACAAGACAAAATTTCTCCTTACAATATCAATACGATGTCAACTAGACAAGTGATGAAAATAAAGAAAACTATCAATTTGGGGATAATGAGTTGATCCAATACGAAATTCTCTGAACTGTTATTATAAGAACTGTATGGTTGACGGTAAGGAGAATTACAAATTTGGTCTGGGAGTTAATAGGTCACTAACTTTTCTCTGTCTCCATCTAAATCAAGCTCCTGCTGCTAAACCCTTTAACTCCCATGAGTGACCAAGACAGAATTTCTCCTTACAATATCAACACAAAATCAAACAAACAAGTAAGAAGAATAAATCAGAAAACTCAACTAGGGGACTACAAGTTGATCCAATACCAAATTCTCCAAACTGAAATAAGTATTTTACGGCAGACAGTAGGGAGAATTACTAATGAGATCTTGGGAGTTAGGGGGTTAACAATCACAGGTAGACAGGATGCTTTATGTAGATTTTCATTGTTGAAGTGTCATGCTAATGGCAAAACAGTCAGTCCCAGTCTTGAGAGGGCTGCCCTGCAGTGAAAACATTTCTAAGAATCTCATCTGATAATTTTTTTTTTAAATTTTGAATAAAGTTTCAGACGTAAAGTAGAATGACAAATCTGAGGTAGGCTTACCTTGGTTGGCTCCAATATTCAACGTTTCATTATCATACATTACCATACCCAAAAAGAAAAATAAGATTGAACCATGACATATATAACTTATTAATATAAGATATAACATAAGAAGATCAAGCACACTGTGCCAAAAGTTACCTGTTTTCTCATGGCTGTGACACCATTTCTTGAAAAAGGCCATTCCTTTTTTGATATTTTCAATAACAGGGCTGTGGAGACTATTAATCCTGCGATTGCTCAAAAGTCCTTTTTCAAAAAGAAGGTTACAAGCTTCATGGAAACTGGCAGCAGGTTTCACATTCTCGTGATTGGGTTCCTTGCTGAGCTCTTGAATTGCTGCAACCATATAACATTGCTGTAATCAAAGCAAAAACAAAAAGCACATTACAATGAGGATGAAATTTATTACAGTGCAACCTGACATTTGTCAAACCAGACAGGCTATATTTAGCAAACAAAGGCAGATAAGCAAAGACTAGCAAAAACTAACGATAAAAACCGACGTTTCGGTGTCATCATGACGCCATTGTCAAGGAGAAATAAAGAATGAAGTTTGTGGCAAAGTGTAACATTAAATTAGCATAAATATGTTACGAGCTAATTAAACAAATACTTTTGCGCGAATTGAATCGCTTTGCACGTTCAGAGTGGGTTTTAAGTCTCTGATGAAAAGCATTTCGTTCACCAAACAATCGAACTTGTTACTACACTTTTTCAGAATGCTAAAACGTTTCAGTAGGTCTTTCGGGACTTCGCTGTGCTGTTCGTGGTAGTGTTTATATATTGAAGATGCCTTTCGTTTATGTCCATCCACGCGTGTGTGTAAGTGTCCGCGTGTATAGCCCACATAACCCGCATCACACAGGTCACATTGAAATTGATAAACGACGCGTTGTTGGTTGACAATCTGTGGCTTGATTTCTCGTACTTTAAGATCTTGGCTTACTTTGCGGCTAACAAATACTGGCTGGACAGTTGTCTGCACCTTCATGCTAAGATTCTTGAGCTCTTTCTTAACATAATTTGCTGATTCTTGATCTTTGAAAGGTATGACCACACGAACAATGGATATTGGTTCTTTGGGCGTCTGTGTGGGCTGCGTACCAACAATTCTTGATTGTAAGAAGGTGTTAATGGTAGAATTTACCAGGCGCCCCGGGTATTTAAGCCGTGCGAAAACTTTCTTTAGGCGATCACACTCATCAGAGAAATGGGCCCAGGAGGAAGATAATCGGTGTGCGCGATCCAGCATAGTTTTCAGCAAGCTCCGTTTGTAGCGATTGTCTACATGGCTTTGGTAGTGTAATAGTAGGCCCGTGTTTGTTGGTTTCACATATACCTTGGTTTCAATCCGAGGTGCATGGTTGAGTAGTTCGGTGCCAAGGAAAGGAAGCTTGCTGTTCTTCTCCACCTCCATGGTGAATTTGACCGAAGTGTGGGCGCTGTTGAGGGTATGCAAGAAGGTAGTTGCTGTTGCTAGATCAGGCATTACAGTGAGTGTATCATCAACATATCGACGATAATAGGATGGAAGTTTTCTTTGTCGCTCAAGGGTATCTTCGATGGATGACATGAAGACGTTTGCTAATAAGGGCCCGAGAGGGGACCCCATAGCAACGCCATCTGTCTGTTCGTATAGAGCTCCGTTAAATTGAAATAGTTGGCCTTTGGTGGCTACGTTTAGGAGGTCAATAAGATCTGTTCTGGTAAGGGCAAGATTGTGAGTAGTATTGAACCAATTGTTCGAAAAGGCTCTGTTAACCAAGATCTCTATTGTTTCGTCCAAAGGCACGTTCGTGAATAACGAGGAGACATCATACGAAACCAAGATTTCACCCTTGTTGATCTTCAGCTCGTGAATCTCTTTTGTGAAATCAAAATTATCAGTAACTGTATACTGATTAAGGGACAAGGGCTTCAATTTCTCGTCGAGCCATTTAGCAAGGGGAAAATTGTACGTGTCGGTGGCTGATAATATAGGCCTCATAGCCAATGGTTCTTTGTGGGTTTTGGCAACCCATATAAATGTGCTAATCTGGAACCTGTAGGGCTCACGGAATCTGCAATGGTCTTCGGTAGAATTCTACGAACAATGGAATCTAGGATCTTCTCTTTCTGTAGTAGGGGTGGTAATATTTGGATGGTCTGCCCCTGGTCTTGGGTTTCTCAGGGGAATGGCACGGAACTTGCTTGTATCATTGACTGAGGCTTCAGAAAGTAATCGCAAGTATTCGGTTTTGTCTAGAACCACAACACCAGACCCTTTGTCGGGTTTCGTGATAACTATGTCGTCGCGTCCTTTTAACTCCTCTATAGCTCTCAACAATGTCTTTGGAGGTTTCGGACTCTTGCGTTCGATGTAATTGAGTGCAACGAAACGTAACGTTGCTGCAGATAATTCCTTTAAATTATCATCATTGAGGTGGGGTTCAAGGCTCCAATAGGCCTTTTCAAAGCTTGCTTTAACGTCCATAGGGGAGACACACGTTGAGGAATGGCAAATGTTAATCCTCGGCAAAGGACCAGTCTCTGAAAAAAGGAGAGGTTGTAGGATGATAGGTTCAAAATATGTTCGTCAACATCCATTTCGATGTTGAGCAGCCGTGAGATCTTCTTCGTGTGAGTATTCGTAACTTCCTGATGATATTTCTTTTTAAGGCTAACCATAGTGCGTAGAACGCAGGTGTAGCGAAGCAAACTACAGCTCCGGCGAATCTCATCGTAGATGGAATTGATCGCGCGTTTTAGATAAGCACTCTGTTTGATCTTTCCATTTAGTTCCTCAGAGATGACATTCCTTGTAAAGGTTTCGGAAGAGTGCTTCCATTTAGAACGCCTTGCTTTGTCGACCTTAGCGAAAGTTGGAGTTAGGTCAAAGTTCTGACAGAGTCTGAGGAATTCGATTGAGCCATCGCAGTTAATCTGTTTCTTGCTGCATTGTTCAAGTCTCCTGAACAAATGTAGCTGATTATCGCGTTTTAAGATTCTTATCAATAAGGATTTAGAAATGCAAAGACTAGCAAAAACTAACGATAAAAACCGACGTTTCGGTGTCATCATGACGCCATTGTCAAGGAGAAATAAAGAATGAAGTTTGTGGCAAAGTGTAACATTAAATTAGCATAAATATGTTACGAGCTAATTAAACAAATACTTTTGCGCGAATTGAATCGCTTTGCACGTTCAGAGTGGGTTTTAAGTCTCTGATGAAAAGCATTTCGTTCACCAAACAATCGAACTTGTTACTACACTTTTTCAGAATGCTAAAACGTTTCAGTAGGTCTTTCGGGACTTCGCTGTGCTGTTCGTGGTAGTGTTTATATATTGAAGATGCCTTTCGTTTATGTCCATCCACGCGTGTGTGTAAGTGTCCGCGTGTATAGCCCACATAACCCGCATCACACAGGTCACATTGAAATTGATAAACGACGCGTTGTTGGTTGACAATCTGTGGCTTGATTTCTCGTACTTTAAGATCTTGGCTTACTTTGCGGCTAACAAATACTGGCTGGACAGTTGTCTGCACCTTCATGCTAAGATTCTTGAGCTCTTTCTTAACATAATTTGCTGATTCTTGATCTTTGAAAGGTATGACCACACGAACAATGGATATTGGTTCTTTGGGCGTCTGTGTGGGCTGCGTACCAACAATTCTTGATTGTAAGAAGGTGTTAATGGTAGAATTTACCAGGCGCCCCGGGTATTTAAGCCGTGCGAAAACTTTCTTTAGGCGATCACACTCATCAGAGAAATGGGCCCAGGAGGAAGATAATCGGTGTGCGCGATCCAGCATAGTTTTCAGCAAGCTCCGTTTGTAGCGATTGTCTACATGGCTTTGGTAGTGTAATAGTAGGCCCGTGTTTGTTGGTTTCACATATACCTTGGTTTCAATCCGAGGTGCATGGTTGAGTAGTTCGGTGCCAAGGAAAGGAAGCTTGCTGTTCTTCTCCACCTCCATGGTGAATTTGACCGAAGTGTGGGCGCTGTTGAGGGTATGCAAGAAGGTAGTTGCTGTTGCTAGATCAGGCATTACAGTGAGTGTATCATCAACATATCGACGATAATAGGATGGAAGTTTTCTTTGTCGCTCAAGGGTATCTTCGATGGATGACATGAAGACGTTTGCTAATAAGGGCCCGAGAGGGGACCCCATAGCAACGCCATCTGTCTGTTCGTATAGAGCTCCGTTAAATTGAAATAGTTGGCCTTTGGTGGCTACGTTTAGGAGGTCAATAAGATCTGTTCTGGTAAGGGCAAGATTGTGAGTAGTATTGAACCAATTGTTCGAAAAGGCTCTGTTAACCAAGATCTCTATTGTTTCGTCCAAAGGCACGTTCGTGAATAACGAGGAGACATCATACGAAACCAAGATTTCACCCTTGTTGATCTTCAGCTCGTGAATCTCTTTTGTGAAATCAAAATTATCAGTAACTGTATACTGATTAAGGGACAAGGGCTTCAATTTCTCGTCGAGCCATTTAGCAAGGGGAAAATTGTACGTGTCGGTGGCTGATAATATAGGCCTCATAGCCAATGGTTCTTTGTGGGTTTTTGGCAACCCATATAAATGTGCTAATCTGGAACCTGTAGGGCTCACGGAATCTGCAATGGTCTTCGGTAGAATTCTACGAACAATGGAATCTAGGATCTTCTCTTTCTGTAGTAGGGGGTGGTAATATTTGGATGGTCTGCCCTGGTCTTGGGTTTCTCAGGGGAATGGCACGGAACTTGCTTGTATCATTGACTGAGGCTTCAGAAAGTAATCGCAAGTATTCGGTTTTGTCTAGAACCACAACACCAGACCCTTTGTCGGGTTTCGTGATAACTATGTCGTCGCGTCCTTTTAACTCCTCTATAGCTCTCAACAATGTCTTTGGAGGTTTCGGACTCTTGCGTTCGATGTAATTGAGTGCAACGAAACGTAACGTTGCTGCAGATAATTCCTTTAAATTATCATCATTGAGGTGGGGTTCAAGGCTCCAATAGGCCTTTTCAAAGCTTGCTTTAACGTCCATGGGAGACACACGTTGAGGAATGGCAAATGTTAATCCTCGGCAAAGGACCAGTCTCTGAAAAAGGAGAGGTTGTAGGATGATAGGTTCAAAATATGTTCGTCAACATCCATTTCGATGTTGAGCAGCCGTGAGATCTTCTTCGTGTGAGTATTCGTAACTTCCTGATGATATTTCTTTTTAAGGCTAACCATAGTGCGTAGAACGCAGGTGTAGCGAAGCAAACTACGACTCCGGCGAATCTCATCGTAGATGGAATTGATCGCGCGTTTTAGATAAGCACTCTGTTTGATCTTTCCATTTAGTTCCTCAGAGATGACATTCCTTGTAAAGGTTTCGGAAGAGTGCTTCCATTTAGAACGCCTTGCTTTGTCGACCTTAGCGAAAGTTGGAGTTAGGTCAAAGTTCTGACAGAGTCTGAGGAATTCGATTGAGCCATCGCAGTTAATCTGTTTCTTGCTGCATTGTTCAAGTCTCCTGAACAAATGTAGCTGATTATCGCGTTTTAAGATTCTTATCAATAAGGATTTAGAAATGCAAAGACTAGCAAAAACTAACGATAAAAACCGACGTTTCGGTGTCATCATGACGCCATTGTCAAGGAGAAATAAAGAATGAAGTTTGTGGCAAAGTGTAACATTAAATTAGCATAAATATGTTACGAGCTAATTAAACAAATACTTTTGCGCGAATTGAATCGCTTTGCACGTTCAGAGTGGGTTTTAAGTCTCTGATGAAAAGCATTTCGTTCACCAAACAATCGAACTTGTTACTACACTTTTCAGAATGCTAAAACGTTTCAGTAGGTCTTTCGGGACTTCGCTGTGCTGTTCGTGGTAGTGTTTATATATTGAAGATGCCTTTCGTTTATGTCCATCCCGCGTGTGTGTAAGTGTCCGCGTGTATAGCCCACATAACCCGCATCACACAGGTCACATTGAAATTGATAAACGACGCGTTGTTGGTTGACAATCTGTGGCTTGATTTCTCGTACTTTAAGATCTTGGCTTACTTTGCGGCTAACAAATACTGGCTGGACAGTTGTCTGCACCTTCATGCTAAGATTCTTGAGCTCTTTCTTAACATAATTTGCTGATTCTTGATCTTTGAAAGGTATGACCACACGAACAATGGATATTGGTTCTTTGGGCGTCTGTGTGGGCTGCGTACCAACAATTCTTGATTGTAAGAAGGTGTTAATGGTAGAATTTACCAGGCGCCCCGGGTATTTAAGCCGTGCGAAAACTTTCTTTAGGCGATCACACTCATCAGAGAAATGGGCCCAGGAGGAAGATAATCGGTGTGCGCGATCCAGCATAGTTTTCAGCAAGCTCCGTTTGTAGCGATTGTCTACATGGCTTTGGTAGTGTAATAGTAGGCCCGTGTTTGTTGGTTTCACATATACCTTGGTTTCAATCTGAGGTGCATGGTTGAGTAGTTCGGTGCCAAGGAAAGGAAGCTTGCTGTTCTTCTCCACCTCCATGGTGAATTTGACCGAAGTGTGGGCGCTGTTGAGGGTATGCAAGAAGGTAGTTGCTGTTGCTAGATCAGGCATTACAGTGAGTGTATCATCAACATATCGACGATAATAGGATGGAAGTTTTCTTTGTCGCTCAAGGGTATCTTCGATGGATGACATGAAGACGTTTGCTAATAAGGGCCCGAGAGGGGACCCCATAGCAACGCCATCTGTCTGTTCGTATAGAGCTCCGTTAAATTGAAATAGTTGGCCTTTGGTGGCTACGTTTAGGAGGTCAATAAGATCTGTTCTGGTAAGGGCAAGATTGTGAGTAGTATTGAACCAATTGTTCGAAAAGGCTCTGTTAACAAAATTGAACAATTGGTACGCAGCCCACACAGACGCCCAAAGAACCAATATCCATTGTTCGTGTGGTCATACCTTTCAAAGATCAAGAATCAGCAAATTATGTTAAGAAAGAGCTCAAGAATCTTAGCATGAAGGTGCAGACAACTGTCCAGCCAGTATTTGTTAGCCGCAAAGTAAGCCAAGATCTTAAAGTACGAGAAATCAAGCCACAGATTGTCAACCAACAACGCGTCGTTTATCAATTTCAATGTGACCTGTGTGATGCGGGTTATGTGGGCTATACACGCGGACACTTACACACACGCGTGGATGGACATAAACGAAAGGCATCTTCAATATATAAACACTACCACGAACAGCACAGCGAAGTCCCGAAAGACCTACTGAAACGTTTTAGCATTCTGAAAAGTGTAGTAACAAGTTCGATTGTTTGGTGAACGAAATGCTTTTCATCAGAGACTTAAAACCCACTCTGAACGTGCAAAGCGATTCAATTCGCGCAAAAGTATTTGTTTAATTAGCTCGTAACATATTTATGCTAATTTAATGTTACACTTTTTGCCACAAACTTCATTCTTTATTTCTCCTTGACAATGGCGTCATGATGACACCGAAACGTCGGTTTTATCGTTAGTTTTTGCTAGTCTTTGCATTTCTAAATCCTTATTGATAAGAATCTTAAAACGCGATAATCAGCTACATTTGTTCAGGAGACTTGAACAATGCAGCAAGAAACAGATTAACTGCGATGGCTCAATCGAATTCCTCAGACTCTGTCAGAACTTTGACCTAACTCCAACTTTCGCTAAGGTCGACAAAGCAAGGCGTTCTAAATGGAAGCACTCTTCCGAAACCTTTACAAGGAATGTCATCTCTGAGGAACTAAATGGAAAGATCAAACAGAGTGCTTATCTAAAACGCGCGATCAATTCCATCTACGATGAGATTCGCCGGAGCTGTAGTTTGCTTCGCTACACCTGCGTTCTACGCACTATGGTTAGCCTTAAAAAGAAATATCATCAGGAAGTTACGAATACTCACACGAAGAAGATCTCACGGCTGCTCAACATCGAAATGGATGTTGACGAACATATTTTGAACCTATCATCCTACAACCTCTCCTTTTTTTCAGAGACTGGTCCTTTGCCGAGGATTAACATTTGCCATTCCTCAACGTGTGTCTCCCATGGACGTTAAAGCAAGCTTTGAAAAGGCCTATTGGAGCCTTGAACCCCACCTCAATGATGATAATTTAAAGGAATTATCTGCAGCAACGTTACGTTTCGTTGCACTCAATTACATCGAACGCAAGAGTCCGAAACCTCCAAAGACATTGTTGAGAGCTATAGAGGAGTTAAAAGGACGCGACGACATAGTTATCACGAAACCCGACAAAGGGTCTGTGTTGTGGTTCTAGACAAAACCGAATACTTGCGATTACTTTCTGAAGCCTCAGTCAATGATACAAGCAAGTTCCGTGCCATTCCCCTGGAGAAACCCAAGACCAGGGGCAGACCATCCAAATATTACCACCCCTACTACAGAAAGAGAAGATCCTAGATTCCATTGTTCGTAGAATTCTACCGAAGACCATTGCAGATTCCGTGAGCCCTACAGGTTCCAGATTAGCACATTTATATGGGTTGCCAAAACCCACAAAGAACCATTGGCTATGAGGCCTATATTATCAGCCACCGACACGTACAATTTTCCCCTTGCTAAATGGCTCGACGAGAAATTGAAGCCCTTGTCCCTTAATCAGTATACAGTTACTGATAATTTTGATTTCACAAAAGAGATTCACGAGCTGAAGATCAACAAGGGTGAAATCTTGGTTTCGTATGATGTCTCCTCGTTATTCACGAACGTGCCTTTGGACGAAACAATAGAGATCTTGGTTAACAGAGCCTTTTCGAACAATTGGTTCAATACTACTCACAATCTTGCCCTTACCAGAACAGATCTTATTGACCTCCTAAACGTAGCCACCAAAGGCCAACTATTTCAATTTAACGGAGCTCTATACGAACAGACAGATGGCGTTGCTATGGGGTCCCCTCTCGGGCCCTTATTAGCAAACGTCTTCATGTCATCCATCGAAGATACCCTTGAGCGACAAAGAAAACTTCCATCCTATTATCGTCGATATGTTGATGATACACTCACTGTAATGCCTGATCTAGCAACAGCAACTACCTTCTTGCATACCCTCAACAGCGCCCACACTTCGGTCAAATTCACCATGGAGGTGGAGAAGAACAGCAAGCTTCCTTTCCTTGGCACCGAACTACTCAACCATGCACCTCGGATTGAAACCAAGGTATATGTGAAACCAACAAACACGGGCCTACTATTACACTACCAAAGCCATGTAGACAATCGCTACAAACGGAGCTTGCTGAAAACTATGCTGGATCGCGCACACCGATTATCTTCCTCCTGGGCCCATTTCTCTGATGAGTGTGATCGCCTAAAGAAAGTTTTCGCACGGCTTAAATACCCGGGGCGCCTGGTAAATTCTACCATTAACACCTTCTTACAATCAAGAATTGTTGGTACGCAGCCCACACAGACGCCCAAAGAACCAATATCCATTGTTCGTGTGGTCATACCTTTCAAAGATCAAGAATCAGCAAATTATGTTAAGAAAGAGCTCAAGAATCTTAGCATGAAGGTGCAGACAACTGTCCAGCCAGTATTTGTTAGCCGCAAAGTAAGCCAAGATCTTAAAGTACGAGAAATCAAGCCACAGATTGTCAACCAACAACGCGTCGTTTATCAATTTCAATGTGACCTGTGTGATGCGGGTTATGTGGGCTATACACGCGGACACTTACACACACGCGTGGATGGACATAAACGAAAGGCATCTTCAATATATAAACACTACCACGAACAGCACAGCGAAGTCCCGAAAGACCTACTGAAACGTTTTAGCATTCTGAAAAAGTGTAGTAACAAGTTCGATTGTTTGGTGAACGAAATGCTTTTCATCAGAGACTTAAAACCCACTCTGAACGTGCAAAGCGATTCAATTCGCGCAAAAGTATTTGTTTAATTAGCTCGTAACATATTTATGCTAATTTAATGTTACACTTTGCCACAAACTTCATTCTTTATTTCTCCTTGACAATGGCGTCATGATGACACCGAAACGTCGGTTTTATCGTTAGTTTTTGCTAGTCTTTGCATTTCTAAATCCTTATTGATAAGAATCTTAAAACGCGATAATCAGCTACATTTGTTCAGGAGACTTGAACAATGCAGCAAGAAACAGATTAACTGCGATGGCTCAATCGAATTCCTCAGACTCTGTCAGAACTTTGACCTAACTCCAACTTTCGCTAAGGTCGACAAAGCAAGGCGTTCTAAATGGAAGCACTCTTCCGAAACCTTTACAAGGAATGTCATCTCTGAGGAACTAAATGGAAAGATCAAACAGAGTGCTTATCTAAAACGCGCGATCAATTCCATCTACGATGAGATTCGCCGGAGCTGTAGTTTGCTTCGCTACACCTGCGTTCTACGCACTATGGTTAGCCTTAAAAAGAAATATCATCAGGAAGTTACTAATACTCACACGAAGAAGATCTCACGGCTGCTCAACATCGAAATGGATGTTGACGAACATATTTTGAACCTATCATCCTACAACCTCTCCTTTTTTCAGAGACTGGTCCTTTGCCGAGGATTAACATTTGCCATTCCTCAACGTGTGTCTCCCATGGACGTTAAAGCAAGCTTTGAAAAGGCCTATTGGAGCCTTGAACCCCACCTCAATGATGATAATTTAAAGGAATTATCTGCAGCAACGTTACGTTTCGTTGCACTCAATTACATCGAACGCAAGAGTCCGAAACCTCCAAAGACATTGTTGAGAGCTATAGAGGAGTTAAAAGGACGCGACGACATAGTTATCACGAAACCCGACAAAGGGTCTGGTGTTGTGGTTCTAGACAAAACCGAATACTTGCGATTACTTTCTGAAGCCTCAGTCAATGATACAAGCAAGTTCCGTGCCATTCCCCTGGAGAAACCCAAGACCAGGGGCAGACCATCCAAATATTACCACCCCCTACTACAGAAAGAGAAGATCCTAGATTCCATTGTTCGTAGAATTCTACCGAAGACCATTGCAGATTCCGTGAGCCCTACAGGTTCCAGATTAGCACATTTATATGGGTTGCCAAAACCCACAAAGAACCATTGGCTATGAGGCCTATATTATCAGCCACCGACACGTACAATTTTCCCCTTGCTAAATGGCTCGACGAGAAATTGAAGCCCTTGTCCCTTAATCAGTATACAGTTACTGATAATTTTGATTTCACAAAAGAGATTCACGAGCTGAAGATCAACAAGGGTGAAATCTTGGTTTCGTATGATGTCTCCTCGTTATTCACGAACGTGCCTTTGGACGAAACAATAGAGATCTTGGTTAACAGAGCCTTTTCGAACAATTGGTTCAATACTACTCACAATCTTGCCCTTACCAGAACAGATCTTATTGACCTCCTAAACGTAGCCACCAAAGGCCAACTATTTCAATTTAACGGAGCTCTATACGAACAGACAGATGGCGTTGCTATGGGGTCCCCTCTCGGGCCCTTATTAGCAAACGTCTTCATGTCATCCATCGAAGATACCCTTGAGCGACAAAGAAAACTTCCATCCTATTATCGTCGATATGTTGATGATACACTCACTGTAATGCCTGATCTAGCAACAGCAACTACCTTCTTGCATACCCTCAACAGCGCCCACACTTCGGTCAAATTCACCATGGAGGTGGAGAAGAACAGCAAGCTTCCTTTCCTTGGCACCGAACTACTCAACCATGCACCTCGGATTGAAACCAAGGTATATGTGAAACCAACAAACACGGGCCTACTATTACACTACCAAAGCCATGTAGACAATCGCTACAAACGGAGCTTGCTGAAAACTATGCTGGATCGCGCACACCGATTATCTTCCTCCTGGGCCCATTTCTCTGATGAGTGTGATCGCCTAAAGAAAGTTTTCGCACGGCTTAAATACCCGGGGCGCCTGGTAAATTCTACCATTAACACCTTCTTACAATCAAGAATTGTTGGTACGCAGCCCACACAGACGCCCAAAGAACCAATATCCATTGTTCGTGTGGTCATACCTTTCAAAGATCAAGAATCAGCAAATTATGTTAAGAAAGAGCTCAAGAATCTTAGCATGAAGGTGCAGACAACTGTCCAGCCAGTATTCGTTAGCCGCAAAGTAAGCCAAGATCTTAAAGTACGAGAAATCAAGCCACAGATTGTCAACCAACAACGCGTCGTTTATCAATTTCAATGTGACCTGTGTGATGCGGGTTATGTGGGCTATACACGCGGACACTTACACACACGCGTGGATGGACATAAACGAAAGGCATCTTCAATATATAAACACTACCACGAACAGCACAGCGAAGTCCCGAAAGACCTACTGAAACGTTTTAGCATTCTGAAAAAGTGTAGTAACAAGTTCGATTGTTTGGTGAACGAAATGCTTTTCATCAGAGACTTAAAACCCACTCTGAACGTGCAAAGCGATTCAATTCGCGCAAAAGTATTTGTTTAATTAGCTCGTAACATATTTATGCTAATTTAATGTTACACTTTGCCACAAACTTCATTCTTTATTTCTCCTTGACAATGGCGTCATGATGACACCGAAACGTCGGTTTTTATCGTTAGTTTTTGCTAGTCTTTGCATTTCTAAATCCTTATTGATAAAAAGGCAGATAAATCTCAAAAACAATCTTTAACGATATCATCTGATAAATTTAAAATAATGATAATGATAATAAATAAAGTTAAATAAACTAGGCACCTGCATAATTTTGGCTGGTCTTACATTGAGACAGGTCCAATTGTCTCTGTACACAAATGCAAATTTTAGGCCAGGTACATTGCGACTGAGATCTTGCTCTGCTCAAGCCATCTCTCAACTATAGGTTTTTCCAATTGTCTCCCAGCTAAACTCCACTCCACCAAGAATAAGTTTTGTGGAACCCTTGGTCTGGAACTGTATAAGGCCGCTATCATGTTCTTTAACTGATCAAAAAAGTTTGTAGAACAAAGAAATTTTTCCTCTGAGTAGAGTAAGCAGGTAATACAAAGTTACCAGATAAATTAACAAAGATCTACCAGAAACAACACATAATTAGTACCTGATGACTTGGGCAGATCATTGCAAACACTGGATTACCACTGGAATCCTCAGGATTGGTAAATGACATGTCAACGAAATACCTCGCCCTTAAATCTTCTGCAGCATCGTTCACTGGCAGTACGGCTTCAAAGTAGCCACATAACATCTTCAGAAGTGTCAGGTTTGATGAAGCTCCATCACTCAGGACTATGGAACTTGAAAACCATATGCATTGGATGATTTTAGCATTAAGAGCTGCTGCAAGATGTTTGCATCCACTGAATTTGGTACCAGGAAGTAGGGGCAATCATATCATAACCAGATGTCAGATCGCACCAAAGAAACTATACAATATATAACTGGCCTTCTCAAAAGCACTCTGGATGACAGATGAGTAAACATCATGCAGTGTAGGCAGTTCATCTTCTGTCATGGTAAAGCCTGTTATTTCACCACCTTTCAGATTCTATGCTACTTTCATGGATCTTGGATCTGAAAGGTAGATTAAGACATAGTAGAGCAGAAATAAATATCAGCATATAAAATGAGACTTTGGTTTACAGTACTGACATAATTTAGTTTACCTAACAAAAACAGCCAGGCGTAAAAACTTATGAATCCAATGATAAAACCAGTCGTTGTCTCTTACTTTCACCTCATCCCACATCAATACTCCCATTCCAAGTGGGCAGGAATGACCAGCACTTTCACGATTTTTTCGGTACTCCTTAAACTTCTCCTCCTGACTTTGAAAGTAAAGGTGATCAATACCAGGCTGCTTGGCACCATCCTTTAAAACCTTTTTTAACACCTTGGAGCGGGAAAGTAATACTAATGCTGCCTAATGCTTCCTAAGCAGATGGGCTATGGTTGTATACTGCAAGAGCTTGAACGGTAGAAAATTAAATAAAATAGTTAGCTTCATGACAAATGTTTCTTCAATTTTATATGAAGATGATGACACAGTAGCTATTTATTATTTAATCGTTATTGTAGCACCAGACTGAATAATAAAAAATGAACAGTTTTTTAAAGATACATAAAAATTGCATTTGTCTCGCATGCAAAACATGTCTTGTTGCAGTGATTAAATATTATTTAAACTGAAACACTAAAGAATCTTTTTGAAAATCCAAGGCAGTATACATCTTACGAAATTTTGACAACTGCAAATGAAAACTAAATGGAATTGAACTTATATTTACCAACGCTGGTTGTGGCCAAGGACCATCTGTTTCCCTTTTTTCCAAATGTGTTGCCATCTCCTATGATTTTACCCAGCTCGGCTTTACCCTCTTCAGAACTTTCGATTGCTTGAATGAGTTGATGGAGTTTGATGGACTGATTCGCTGGATGCTCGACCTTTGGTTTTTTGTAAAATCTCACTGCCTGCTTTTGAAACCTGGTTCTTTGCTGGCGAACATTTCTGGAGCGCTTCCCTTTACTGCGCAGAGAAAGGAATTTCCAAGGACAGTGGCAACTGGGCATTTGACATAAACTCTCAGTTGCCGCATCAACGCTTCTTTTTGCCTTCACTCTCTTTTTTACATACCGTGTAAACTTCGAACACCCGCTACAAACTCGTCTCCAAAGAGGAACTGAGGAGTTAGATAGGGAGAAGATGTTTTGGCGGGATGAGGGCATATGCCAAATCATACAAGACTATGCGTGCGCGGTTGTTATCGCTCTATTCCTAACTCTTAGACCTTTAGGGACATCCAAGGTCCAAAAAATCTTCCATTATCCTTGGGTATAAAGTCTTGTCGCCAGAAAGCAAGTCTTTGGCCAATTCTGCAAGGTTTCCACTTTCACCTACTCTTCCAGACTGTATGATCAAATGCTCGTAGATCTGACACTAAAGACTCCACTTTCTGTCTCCATACACTATGAGACTAACAGGCTGGAATGGTCCTGTCTGATGAGTAAATGTATGGAGTTGTGAAGGGTACACAACAAGGACACGTTCCAGAAAAATGGCAAGAGGATCCTGCGCATCCTCAACAGGCGCGTGCTTCTTCATGAGATGTAGTATCTCACAATTGAATACAGCAGCTGAAAGGTCACTGCCATTTTTCCAGTAAGAAAGCAACACTAGATTTTGTTTTGTCTAGTAATTTCTTTCACAGTATACTCTTTATTTCGACCTGCTGAGCGACGCAGTTCGGATCAGCATTGACATCAACACTCGAGCTCGTGGCTTGCTCTTCACCAGCGAAATTCAAAGACCTCTTTGAATGTTTTGTATCTTGATTTTCGGGACAATCTAAAGAATTCCCCACCTCTTTCAGCCATAGGCTCCTGTGAAAACCCTTTGCAAAGCTTACATTACCAAGAGCTGTGCATCTGAAGCTCCAACAGTGCCTGATCAAGATGGCTCGCAACAAAAAAAAAGAAAAAATTCCAAAGCTGAAGTTTAGTGAAGTTATTTATTAACAGCTTTTAAAGGTTACCAGGTTTCCCTGGCTGGAAATGAGTAATTGTTGACAGACCTTTCAAGAATATCGGAAAAAGGATTACTTGAAAAGGGAATCAGCTTCCTTTTGTTTTTGCCACCAATTTTTTTTGTATCAAGTGCGGACGCAGGAGAAAACAGCCTAATTTCACGTAAAATCGAAACTTGAGACAGTTCTAAAAATAAAAAGATATGAGTAAAGGTTGACTTAATGATAAAGTGGGTATGGAGGCTCCGGGTGATGGGCTCCAGTTTGCACCTGATATGCCCATAAGCCCTTGAACTTGGTCAAAATAGATATGTCCAGAAGCCCATTACTTGGAGCCTACAACTGCTCTGTATTTTTGTCACGGCGTTTTCACAGACCAGTCTATTAGTTTGAATTTACCGCGAACTAGGACTCCCTATGGGAGCACATCGACCAATCAAGATTAGCGCCTGGTTTATTTCTAACTTTACTCGTTCATATATTGAAAGAAAAACAGCAGAGAGATACAAGGCTGCTTGCGTTTGTTCATTCATATGAGCAAACGCATCCTAAGTTCACGTCTTGATGAGAAGCAAACGATTAATTCATGAAAGCGTCACATGTTGTGTGACTCGGTGTTAACTTGCGGAGGAACTGTTGAGAATTTGAACATGTTATATGGAATAGCATGGGGAACGAAATATGGTCAATTTACAACGATAAATATTTCGAAATATGAACATTTTACTCGTTAAATTAATAGAATTTACTCACATTTTTTGTGCTCGTTGTGGTTTCCAGCGTTCTCTGCCGTTTTAAGCTTGCTTTGCCATCACCGTTATTCCTGCTATACAAAAGTCGAAATCGAAGTGCGCAGCGTTGACTTCGTCTTATAACAGGAATAACAGTGAGCTTGGGACGCTTGTGGTGTGAATATTTTGAAAATACCTTGGGAAGCAGCAGTTCCGGGGACAGTTCTAGTGAAGATGAACCTGACTCTTGACTTTTCAATGATCAAAGCGACAATAGGCACCGTGAATTTTGCCGCATGCGGTAATTATCGACCGCATTTCACAAAAATAACCAAGATTTGACAAGATCGAAGCCCAATTCGAAAGAGTAGCATTATCCTGCGATCTAGAAAAATGCTCTTCATTTTGTTGCACCCGCTTCTGTTCAATCCTGACTCGCAAAATTTCCTTTACGGACTGTGTGAATGAAGATTCTTGAGATGAAGACAACTCGCACACAGCCTGCTCACGCAATTTCTTGTTCTCGATCATCGCTAGCATTTCGCCTCTACATCGTCTTGAATTTGGATTCTATTCATGAAATTTTCTTTAGAATCAGAAGACGGATGACCTTTAATACACACGAAAATTCAAAAAAGTAAATACAAATAAAAATACAACGATGATCCGCACTCCTGCGAATTTTTTTCGCAAATGTGACAAATTTGCAAAGAATAGTGGGATATATAAGGAAAGGAAGGATTGGAATACTGGAATACAGCGAAAGAAAGGCGGAATTTGCGTAGTTTTAATATGTCATCCACTCCTCACAATCTGCTTGTCCTCTTGTCCTTTCTTCCATGTTGTTGGCTTGGATTACATCAACTCTTAAGCTTTCCAAAAAATCTTTCTTTATCACTCAGATCATCAGGTGTCACAAGTGATCCAATACAATCTTCGAAGGGAAATGAGGGGTATAGAGGAAATTCTGTTGCTGTACAAGAATCTGCCTGGTCAAATCCTTAAAATGCGGTTACAAATGTAACCGTAAATGGACTCTGTCACTGAAAGCTGATAAGATCCAAATGAACCAACTAGACATTGCCCAAAGCAAGTGTTAACAACAGGTAATGCATCAATACTTGTGGTATCAAGAACTTTAGTTCCATAAAGTTTTGGGCTATTTTCTTGGAGAGACTTTATCAAGTCCTCTAGTCTTTCCTTTTGATCACTTTTCCCACTCCTTGCTTCGGTCAAGAGGCAGGTCACTCCAGTTTTCTTGCTCCCCTGCCTCGCATTCTCAACATTGTAAACAGGATTGTAAACAATTACCTGCATTACAGGTTGCGAGCTGACACCATCCATTCTTGATCTGTGCCAATTCTGTAATTCTGAAGTACACACTGTGCTTGGATTTTCATCTTCCTCATCCTTCAGGTTCCGAAAATATTTACAGTAATATAGAGAGTACAGTAATATAGAGAGTATTAACATACCTTCATCATCAGAGCCAAAATGTGGTTGCAAAAGCCTGATTTCCCAGCAACACAACTTATTCCACACTAGGCACACTCTGCGTCACCAGAAACAATAGAAAAAACAAGTTTTAAATTGTGTGGTGTCTCATCGACTCTAAATCTATGAAAGCACTTTGCGCGGAAATAGAAATATCATTGATCACATGCAGTGAGTTTGGATTTCGTGTAAATATTCATCCGCCAGAAATGCCTTGGCTTTGTTCAGTCCTGATGGTAGTGAATAATATCCAATGTTTCCATACTTCTTTTCTGAGTTATTCACGTGTTTGTATATTTCTGCTCGGGTAAACATGGGGCTTTTAGCCAGCGACGTGCTCCAGCCATTCACGGGAATAGCTACGTTCTTATTTAGCGTTTTCGAGTATAGACAAGTTCGCGCTTTTTGTGGATAATCCTTTGCAGTTATCACCCCGACATTATAGCCAAAACTTCAACTCCGAATTTTTAAATTGACTAAGATCTCTTCCATCTAAAGAACTTCCAGGAACATCGTCGTCAGTCAAAAACAAAGGACCGTATGCACGCGCACTGACTAAAGGAATGTCGGTCGTTTCGCCAACGGTAATTTCGCAAACGTCTCTGGTCAGTTCGCAAACGTGTAGAAGTCAGAAATAGAAATGAAGAAACTGATTCAATTTTTTTCTGCTCCTCATATCAAGATTAATTTCTTTAGCTGTAAGGAGTGTGTCAGTAACACCTGCAGGGATTTCTACGGCATCTTCACTCCATTCATTCTCATCATCTTATATCTTGGTATCTATATTATTGGAGGTTTCTTCATCATTGACAGATTGCTGATCACATTCACTGTCATCAATGTCGTGTTGTGAAATTTGTTCATTATAATTGGTAACCCAGTCTTGATTAAACACAATACCTTCATCTTTAGAAAGACTATTATTATTCATGAGCCAAATGGCACCATGAACAACTTTTTGAGGCCTTACATTTAATAACAATACAGAGCTCTTGTACTGCAGTTTCCTTACTTTGATTGTACATATATATCTTTTTTGTTGTTACTATTGCTTGATATATCTTTTTGGTTTTGTACATTCAGTATGATTAGAAGACTTTTCAAATACAACTTCATTTTTGGGGATTTTTTCTTTTGGTAATTTGAAATGTCATCTGTAGGATCAGACTTTCGTTTACAATTATTTTCAGAAACGTTTGGTAAATTTCTGTCACTATTGATTTGAATTTGTTTGACTTAGAGTTGATACAGTTTAAATATAATGCATCTCACCTATGTGTCTACATATACCATATATACAGGATTCTGTACCATATTTGATGTTTGAATTAAAGATACATCTTAAAAAGTTTCAACAGATTCTATTACATGAATTGTCAGATTCATTGCATCAGCGGCTGCCTGTATTATAACATGATCAGCCCATATTCCGTGCATAGACATATTAGTCAAATATTCTAGCCGTAATATCTCTATATTACTCTCGATAAATTGTTCTGGATTATCTCTTAAATACTGAACACCAGCAGCTTTTGTTTCTAAATGATGACTAGAATTGCCATAGGGCTGATGTGATAGACTTAAAGAAGCAGTCCCCTTCTCCACCTTCATCAAGTGGTCTTAAGCCATGTCTAAGCAGTCTATAGTTCAATACAAAGTCAGCCTGAGGATTAGCAATTGATCTTGATAAAGTACCGTTATTTGTCACAGGACCTGGGTTCAATTCAATATCTCCAGAAAGTAAACGGTTTTCTTCAGAAATATTACAGAGGATTTTTATAATTCTTAATCTTCACAAAATAATGACTGTAGAGACTTTCATGTTTATGAGTATATGTGATGTGCTTATAATTTAATGCAATAAGATGCAAAACTGATGAAACAGGAACTGCTTTTTTGAACATTTTTTTATGCTTCCTTCTCAATTTTTTATATTTCAATTATTGCCTAACCTTTCATAAAGATATTCTAGATGGATCCCTATCTCTGACTCTGTGAATGAAAACTCTGGAATTTGGTCGATAATGTCTGTTATTTTTAATGCTTTGGGGTGTATGAGAAATACCTACATCATCAATGTTAGTAGTATGACAATAAATATTCCTATTCTCAATACCAGACAGAGCTCTCATAACTGATTGTATGCACAAGCATTTGGCATTCTGAATTATTTGTTTAGCTAGCGCATCTCAGTAGCTATCTAGTGTCTCATTGTTAGAACTACTACAACTTTGAAAGCCATTCTTTACATCCCGAATGACGTTTGGTGCCCTTTTGTTGAGACTATTTCTTCCCCGAAGGGATTTTGTTGTCTCCTGAAAGTTTTGTGTCGCATTGCTGCAAGTATTTGCTCCGTAAAGGAAATAGTTTGCCCCCGAAGGAGTTTTTCAGTCGCATTGCTGTGATTACGGAGGAAAAAATAATAAATAGATGGCAAGTACAGGGCCATATGTAGGATTTTTTTGTCTCTTGGGGCAAACTCCGCACACCTTCACAGGGGTCTCCCGTATACAGACAGGATTTCTAGTTGCACGTTTTGTTTTCACCCCTACAGAGAAGGTTGCCTCTAAGACCTTTAAAGAAACAAACCAAACTGATGCTTTTTGTTTTAAATTGTCATGATTTATCACGGCATAAACACCTTGTTTAGTTTGAAATTGCCCCGAGGTCTCTGCTACACAATGATTATTTATATACCCTCTTTAACTCAAGCTATAATGTGAACAGCAGTTTAACACTTTGTTGGATGGTATCAAAAATGCGTTGAAAGCCTTCGTTAGTGTGAACAGAGATTGGCTTGAAGGAACTGAGCTAAAATTGCAGGTTTCGGTATCAGAATACCAAGTCTCAAAATCGAGTCTATATTAAGCTATTCTAGATTCTTCTCCAATTTGACTTCAGGTCATAGATCTCTTTTGGAGTGGGAATGAAGTCCGTTCCGCGATGAATTAACAGCACAGCAAGGCCACTTAATCGATCTTCTGTCGTTGATGACTAAGTCCGTAGCTTCAGACGGCGTAGGGTTGAGAAGGAGCGTTCGCAACTGACGACATCACCTTATGAATGGCGGGAAATTCTTGCGGACTGCAATCAGGCATTGCTCCCTCTTGTTCTGACTCTAGCTCCATTGCCTTTTTCATCCACCACCTTGCCAGCTCTGCGTCAAAATTAGACTTCTCCGAGAAATCTAGATGCTTGCTGAAGTAGTTCTTGATCCTCTCGATATCCCTGTCAGTTAACTTGGGCAAGTACAAAGGGAACAGGTTTTGAGCGGTAATCAGGCCTTCGTGCTGGATTGAAAATCTCCTTTCAAGTTCACCGACAACGTGATCTATAAATGGGTAGAACACATTAATCCTGTAATGGTCTGATGGCCGATCCTTGTGTGTGGTGTTTGCTCGATGGCGTTGAACAGTCTTTGTGCGAGGCTTTCAGGGTGACGTTGATAGAGTCAGCTACTTGGCTGATTCGACTCCACACCTTCTTCGTCGTTCCTCTATTGAAAGCCACTTAAAAATGTCCACCAGAACTTCAATGGGCCAGGGGTTTTCTTCTATCATGATTCCACCTGTGGGAATATACTTATGAAAATACTCATACAAGAAAACTAATTGCTACGTAACCATCATAGGAAGATTCTGCAACTTAGCTTCTTCAGTCAATCATATCAATGAGCCCTCCAAAAATTAGAGTACCGTTGAGTGATGACGATGGTTTGCGAAAACCGAATCTAAAGTCAAATGATAAATTGTATTCAACGTACCTTCCGTGCTAGTCGATTCCTCACTTGTTTGGTTCTCATCGTTGGAGCTCTCGAATTTTGAAAAGTTAAGCTTAATTTCATAGAGTATTCAATCACTGGACGGTTAAACTGCCATGTTGTTTTGTCCAATCTACAAAACTGTTGAGTGGATCACCGATTTTCATACTACAACGAGCTAAGAATGAACCCAGCAACCAAGGCAACTATTAGATGTAATAAATAATACACGTTGTAGTTGATACTTACCTTTTATTGGCGTCAAAGAAGTCCATTACCTCGTTGAGAGGAAGCCGGGCGCTTTCTTCTCGACATTTTCCCAGCGGATTGAGAGAGAAACGTTTTGCAAACGTTGGCAAGAAACACGCGTCAACTTTTTCCCGCCGAATTCTAAATCTCAGGTAGCCCAAATTACATTAGCATTATTTTCACAAGAAAACTCGTACTGGCTTTTACCTCGAAAGATTTTCCAAAATAATTATTTGGAATTTACATTGAAGGATGCCTTTTCAGTCAATTAGTTGGTTTTCTTGAGATTTCGGACCAATATAACTTCAAGAAATAGCCCAACAAACTCAAACACTATGTTAAAAAAAATTTTAGTTTTCCTGGCGGGGGCATCTGCCCCCCCCCCCCCCACTATGTGCAGCCCTGAAATAGTGAGTAATAACTTACCTCCAACAAATAGGAGTGGCGATCGAAAATAAAGAAACGCACATGGAAGACTTGACGGAAAGACAGTCGTTAATTATTTGTCGATCCTGATCCGATCGCCGACGCCTGATGCGAAAAATAGGACGATATCGGAGAAGACGGAACTGAATTCTGAGCATTATCCGAAGATTTCTATTTTTACGGACAGACGGACGGACGGAATTGTACGCTGAGTAGCATAGTATCTACCGCCTCGCAGAAGCCCGTAGATTAAAAAAAAGAAGCAAGAATCAGCTTGGAATCATCAGGCGTTACAGGTACTAGATACCAACCCCTTAAGAGTATTTTGATTAGTGTCCAGTGCATTTTCGGCTTGGGCAAGGCAGTGGTTCAAAATGGCTGACGTGAAGTTACGTCCGCGCCAAGTTTTCTTCGGCATTCTTTGCATGGTAAAATTGCTTCAAGGTAAGTTTTAATGCTGGCAACATGTGCGTGTAGCTGATAACGGTAGGAGGTAAACGAGGAATTGAATTAGTGATTCTGGAAAGTGATGCTATGTTGGTGCCCTTCGACAACAAAATCGTGGTGGTTCGAAGCGCGGCATTGTAAACTTAGTACACAATTGTTAGGAATGTTTGAAATGACTCATCGTACTCTATTGACTTCGAAGTAATTTCTGAAGGCGTCCACTGCCATTGATTTGTTCAACTACTCGGGAGCTTCGAATTAATCCCTGGTTTTTTTTGAAAATATCATACATTATACGAACAACTAGCAATTCAAAATTGACGCGTGACATCATAGAGAACGATTGCGAACAAGATTGTAGTAACCTAGCTTAAAGGTATTGAACGAAGCAGGACCGAGGAAAAAGCTTTTTCCTTTTTTTCCACTCAGCTTGCATGCTACAGACTTCCCATTTTCATTATTGCAGGCAAACCAAACTCAACGCAGGCTACAACAGTTACAACTAGTACAAGTCCTAAAGGTAAAAAGACATCATTCATGCAGCTGGGATGAAAAATTAGGGATTGAATTTAGGTATCTAATCTACAAAAGGATGGGGGGTGAAGCTTGCGCCATCATATTGGGTTTAAAACTAATTCAGTTATTCTGCAAATCGTCTCACACATTTAGCTTCACTTAGTTTACTGCTAAGCTACTATACACCAAGAGGAAGCTACACATATATCATAAATTCATATACTCTCAGGTACTGTTAGTAGTTTTTTTTTCTTTTTTCGGATAGACATGTCAAATTTTGGGTTCTTTTTTTTTAAAGATAGTTAAAATTCTCGTGAATGTTACTTTTAAATTGGTAATCATACAAACTAAAATTAAGATACTTCACTCGAATTGGTTGTTCTATCAACTAATTGATATTGTATTTTCTCATTTATTTGATTTTATTGTAATCATACCAGGACTTGATCTTCTGTTGTTGATGACTGAGTCCATAGCTTCAGACAGCATATTTTCATTATTGCAGGCAAACCAAACTCAACACAGGCTACAACAGTTACAACCTGTACAAGTCCTAAAGGTATCATACCAGGACTCTTGTACACTCAAACTAGCAACTCCACTGTCCGTAAAGGTAAGGCAAATTAATTCAGTGGTATTCTTCACCCTATTTTGTGTAAAACTGATGAAATGAAGACTTCAAAATTCTGATACTCTACTTTTTTTTTTTTGTTCTTTTAGAGTCAGCCTACATGATGGAGACTTTTGAACTATCATTTACAAGATTAGACCACAATCTAACTGCTGTTCGTATTAAATATACACTCATAAAAGGTGCCACAATCATTGTCACTATTGCAAAGGACAGAGAAGATGACAGATTTAGTTGCTGTCATCATGTTACTCCAAAATCTACACCCTGTTCTGATGATTCCTTCTCCATGAATGAAACTCACATTTCCTTCAAACTAAGTAATGTTACCCCTCCAGATGCTGGTCGATACATCTGTACAAAGTATTCATCAGGGATTTACGATATAACATCCGAGGAAATTGATCTTTACATACTAGGTAACGTATGCAAGCATGTTTTAATGATTTCCTGACACTAACGCCAGGCTAGCCTTAACCAGAACTGACTTTAAGAAAGACCATTAATTATGTTTCATTTTTTCTTTCTATCAGAAAGACCAACCATAGAAATAATCAATGATGAGACATTGGCTCCCAGGGTAAACAGCAGTTATTCCGGTTAGTATCAATTATAATTATGAATTCATTCCACTCAATGCCTTGACTGACTGCAGGTTTCACTGCAGCCAGAATCTCATAAGGCTTACAAGTGTGACTCTTTTCCCTTTTTTTTTTTACTTAGCATGCATGCTACAGACTTCCCATTTTCATTATTGCAGGTAAACCAAATTCAACGCAGGCTACAACAGTTACAACCAGTACAGTTTCTAAAGGTAAAAAGGCATTATTCATGTAGCTGGGATGAAAAATTGAGGATTAAATTTAGGCACCTAATGGTTAACAAAAAGATGGAGGGTGAAGTTAGCTCCATCATATGGAGAATAAAATAAATTTAGTTCATCTGCAAATTGATTCACACATTTAGTTATACTTAGTTTACTGCTAAGCTACTACACACTATGAGGCAGCTACTCATATATCACAAATAAACATACACTCAGGTACTGTTAGTAGTTTTTTTGTTGCAAATAGACAGAACATGTCAAATTTGGGGTTCTTGGTTTTAAAACATATTTAAAATTCTTATGAATGATGCTTTTAAATTGTAAAATCTATCCATTTGTCAGTCAGTCAGTCCATAAGTCAACACTTGCATGATGTATGTAATGCTTATTAACTTAGCTGAAAGTTCATCTGGAATGCATTTCTTTCATGTGAATCTCTTGTAATATATCCTAATAAATTAACCAAGTTGAACACATAATTATTCATAAAATCTCAATTATTACTTCTAAATCATTGATTGTACTAGTCATTCTTTAATTTTTCTTCTTTTTCTTTTGCAGGTACAGATAACACGAATCATGCAGTCATCATTGGGGTTGTTCCTGCTGCAGCCATAGTTATCCTGATTGGAGTGATTATTTATTGCTGTTATCGCTCACGTTGCAAGAGAAAAAAATCTAAAACTACAAGAACTACCGAAGAAAAGGTTCCTTTGAATTAATCGATTTTGTAATTTTGTATCATGCTGACCTTTACTGTGGAGGCAAATCATTTTTACTGTAATGTGAATATTCCCCTGTTAATAGGTACTTCATCTGGATTTACAAGTAAAGTGTACGTGTTTGTCTGCGCCAGACAAGTTTGAGAAATCATATATGAAGGGATATTTTGTATTATGTCTTGCCAGCACAAGCTGTAATATTTATTATTTTAAAAAAAATTTAACTAGACAGATAACTATAATTATTATAACAATTAGGAGTAGTATTGTTAGCAGGAGACATTATTATAGTTTTGATGATGTAATAGATGTTTCCCCATTTTGTTTGTGGTATGTGGATAAGCAGTTGTAGAAAATTAACTTTGCATATTTTGCATAATTTTTAATTATTTTTTTGGCCCATTCTAGATCTGAATAGATTAATCTGGTTAGGGGGTGATGGGGTGATGGCACTGGGTGGTTTTTAGGAGTATTATTGTTAGCAGGAGACATTGTTATGATTGTGGTGATGTAATAAATGTTTTCCCATTTTGTTTGTGAATTAGGATAAGCAGTTGTAGTGGAAAATAAACTTTCCGTACTTTGCGTACATAATTTTTAATTATTTTTTGCCCATTCTAGATCTGAATAGTTTAATCTGGGTAGGGGAGGTGGGGTGATGGCACTGGTGTTTTCTTTTTTCTTTGTCGAAAACACAAGAAACCAAATACACAGAACGGTGCTGCAGTATTTAGCAGCAGCCCACATAGAAGATACTAGAAAGAGGCATTATGGCAACGTGCAGCAACCACGATTGACAAAGTTGCTATTGAGACTGAGATGAACCAGAGGGTGCGCCTGCTTCAATTGCAATGTGAAGAAAAGCAGGTTGTTCTCATAAACGCCTTGCAACGTATCTGAAGGTACAGATGACGGTTAAGCAGCTCCGAGAGCCTTCCAAAGAGTCAAAGGATAAATGCGAGCGCAGACTTGCAAAAGCGATCAGCAACTTAATGATACAGACAAGAGAGCCTATTCCCAAATGCACTCTCCTCAATCCTGTTAGTTTATTATGGACATGTAATGGTGGTTACAACTTGTGGAAAATGGTTGGGTTGAAATGTTATTCAAAGGTTTGCCAGTAGATGGTCAAAACGAAACTTTTATTTCAGTAAGATTTATCGCTGTATTTCATGTTAACACGTTGCAACAAATCCACCATCCAGCAAATTCAATTATTTGCAAACATGAGAAAAACCATCTAAAACTTTTCAACCTATTTAATATAGCCAATAACAACATCAATTCCACTTTTAAACTAAAGAGAAAACTTGACTGATGTTTGGAATTGATTTCCGTGATGTACAAATGAAATCCAGGTATTATCTCAAGCTTTCTACAAATGTCTTCATCGTCGAATCCTAAGTCTCTCTTCGTCATCAAGTTTTAATCATGGTATTCTGGTTCTAGCTTAGCTTAGCTTGTCTTCCTTTAAACAAACTTTCGCAGCGCAAGAAACATGTTAAACAAATTTCGTATTTCCATAGCTAGAATTACTGAGATCATGGACAGTTGGCTTTAAGACACCTACATTATATGCAGTTACAGCAGAGTTTACCGTATTCAATAACAGAAAAAATCTCTAAAAGACACCGTTTTTTTCCAGCTAGAGGACAATCATGAATCAAGAATAGCCAAAAGTCAGAAAAAGTAAAGAAAGAAATAACAGATTCAAACACGAGTTGAAAATGACTTTTCTTTTTAATTTTCTACGCTTATCAGAGGAGGTTGAAACGTTAAAGAAAAACGGTGGGGCAAGCAGTCATAACTGGCAATTTTAAGAGAAGATATGAGAAGCCTATACGATTCTGGCATATTATTTTACTGACTCACTGTTCTCACGTGTATACTCTTCAATCGACCGGAGATGTCTAATGCGAAGTAGTTTGACGTCGTTTCTTTCAATTTTGGCTCATTTTGCCAAACCGAAATTATCAGTCACGCTCAATAGAATTTAATTTCAACTGGTGTTGAAATCATACACTCTAACTGAAGGAGATACATTCCCCATCTTCGAAAATTTGCTCTAAACAGAAACAATAAAAAAGTTCCTCAGCTGCTTGACTTTACCGCTGACTAGCATGCGTGTTCATCGCTTTGCAAGTTGTGACATCGTCTCCAGGTTCCAGACTTCGTCCCCAAATCCCCTTGAAAAAACTCTTGTACAGCCAGTGTTGAAGAGTTTTCTTACATTTTTTAATTAAAATGAAGGGCTGGAAATAAAGCTAATAAGAGGTCCGCTTGTACGCTTGGCTAAATCTATATATTATACATTACGCCTAGCTTATAATTTGCGAGGTATTCCGAATTTTTGTACAGAAAGGATGCGTTTAAGTTTCCATCCAAGACGTAATTGATTCGAATGTCGGTCGCCTGGATGGCTCTTGGTCCCAGCACCGAAGCATCAATTTATACCTGTGGGAATCAAGTGATTATGTTGTCAAGATAATAACTTGTCCGAATGAATGTAGAGGCATTGCCTTTTTCTGCTTTAATGATCGGTTTTCGCGGGATAAACCCAAAACCCCAATTATCAAAACTGCTTTAAATTCAGGAAATTTGTGATTTATAAACCGCACCTCATGGTAAACAAGACGTAACCAATAAAAGACATTTGTGAAGTCCTGAGTCGGTTTTTCTCACCAAGCTTCGATGTAACCAGCCGCTCAGTAAAAGAACAAATGGTATGACGATTTGAATCGTTGGGCCAAAACCCGTCATTAAAATGACATTTGTGGCGATGAGCCTGAATAATACGAACGCAAGGTAAAATAAAGATCTATTCCCTAGGTTAGTAGAACCTTGTGGAGAATTACTTACATGAAGGCAAAGCACCTCCTCAACTATAGCTTTTAATACAGCAATTTTCAATTGATTTTCGAAGTAATCCGGATTGTACTGGTTTTGCTTTTCTTTGCTATTTGACTGGTCCAGAAAAGTTGCGCTTCTCTCTCAACCAATCAAATTCAAAACTGAAACCAATCACAAATTCATCACTCGCGTTTTCCCGCGCTTTCGGCAGTTTGCTCGTTTTACTTTGAGATCTGATTGGCTCTTTGAGATATTTTCTTTCTTCTGATAAGCCGCAATGATTATTTTTGGTTTTTTTTTTTTGACACTTAATCCAAAAGCGTTCTATAACACTTATTGTAATTAAGGCCTATTGATAAGTGTGAATGTAGATGGAACGTGATTCTACGTACAATTCTCGGCTCACGCCTGACGACCTTCGCAATCTGTGACCATGTGACACGTATGTAAATACTTCTTGTCCGCTCATTCCATCGTAAGGGTTCCCCCCTGCAAAGATAAAAGTATAAGTTAGTATTTTTGCGAAGACTTTAAAAGATGTCAGCTCCCAGAAAGCTGAAAAAAAAAAGATTCTGTAGAAAAGATAGTACTGAGTGATAACAGACTTGCAAATTTTCTTTTCAGTAGAGTGAAAGGTTTGAAACCTGAAGCAGCAGTTGATTGTGTAGTCTACTCGTCAGGGATATGGTAGCTCTGAAAAGGAACTACTATTCCCGAATGATCACAGTCATACTTTCTGTTAGCAGGTGCGATACCAGCCCCTCACGATCGCACTTGACATTCCAGTTTAACAGTCTACATTGATTGTCTGGTCTCCTCGAAAAGAGGTGACCTAGTTAAGCTGGTATCGTGTTATCCTCTGGCTTTCTCCGCCATATTACTGTTTTTACTCCGAAAAAAAATTGACGACGCTTGAAATTGGAGTCCAAATAACCTCAAGTCTCCCACAAACCTGGAAAAATTCCACTTACCGAGTGTGAATATCTCATGTAGGACGATGCCATAACTCCACCTAAAAAAGAGAAAGACAAAAAGAAAGACAAAAAAGTACTACGTATATATATGTTATTCACCAGCCAAGATCGGTCCGTATTGGGAAAGACTGTGCCATCTGTCTTGTGAACGGCCTCGGGCGGTATCCAAGACAGAGGGCAGAGTTTTTCCCAATACAGACCGACCTTGGCTGGTGAATAACATTTTTATTTTTTTCTAAAACCTAACAAATGGTTGCGAAAAGAACTGTGAGTGGGCTGGATGGGGAGAATACTGCCCGCTCTCGGAACCAATCAGATTGCAGGATTTGTAGAATACCGCCCGCTCACGAACTGAGAAAAAAAATCATATTACCGCTATCTGTCTCAGGTGATTATCACTATTTTTGGTTTGCGAAGAGTCTCTCGTAATGTAGACTATCGAAAAGTCTATCGTATACAAGGAACTTTTCTCGCTTTCTTACATGATCAGGTAACTGTTCAGCAGGAAACAGTCGGATGGGAAACATGAAGATTTGATTTCACGCTAAAGAGACATTGAACTCTTAAGAAATGCACTGAGTAAATATCCATTCGGGAAAGTGCTATCACTTCTAATTCAAGCTTATCGATCTACTTACACGTCACTTTCTGCCGTAAAAATTTGTTTTGTTAGTGATTCAACTGCCATCCACTTTACTGGTACAACTCCCTGTAAAATAACGCAATAACAATTTAATCACCTTCGGTATAAAACCAGAATAAGTGTTTTGTGAGTTCAGTTGTCAATAAAGTTTTAAGTTCCTCAAGCCTGAGACACCAGGGTCAATGTGATCAAGTCTGAGAAGTAACGAATTTGAAAGGTCGCGGGAGAGTGGGGTGGTGGGAAGCAGTGCGCACTCACCGAACCTGTTTGTGGGTGCATGCTTACTTACATTCGACCTCCTGACATAAATTTTATCTTTGCCAAGATCTCTCGCCATTCCAAAGTCAGTGATTTTACAGCGCAGACCCTCGCCAACCAACACGTTCCTCGCTGCCAAGTCTCGGTGAACAAACTACGAGTGAACAAACAATTTGATTAATAATATTTTACCCTGTGTTTAACCTCGTGAAATAAATTTCTCATCACCATCGTTTTGAATTATCGTTATTCATTGAGAATTGACCTCCACGAGGGATTTCGCAGTTCAGTTTGAACTGTTGTATTTCCAATTTTGACAAATACACCTCTTATTCTTAATTCTTAACTTTGTGTTTGTCCAACTTTAGTTAGTTTCCTTTTAAGCGCTATTAACACGAGTAAATGTCTGTTGGTATGTAAGCTAGAAGTATAAAAATTGAAATATCCCGTATGGAAAAAGCGTATACTTGAGTTTAGTATATGCTAAAAACGTGGATGGTGTTGAAGACGCGTTTTGATTGGCTTCTCAAACTCCAAATATCCTTTGCTATTCACCTCCGAGCAACTTGCGCTGAACCTGCGCCCGAAAATATTGTAATCTTTGCAGGAATAAATTAGATAAAATCATCTTTTGTGCTATGTTATCTCAGAGTTTAAGTTTACACTTACACAACTTTTCATTTCAGTGGCAGTGGCTGGCGGTAGATATTTAATTGTTAAATATATCGCTGAGTAATTTTTAAATATATCACGTGTCATAAAAATGGTACAGATTAAGTGAAATGCTACACCTGGTGAGCCGATATGAACGCCATTCCCCGGGCAATATCACAAGCGAATTTGTAAAGTTGTTCTGTTGGTATTTTCGATGAAGTTTCAGCGCATTTAACGTCGTAGTAGTCATCTGTCTCGCCTCTACTTTTCTTTAGATATCCAAGGAGATCGCCATGAGATACAAACTCCAGAATAACAAGCGGCGGCCCTGAATATGCAAAGAAAATGAATCGTTGGTGTTTAAGTTATGCAATAGCGTTCTGAAATAGACAAAGATGAATTATTTTGTGACTCTAGAAGTCAAATAACTGCATTAAGCCGCTAATAAAATTTATTTTGTGATTGCTGATAAGCCCTGGTTTTTGAAACAACAATACCTGAGGTGAAAACGACCATCCTTCTCTCATCCCGTCGACAAACGCAACTAGGATGTGGTTATGAAGAAAAAAACCAAACAAACAAACAAGCAACAATGGCAAACAAGGAAGTCAAATCTCTCCGGGTTGCATATTTTTCAGTTTTGACACAACAAAGACCGGCATTTTCCTTCCGACTGTTTACTTTGCTCATTTAGGATAGAAATAATCCAACTCACTAAATTCTCGCCCTCCTTTACATCGGACTACGTCTTTCGTCAAGCAGCCCAACAATTGTATTACGTTAGGATGAGGTTTAAGTTTCTTCAACAGGTCCAGCTCTGACAACAAATCCATTCGATCCGACTTCGAGGAATTTTCTGCAACAGCGAATGTTATGAAAACTTTAGTTACAATATTTCTAACTAAATTTTGTTCATTCGTTCCTCCAAAAAACTTGGTACATATATTTTTTTTTAAGTTTTAGCTGTGAAGCTTTAAATACAAAACGTATTCTTACACACAAGTAAAGAGTTCCCCGAATAATTTGCGACTTGCTACCTCCTCATTTACTTATTGATGTGACACAAAATTCTTTCCTTCTTTTTGAAGAAGTATTGCTTGCATAAAAATGTGCCTTTATCGATTCTTATTACTGATGATCCAACAGCACATGCGACGAACTCCTCACTCATTAGAAAACGGAGCCGAATCTTAACTTTCTAGTAGTTTTAATGTAACATTATCCCTTTGGTTTTAAATGATAACATGTGTTTCTGTGTGGCAGAGATAGTGAAAGTAGAAACTGCATGATTATGTAACGTTTCCCAGTCCTAGATTAGTTATCTCAGAGAAAACATCATTTACGAATCTAAGATTTTTTAGCAGTGCATGCAAGCACCGCTCTGAGGTATAAGATGTAACGCTCCATCCTTTCGCATTAAAAGCTGTCGATAGTCAGTACGGATTTATAGGCATTTTTATATTTTGTTAGCAGTAACACATACCCTTTAGCATCTTAACAGCCACAATAGACCAGCCTTGAGTACCACGCACATCCAACACCGCACCTTCCCACACTTGACCGAATGTTCCACCACCGATCCTTTTAAATAGTCTCAAGCGTTCGCCGGGAACTTCCCAGTTGGTGTTGCTCTGCACTTTTGTGTATGGTGACTCCTTCCTGGAAGTAGAAGCTAACACTGATCGTGGATATCTTGGGCTCTCGTGTGGGGTTCCTGTACATCTATCATTCTGATAACTGTGTTCTTCGTGTAGAACTCTTGGATGAGGAGTGCAGAACCTTGATTGGTTAACTCGTTCGACACCTGCACGTTGACTGTCACATAATCGTGAAGTTAAGGTCATTCCTGCAAACGTGGACGATTTTCCTCTGGGCTTAGGTACAGGACGACCTTGGGGCAAGGTTTGTATCTTTCCCTGAAAACACCTGGAGTTATTTCTGTTTTGAAACGCAGGTTGTAAGTGTTCCACTGGTTGCAAGTAATCTTCTGAATGATTCACTCCTTCAAGTTTGTTCTCTCTGAACGTGTCAAGACGTCGGACTGTCGTTTCCTCTTGAACTCGGACAATGTTTTCATTCCCTGCATTTGGAGCTGTAACAACTTGGGCGTTCACTTCAGTGAAGTTGTGCAACACCTCATAACTTTCACGTGAAGAAAACTTTATACAAGACATGACCTGCTTACCAGATGAGCATGCAGCAGCAACGGAGCTCGTTTCGGGTCTCTCTCGTGTTCCTTCCTTAGTGTTAACCGCTACTGCTGATACTGGTTGCTCTATCGTCAACGAGGATTGTAAAAATCCCAGTGAAGACACCACTGTCGTCACTAGTTCTCTTTCTAAAGAGCTCTCATAATTTTCACGTGAAGAAAACGTTGTACACGACATGACCTGCTGATCAGATGAGCATGCAGCAGGAACGGAGCTCATCTCAGGTGTCTCTCCTATTCCTTCCTTAGTGTTAGCCACTGTTGCTGATACTGGTTGTTCTATCATCAACGAGGATTGTGAAAGTTCCAGTGAAGTCACCACTGTCGTCACCGGTTCTCTTTCTAAAGAACTCTCATAATTTTCACGGGAAGAAAACTTCGTAAAAGGCATGACCTGCTGACCAGATGAGCATGCAGCAGGAACGGAGCTCATCTCAGGTGTCTCTCCTATTCCTTCCTTAGTGTTAGCAACTATTGCCGATACTGGTTGTTCTATCGTCAACGAGGATCGTGAAAGTCCCAATGAAGTCACCACTGTCGTCAATGGTTCTCTTTCTAAAGAATCCTCGTGAGCCTGCAAATAAATCATACAATAAATTGATGTTGTTGGAGGTTAGATACTTAAGTCTCTGAAGGAGATGAGATTACGTCAAGGGTAAAAGAGATTATTTCAGAAAGTTTAGTAACTCTTATTCTTTAATTTTCAGGACTGGGTGGTACTTGTGGTGGGTCGATCAGTGTATGGATCGGTTTTTGTTCTTGGCATGAACTGAATTCTGCCATTCTAACAAAGCTGACCTTAATCTCTTCATGGTGGCTAATTCGCATTATCAACTCGGGTGACAAAATCAAACTATCCTGGAGCACTCGACCTTTTTGTGGCAATGAGAGAAACTGGAAATAGTAATAGTAAAGCAATATTTGGATTAAACCAACGGTAACTAGTAACTATTTACGGAAATGGAGAAAGTTTCGTGGTAGATGAACGTTAGTGGTGGATGTTTACCAAGCTGCGATGCGGTGAGGTAATTATCCACCGCTAGCCACCGACTATGAGGTGAATAGTTGTTTAAGTATATACCAAATAGCACAAAAAGATGATCTTGACTAATTTACTCCTTCAACGATTAAAATATTTCCGAGCTTAAATCCCGCGTGAGTTGCTCAGCGGTGAATAGCAAGGGATGTTCGGCGTTTGAGTGGCTAATCAGGGCGCGCCTTCAACGCCTTGAGCTGATTTAGTTTACACTAAAAGAGACCATACAGATTATACTTTCCCCACCTGATCAAACGCAGAATTTTCTTGTAAAGTTAAATGCAATATGGTTAACCTGAAAAAGCAATGCATATCAGAAATTGAAAATCCATTTTTTTGTTATTTATCAACTCATCGACTTAACTTTTGATTCATTGCGAGTACTTATTCTAATAAATGAAAAAATCATATTGATTGACACAGAGTTTAATACATAGAGTTTTTGATGTCTAGCTCGTTGAACTTCGACTTTTTCCAGGGAATCTACAAAATTAGAGAAAGTTGAACATCATCTATAATAATAACAACTATATGAGATGTGAGATACTGAAATTTGCCTCGTAAGGATTACTTCGCCACTGAATGCCTACCCTCCGTTCCTTAAATCTTGAGGTCCTATGGAGTTTTGAAGAGAAAAATAGGGAAATTGTTACTCTTTTATCTATGATGTTTCCTTCCCTTTCACTCTAATGTAATTTCACGTCTTCAAAAGACTGAAAGCTTTATCCTTGTCTTCATCATCATCGATGGTTAAGCTGTAAGGCATACATTATTACAAAAAATATCTAAATTGTAATGGTTTACTTCACTCTGCTCTGTGATTGTAAGTAACTCTCCAGCCAATCAGATGCAAAACTAAAACCACTGGCGGCTCGAATGAATTGTGTTTTCTTGCTCTAGAGGCAATTTGCCTGTTTTTGTTTTGAGCTCTAGTTGACTCCATTTAATATGAGTCCAAAATTATCCTTTCTTCTGATTGGCCTCTGTTATAACATGTACTACAGTTTTTGTCTTACGAAATTCAATCGAAGGGCACGCTTTAAGTTACTTACTTTGGTCATCTCCTTTGTCTTGGATAATTTTTATTCGCATTAACACGATTGCACTTAACACTAAAAAAGTGATGCCCAGTACTATCAAAATTATGAATTCAATTTTCCACGGGGACTCAACGTCTTTTTGTCCCCTGCTGGAGAATGGAGTCAGTGCAGTCTCACTCTCTGTCGAATGAAATTTGAAATTAGTTAACATCTAGGAAATGGGGTGAGGTTTTGATTGGTTCACTGGATTGACGCGTCTACGGTTTGAGCCTAGCCGGTCATTACTTTTCCCTCCCAGCTCTGTGTTCTTGGCCAAGACACTTAAGTCACGTAGTTCCTCTCTCCATTCTATTACAAAACAACCCAATTTCTGGGCTTTAAAGTCATTTCCGTTTATACGGCTTTTTGTCTACGATAACCATGAAATGGTTAGATACACATAAATCAGTCATACCTATGAGCAAAATTGAGTCTCATGGCAGCCAGCATGTACCTGCAAACTTTTATGTGACCTACTGACCGAAAATAAATTGACTATGAAGAAACACATAGGACAGTGATGATGATTTTTTTTCACCAATCTTCTGGTCTATAGATTCAATGTTTTCCTACCTGTCGGAACTGTTTTGAGAGATATGTCGTTTCCTTGTGTAACTTTGTCTTCAAAGTCGGTGGATATGTTCAGCATTTTGTCTCTGTCCAACCCACTCTCTCCACATTTGTTCCAAGCTTTCACCACGAACGAGTAAGATGTATTATCCTTAAGTCTAATTTGAAATATGTTTACTGTAACATTTTCCAGTAGCCAATATTCTTCACCCTCACGTTTTTGCAGAACTGTATACGTCACCTGCAGCTCTCCTTCACTTTCAACCGCTGACCATCGTAGCGTCCAGTTGGGACTGGTCACTATTTTGTCTGAATTCAGTATAGTTGGACTTTCCGGAAGTACTGTTTCAAGCGGGAAATTTAGTTGTTAATGAGGAATTCCAGGGGAAATAGAAAGAAAGGCTACGGTCAAAAGTGTACTCGTTAGCTCGTCCGGTGATCAATGAGAAGGCATTTTAGGATTCATATTTGAGCATTGAGAGGAATGCAAAGTTGACATAACAAAAATGATTTATAGGGAAATTCCTTGAATTTTTATGCGATCTGCTTGAAGGACTAACAAGATCAGTGGTGGTCGGTTTATCTTGCGTTAAAGGGGGTAAGTTTCTTTAGAAACCGTAGAGCTGCGTCAGTTAAGGATTTCACAAGATAATTTGGTTTCATCAATTGAGTTGATAATGCCGTGTTAAATTGGCCATCGTTTATGGAGTTTCTAAAGCTGACCTTTCGGTAGTCAGAACGAAGGGCTCTGACGAAGGGCTTACGCTCGAAGCTTCATCTTAAGGTGATTCCTCAGTATTGCTCTACGCATCCTGTATTGCGCATAAAAATCATGCAATTATAAGAATGAGCGCACGCGCATTCCGAGAACACGGTATTGTTTTCAATCCATGGACCAGGTAGAGAGGTACGATGGTCTTCAGCTCTTAAGCAAGGACGGTGACCCATTTTTTTTGTTGCATGACTTTGGAGAAAAAATTATCCCCTTGGGGAAATTAAAAAAAAAATCTTAGAAGGGAAAAAAAGATAAAGCTAAAAGCGTGCTCGAAGCTCGTTACAAATTGTGAACTTGAAAGGAACGACTCGAGGAACGTTTTATGTCGATGTCGGTTAACTTTGTGTGATTTTCCCGCAATTATATATCAAATTGTTCCATACGCTCGAGACTCTCTACCTATCAAGTTTTTTTCAAGTGGTTCTTCAAAAACTGTTGCTTCCAGTTGCAGCAAAATGCACCGTGAACCTATGAAATGACGCGCGTGATTGATGCTAGTACAGGCATAAATGGGGCAAGTTTGGCCCGTCATATATCCTAAACAAGCTCGATGACCTATCTTTTTTATTGTATTTTTCGAAACAGACATTGGTAGGGAACACTTAAGGACAGTTTGAAAAAACTGTTCGATAACTTTTTCTGAGGAATCACCTTAAGAAACTCTGTCTGGCAAGCATTATCATGTGAAACCATTTACCTCGTAGGATAACAGTCCTAGTATCTTCTCCGGCGGAGTTTTTAGCGACAGAAACGTAATCGCCGCAGTCCTCAGCTGTGATATTTCTTAGGGTCAATATGGCTTTAAAAATACCGCTGACTAATACTTTGTCATTTCTTTTCCATATGACTTGAACAGGAGACAAGCCTTGGGCACTACATATAAGGTTCACGCTCTGTCCTTTCCTGAGCAGGGGCGGTTTACTGACGTTTGTGATTCTCGGTAAATAAGAAATGGCTGCAAAAAAAATTATCTAGATCAATCTTCCGGTAACTACTTGTAACTAGAAATTACCTTTATCGATTTCTTTTGATAATTCAGGGACCCCTCCGGTCAAGGAACTCTTACTTTGATCCCAACAGAACAAACAATGACCCTATCACCTTATCAATTGGTGCCCTCATTGAAGAGACATGCATGTACCTCTTTTCAGTGGACTCCGTCTAAAAACTTGCGAATGAACCATAATCACAGCAACCAAAAGTACAATTTTGAGTTACTGCCAACATAGTCCGAGCTGTCATGAACGATATTACTTACGTCTGGACTTAACTTGAAGCTGAACTGTGTCGGTCAACGGGATATGATGGAGACCATATTCCACCAATATTCCATACTTCATGCCATCTTTAAGTTTTACATTGTGAAGTTCAAACACTGCGACAGAGGATGTCAAATTTCCTGCCCAACCCACCGATGACTTATGGGAAGACCTCATTAACGCAAAACCACTCGAGTTGACAGCTATCAACTTCATCAGGGACCTAGGACTCTTCCAAATACCAAACACCACCTCGAAAAGATCATTCTTTAGATCTCCTGAATTGTAGTGCCACTTTAATGACACAGTCTCGCCAGTGAAGGCTTTTGTTGGCTTTTCTGGAGCAGAGATTATACTTGGATAAACTAGAGCTTGAATGGATCCTGTAAATGACATTGCAAGGCACCGGTCATTATTTATGGCAGGGGGGGAGGGGATGGGAAGATTTTGGTTGTGTCACAATAAAGTTTACCTAACCCCCCGTCAAGCCTTTATAGTATTTTAATAATTCCCCCCTTATTGGGAGTCAGTTTTCTATAATTCCCCTCCCCCCTGTCGGCCACGACTGATCCCCCCTTCCGTGAACGTCGTGACCTCACCCCTCCCCCACTCCCCCCGAAAATTCCTCCACAGGCGATAAATAATGACTGGAAACTATATAGAATGAATCCTTGATTAATGCCCTCAATTAAAAAACGTCCAGCTGGCTGATTGTCAAAGATTAAAGACAAGTGTCTATCGTAAACCTACCCACGAACCGACGCTATTTATTCTATCCCGTGCAATGATTGTGATAACGAGTATATCGGACAGACCAAACGTCAATTTGGTACACGTTTAAAAGAGCATCAGAAAGCGGTCTTCTTTTGCAAAAAAGAAAATTCGGCTTTATCGGAGCACACATGCCTAACTAACCGTACAATTGGGGGGGATAAGTGTAAAGCTATTTCGAAGTCTGGCATATCAACTCCGCTCATGCTCCTTTAGATCGTGATGATGGCGGTTTGCTTCCTGACGCCTACACCTCGTCTGGAAAAAGGGCAGTTAATTAATGAGCGTATAAATGGACCTCTTGTTGCAGCGTTTAGATCAACCCTGATGAGGTCACTAAGCAGAAGTGTCGAAACGTTGGGTCTATGAATTGTAACCTCTCGGTTACATTCATTAAATCTTTAAACCAGAGTAGCATCAAACCATGTCTAATTCAGTCTCGGCCGTGTTCGAAGTTGTAAAATTGTCTTGTGACAGACGAAGGGCGAAGGAAGTCGCTAAGAAGACCATGATTTCAATAAGAAACAGAAACGAGCAATGTCCTGAGGAGTCGAGGAGCAGAAAATGGTGGACGAATAAATACCAAATCTGAGATGAGCGCTGAGATGAACCGTGGGTATCTCGAGACAATTGAATTTCTTCTGAGCGACTTTAAAGACTAATCGTTAAGGGAGACCATTTACTAAGCACATCACCCGTGGCTCTTTTTCTAATTATAACACGATCTCATTTTAAAACGTGCATTATCTGTTGCCCGTCTTTAAAAAAAGAGATGCATTATACCTTCAGATGAACTAACTTTGTATTGCGTCTTCAAGACGCATTACGGAGCAAGGTTTCGATAAACGCATAATGCTACTTTTGCCTGTCTTTCTTCGAAGAGACGCATTATGCGTCCAGATGAACTACCTTTATAGTGCGTAAAGCATAAAATATTCACAAATACTATTACTAGCCAAAGTTCTTTTAGAGGAATAATATGTCTTAGGTATGAAAACGGCCATCGATCCATAAGAAAATGGAAAGGGATAAGTGGGAAATTTTATCAACATTTCTGAGAAGTAACGCTTGACTGACTACCGATTTCCTAGAAATGAAGAGGTTAAGTTCAGGTGAACTAAAGCTATATTTCGCATCTGTTGGATACCTTGCTTGCTCATAACATAAGAAAATTGTATTAAGTTTGTAAGCCACCTTTCTGTTGTAAAGCTAGGAAATTTGTCGCGAACATGGAGAAGCCGAAATAACTTTCTTCGTTTATTGAATTTAAATTGTACCCGAAGGTCACTTTCACTCAGTAAACAGATGTTCAGACATAATATTTCCAAACAGGAACATGCTTATACTAATATCTATTTGTCCAAACAGAAATGTTTTGAGTCAAATGGTTAAGCCACAACATGCTATTAAAATTAAATGTGACGGAAGAGCACTTAATTCGTAATCTGACATCTCACGACAAGCTCATTACAAGGTAAGCGGCGGCACTGGTCTGTGAACGGAACGATAACTCGAAACTCCACTTTCAAAGTCTCGAGACCCAGCTTTCGCGGGGGTTGCGAATGCTTGGTCGCTCTCCTTAGTTGCTCAAAGCGTTATAAAACCACTATTTGTCGATTAATTTCAAGCCTTTTTCTCGGATTTTAGTCCTTTAGATCTCAGCTCTTCAGAGGATTCCCTGAAGTCATTGGAAGCCTAAGTCAGAGGCTAAATTCACCTCAAGAAATCTCATTCAGAGATAAATTAATTCCATTGAATCTTGATGAATGAATGCAGACTATTAGTTACTATACTACTCATACTTGTTGCTGCAAAAAGACAGGCGACATAAAGGACTTCTTTCGGCCATCGGTCCATTTTGTTCATTCAGCCGTCAGTAAGTTTATCGGGTGCTCCTTGGTGCAAATTCAGATTCTCCGGCGCAAATGGTCACTCTTTGTTACCGAGTAACTTAGCTTAAACGGCCGATAAGTCTGAGATAAACTTGATAGACGTGGAAGTAGTAGCCTATCTAAACTATTTAAGTGCTATTTTGATGTCTTGAAACATATCTCTTGGCAAACATGATCGCCAATGAAGCGGAAATAAGTGGGTGGAAAGGAAAGCAACTATGTTTCGAGGAAAAAAAAAACGATTTGAGTTCTGGGAACTTTAATCTCGTTTACATATCCGTAGAACATCAGCCAACCATTCGATCCGGTTAAGTTCGTATACCCTCTTAGCCATGCTGACGCAAAGATTTATAATTGTCCTCAAGTGGCTGATATTTCTTAGAATTGTGACGGAAATCGTCAACTAAAGCAGTGTTTTGCATTGTTTTGCTGTTTGATATTTGCATTGGCTTAAGTTCAAAATTCGGTAAAGTGAAAGTAACACACTGTCTGGCAGCAAAGCCACTCAATGAAAAGGAATTACAGCCTTGAAGCTGCCACAATTTTCCTTTCACAGTGTTCCAGTTACGTGGCAACACTGACTTAACACACAAAAATCTGTAACGAGCAGGTCAGTTGTGTAAGGAGAAGCAGTTCTGATTTCACTTTCCGGCCAGAGTGGATGAGCAAAGTTTCTTAAATAACTCAATTAAGTTAATTTCCTAACAAGGCAGTGATCACGGTTCATCTTTTAACAATGAAACTTCCTCAAGGATTTTTTTTCTTGCCGATCGATGCACATGACCTGCATGTGTTTTACCGGTATCAATAATATTGGGCAGTATAATATTATAGCCGTTACTTTCTGCAAAATTCAGGAGTAAGCACCGGCAAATCCTAGTAAAGATTTCTGGAAAATTCAAAATAAAAAAAAATTACATGAGATCGAAATTGATTTCTCAAGCGCCACACTTCATGACGCTGTAAAATACTACTGAATCTACATAACCTGCACAGAAGAAAATGCAACATCTAACAGATAAGTCGTTAGCATAGTACTAATCCATGCTACTGGTGATAATTGCCTCAATATAGTTTCAGTCCACTGAGTATGACCCATCCTATACCCATACGTTTTTTGCCGGCTGTTTTAGGATCTTTCCTCATGATTCGAACTCATGCATGTATCTCACTTAATCCTCAATGTAGCTGGGTGCAAGTCCACTCAGAGTCTTAGAATAATGTCTTGATTGCGCTGATTTGGTCATGTCACTGTGCTGCATGTTCTAGGAATCTCGTGTTATTAACTAATTATCATTAAAAAATATTGATCAGGATCATTGTTATGTTATGGAACTGCTGCAATATCAGAGCACAACTATATGCAAGTATTGACCCTTAAGTAACAGCCTTGTATGAGTAATTGATTGATTGACATTTTGACCCGATCTGCTTAATCATGCATATCACATTCATCATTTCTCGGAATCAAGGAAAGCTTTTCAGTCCTCATGTTATAAAGTATTCATGGAAAAGTCGTCTCTTTAGCTAAATCTCCGAATCGTAAAGATAAGCTTGCTGTTGGCGGTGTGTATTTTCGAATCTTTTTGCTTAGTTTCTGAAGAGGGAACGACTAAGCTTTAATACCCAAGGATATTCAAAGCAGAGCAGCATTTTTTATCTTGACGATGAAAGTGTATATACTTTCGATCCTGTACGGAGTGATTCAGTGCCTCACAGGTAAGCTTAACATAGATTTGTCGTTCCTGTGTTGAAAATTCGAATGTTATTGAAAATATTATCAACCCCACGTTATACTTTGGAATAACCGAACATTTTGGCAAACATTATTATAAGGAAACCGAAAAACATAAAACCCACAGTTTTCGATATTCTAAACTTGATTGCAGAGCGAGAGATTCAATATCCATAAAAAACCTAATTCAACTGCAAATTACAATGCCCCTTCTTAGACACAAAGGATGTTACGAATTTCAGGCAAATGAAGGCAAATGACGGAAATTCGCTTCGAACACGACGTCGGTTTACCAGCAAAGCAGATGTGTAAATTACATGGTAATTAGCTTTCTGAAATCAAGAAATTTTGTCAGCTCCATTAAGAAAGTGACTCAAGTTTCTTTACCTGAGGGACATGTCGTGATTTCACTCAGTTGATTGTCCTAATAGTTAAATTTTAAATCAGAAATGTCCAGCTAGGTCAGGTATTTTAGACATCCGTTACGACTGATTCCGTTTGCCACTTCTGAAAAAAACACTTAAAGACAAACCAAAAATAGAAAATGATGTCCCTCCTTTTCCTGGAAAATTAGCGAAATGATCTAATCTGGCATATTCCGCATTCATTTAATTTTTGTCTTTGGCTTCAGTGGTTCGTTAGAGTTATCGTTGAACAATTTTCTTTCTCTTAAATTGGATTAATCAAAGCGATGAAGAAACCCTCGATACTTTATCTTTGTTATCTTGTGATTCACTGCGTCACAGGTCAGTCAAACAGTACTTCGATTAGGAGGTGGTGAGTTTTTGAACATGATTTATTACCGGCCAATTAAAAGTCCTACCTCAGTGTTCAAAACGATCGTTAATCAGAAAACCTGAAGAACGGAAAAAGAATGTTATATTTTTAGTATTTTTCAAACCACGTTTTATCAATGAGCAGGTCAAAAGTCTTAAATAAATGCTGGAACGACAGTTTAGACGGACGATGTTTTTCCTGACGAATTGTATATCACACTTTTTTAGAAGAATTGCAAAGCGGGAGTGGATAGTCAAGTAGTGAAGCTATATAATAGATTGATATGCAGAAAGAGTATGCTTACACAGGGCAGTTGAATGCATGGTGCGCCTTTCCAGTCAAAATTCAAATTATTTCAAAATGGGATGAAATGTTTCTATTTCTGTGCCATATTTTCTATTTTAACTTTACAGTTGCTACTATGCAGTGACTGGCAAACTGATGACTCCGTTCTTCAAGATTTCAGGACAATTGTTATGAACTGCATTAAAAATTGTTTTAACTAAGTGTTTGGGAATTGCTTAGGCCTGTTATATTGTAGTGAAATCCTCGTGCGAGTCTTGTGAGCCTTAGTTTGTCATGTGCTGCCAGATCACGCATTATTTTGAGAGTAGTGTCCTTGACCGTTTTAGTGTGGCTTAATACACGTGCAATAATCGTCACCGCTAATCGTGTTTGGGTTTGTCCTTTAACTTTCTTAGAGTCCTCGACGGGGATTTTTGTTTAGGTTTTAGTTCTCTCTTGTTCTCGTAGATTGGTCGTTATTAAGAGAGGATGTCAGCATCTATCAAACAAATTTGAAATAATGTGGCAAGTCGCCCAAAATTCGTTTTCTCTCCAACTTTCGTATTTTTTAGCCCAATATGTCCTTATAATTGTGGTGTAGTTTTTTTGTGAAAATTTATTTTCGTTTTTGAGAAATGATTGTTTTCTTTCGACCGCTCAAATATGCAAATTTTCACCCTGAATATTACCCGAGTTGTGTGTCCTCGTGTAACGAATTTACTTAACGGTATTTCTGCTGGAATAATCCTTTGTTTTATCATCTAAACTTGATCCCCTGTCATTATTGAAGCTGGCAAAGACGTATTTATTTTTTGGTGAAATTTTTGTCCGACATACTTTTTCTACGTCGAAAAGTAGCATCAAAACAAAGACAGTTTTAACAATGACCGATATGACAGAGTCTACTGAGCTTCTTGCTTTTGAAAGACAAAAGGACGGTTATAAAGGGACGTCTACAAAACGAAGACCGAAGACCGAAGACCGAAGACCAAAGACCGAAGACCGAAGACCGAAAAACGAAGACCCTAATTTTTTTGCCCGAATAAGGCACGGACAGTTAAAAAACCAAGCCAAAGCGTTCCTAACATGCCTAACTAACCGTTCCTAACTTCCTTTACAAAATATGTGCAATTTTTATAGTGTCTTTTTATATTCAGTTATAACCTGTCAGTTTTAAGAATCCTTGTTTGAAAGCGTTAAGAATTGAGGCACAGCATGCAGAAACCTCGGCATCACTGCTTCTATTTAAGAGATTCCAGGCAAGATAAGCACAGTTTCTAAACTCCTATATCTACCTTGATTTAACAAAAGGTACCTAAAGAAATTGATCATAATACTATACTTCTAACATAAAGCTTTTTGCAGAGATCATTCCGTGCGGAAAATCGTATCTCAAGGAAGCGAAAATTACTGTACTATATGTCTTTTCGGACCAACAATTGTATCAAAAGCATATCAATGTAATCGTGTACTCTAAAATTTAATTAATATTGTTTACATAATGAAGGAAAAGCATGTTTGAAAATAAACTTTAAGTGCAAGCGCGTGAGCCGATCTGAAGCTTTCTCAAACCATGCACGATCTCAAATAAATCAAGGAAAACCGTTTTACATCGCCGATAGCTTCATTTTCGAGGAATTCGAAAATAAAAGCTAGCACCATAACTGACTCAGTGACAGGTTTCGCATATGGTTTATGTCAGTGGGCGACAGGATCGGAAACTCACGCCCACGAACCGAAGCTCCGTCATTAAATTGGATAGCTCGTTCTAAATCAGGAGCTCCGAAATCATGACCCCGTCGGGCAGCACATACCCCTATAGGCAATGTATAGGAGTTCCCCCCCCCCCTTTCCCCGGGGTCTGACAAAGCGTTTTAGCAAGGATCTTCGTTTTATAGATTCAGGGGGCTTTTTCTACAAAACGAAGACCCCATTGATTTCGCGTCAATTGGCGTCTGACAAAGCGTTTTAGGGAGGGTCTTCGTTTTATAGATTCAGGGGTCTTTTCTACAAAACGAAGACCCCCTTGATTTCGCGTCAATTGGGGTCTAACAAAGCGTTTTAGTAAGGGTCTTCGTTTTGTAGATTCAGGGGGTCTTTTCTACAAAACGAAGATCCCCGTTATTTTCACATCTGTTTGCTTGGTTTTTTAACTGTCCGTGCCTTATTCGGGCAAAAAAAATAGGGTCTTCGTTTATCGGTCTTCGGTCTTCGGTCTTCGTTTTGTAGACACCCGGTTATAAAGTTACTGTAAAAATTTCGAATGTGAATATATGAAAGTCATATATTTGCAATGCGGATAAAGACGTTAACATGAAAAAGATCTTCGCAGTAATGAACACTACTTGAGCATTATGCCGGCAGAAATACCGGAGGTCAAGTAAATTCGTTACATGAGGTCACACATCATCATCATGCCCTTTACGCCTAACAGGCATGTAGGGCAGCAACGTGTTCCCTCCACATCTGGCGATCCCTTGCCATGAACTTGATGCCCTCCCAGGTCTTCCCCATCTCCTTTATTTCCTTCTCAACTGTCCGTCGCCATGTGATCTTGGGGCGACCCCGCTTGCGTTTCCCTTCTGGCGTCCAATGCATAGCAGTTTTTGCAATGGAAGCTTCTTGACGGGTGACATGGCCAATCCACCTCCAGCGTCTCCTCATCAGAATGGTAGCCATTGATTCGGTTCCACACCGTTCAAAAAGATCTTTGTTGGAAATGAAATTACGCCAAAAGATGCGTAAAATACGCCGAAGGCTTTTGGTGTGAAAAGTGGAGAGTTTTGATAGATCCTTCTCCGTTAAGCGCCAACATTCTGAGCCATACAGGAGGGTTGTAAGGACGCAGCTATGATAGAGCTTCAGCTTGGTACGAGTACTATAGGTGGAAGAACGCCATACCTTATTCATCATATTGAGCAAATTTCTGGCCTTGTTGAGACGGCTTTGGATGTCCAGGTCAGTTCCTCCATCTCTACTGATGATACTGCCGAGGTAGGTAAATCTGTCTGTGTAAGGAAGCTCTTCGTTATTAATCTGGACTGGTCGTGTGTTGGTAGCGTTCAGTGCCATAATTTCAGTCTTCTTGCTGCTGATGTTCAGGCCAACTTGCTTTGCAAAGGTGTTGAGGCGATGCGTCTTCTCTTGTATGTGGGTGTGGGTGTGTGATAGTAAGGCTAGATCGTCTGCGTAGTCCAGGTCTTCCAGGTAGGAGAAAGGTGTCCATCTGATTCCCCTGACCTGATCCTCAGTGGTGTGATGCATGATCCAGTACACAACAAGGTTGAAAAGAAATGTAGACATTACACACCCCTGCCTGACACCAGTGTGAACTTCAAATAGGATGTCACCATCACCAACACAGCAGGTAAAGTTGTCATAGAAGCTTTTGATGATCTCAACAAGGTGGAAGGGGATTCCATATGCTCGTAATAACTTCCAGAGGCTGTGCCGGTGCACACTGTCAAAGGCCTTGGCGAAATCTACAAAGTTGATATAGAGAGTTCGCTGCCATTCGGTACTCTGTTCAATAATATTTCTCAGTGTGAAAATATGATCAATACAGCCCCTTCCTCTCCTGAAACCTGCCTGTTCTTCACGAAGTCTATGGTCCACAGCCAGTGATAAGCGCTTCATGATGACCTTCGCTAAGATCTTGCTAGGGGTGGATAATAGTGTAATGCCACGCCAGTTGTTACAGTCAGACAGAGCTCCTTTCTTTGGTATCTTGATGATGACACCCTTATTCAATCGTCAGGAATTTTCCTTCTGTCTCATATGGTGTTGAAAAGTGGCTGCAATATGCTTGCCGTAGTCACAGCGTCTGCCTTGAACAGTTCAGCATTGAGGCGGTCTTTGCCAGGTGCCTTGTGGTTTTTTAGAGAATTAATGGCTGCAATGATCTCTTCTGTCTTTGGTGGTCCGGTGTCAACACTTAGGGGGTCACACGACTCGGGTAATATTCAGGATGAAAATTTGCATATTTGAGCGGTCGAAAGAAAACAATCATTTCTCGAAAACGAAAATATATTTTCACAAAAAAATTACACCACAATTATTAGGACATATTGGGCTACAAAATATGAAAGTAGGAGAGAAAAAGAATTTTGGGTGACTTGCCGCTGTTTGTCTGATGCATGTTGACAGTAACTCTTAAGTACTTGGTTAAGCTTTGTAAATAGCTTCAAGAGCAATTCCGCTACGAGGAAAAAGTACTGAAAGAGTGCTTCGGTTATTGCACAGCTGAGAGAGATCTGATAACTTACAAGGTCACTTCTAATTCTGCTTTTATGCAACATTGCACATCCGGTTATTTTTCTTTTCCATTTCTTTCCACGATTTAACAGTATTTTGCCAAGGAGGGTATACTAAAATTGTTTCTAAACCAAGTGATCCCCTGATTGCCCGTAGCGAAGACAAAGCTACGCTTAATTGGACGCTTGAGCTGCCTCCCTCAGAGACATGGAGCAGTAGCATATTTGAGGTGATGTTTGGAATCTGGAAACATCCAGGATTCCTGAAAACAAAACTCTTGGTCATCGATAGACACGGTGAAGTACTGATAAGACCAAACTACGAAAAGAAAATTAGCTGCGACTTTAACATGTCCAAGCTTCAAGTTGCATTCATACTCCATAATTTAACCATGAAGGACGAGAATCATTACTGTCTTCAGGTTGAGCTTGGCCTTCATCAGCCTCCTTTGACGGATCCTGTGATGCTTCTTCTTGAGGGTAATATATTTGTTACCTTTCATTTGCACTGGGATGCCACAGACCCGGACGAGGGGGTATGTTCTGGGTATGTGCCGCTGGCCACGCAGAGCCTCTTAACCATAGTCAATCAGTGGCCAATAATGGATCTCATTTTAGCCGCTTTTAAGAAAATGTAATTTTCGCGATCCCAACTTAGTCACATTCTGTTTAAGTACCTTTTAAAGCATTTTAAGAAGGTCATTATAACATGAATTGACATATTTGTTAATCCCCACTTACCAGAATCTTCTCACCTCCAAAATCCCCAAAATGTGCGACCCTATTCTAATGACTACAAGAAAAATGTTGCCCAATTATAGTCAATCAATTATAGCCGTGAAAATGTGAGTCCATCCAGTGGCACATCCCCATAAGCTTATAACTAGAAAGTACTCCTCCCCCCCTGGGGGCCACAGATTGCTCCCCCATCCTATCACATAATCATGTCGTGGCTGCAAAGTGCATAGATTTTGCCATGACTATATAGACATACGTTCTTGCTTGATTCATATATATGCAAAGGGAAATATCTATTCCTTTGACCAGTGTTAAAGAGAAATCTCAAACTGTTCTCAGTTATCCTCCAGATCTGTTGTATTAACCATGCAGAGCCTTACAAAGAACTTACGTTGTAAAATACGTACAGGCTATGGTCAGTCACACCCGAGACAAAAAGTTGGCTTTCCTTCTCTGAAATTCACTTCTGATTTAGAAAAACCTAACTCTCAAATATCTAAACAGATCCTCCTAAGATAACTAGTCCAAAACAGGAAAATTTTTCCGTGAACATTGGGGACAACTTGCGAATAAACAGCCAAGCAAAGGGTCTTCCTGCACCTAACATAACATGGACGAAACAGGGGCGAATTTTTGGTAATGATACATTGGTTCTCAATCGAGTAACGCCAAACGACAGCGGAGTCTACCTGTGCAGCGCTCACAACCAGGCTGGTGAAGATCATAAGGAGATTGTGGTTACGGTTTTGGAGCATAATTATGGATCGCAAAAGCTAACAGGTAATTTGTTTGTCGACTTAAATACCTATGAACTAGATTACTAATGCATATACCTGTGTTGAACGATTTGAAAATATCAAACACTCCCCCACTGTAGAAGTCGAATGGGATCATTATCTATTCAAGGAGTTAGTTTCTCTGATCTTTTTTAAGCTAAGGATTTCTTTCGCGCAAGTCATGCTATCAACCACATCATTGTCCCTGTAATTTTAAGTAGTCCACGTTACTCTAACAAGGTCCTGCAATTTGATATCTTCTCCTGATATCGATCATTGGTTCGATTAGCTTCTCTATACATTAAAAAAAAGTGCAAAATTTTCAATTTTCTGAATTGGCCAAGCCGCTCATCCACAAGTTAATAACAGACAGATTGATAACCGAGGTGGCCTCCCCCCAGCCTCTCCTCCCGTCTTTGAGGTCTCTTGCTGTTGAATTTGTATTAATTTTACTTCTGAAGTTGCTAAGAAATGATGACGACGATGATGGTGATGATAATCATCCTTCCTGCTAAAGTGCTTTCTTACTTTTTTTCCAGTTCCCCATATGCCAACACAAACATCACACGATAGAGGAAGTCTTGTGTGGTTATTTCCGGTAGTCATAGGTGTGTCAGTTTTATTAATAGCTGCAGTGGTTATCTTTCGCTTGCGTGGGCGCTACTGCGAAAGGAATCTCGCTTATGGGCAGCATATTGATGAAGAAACAGGTGAGCACTCCACAACTGCCAAGATCGAGCTTAGAGACGATGAGGCGACTGCGGGTTAGTGACTGAGAGACGATAGAAAAGCGGGCAAACAGGAAACAGAGTATACCTTGATCATACTCTATCATGGAGTGCACCATTAGCTGGTATACCGAAATAGTAGCAAAAGCAGCGATACAATTTATCAAACTTTTTTCTCTTTCTCAACTTCCTGCCGGTTTCTGCTCCTAAGCCTCTAAATTGTCTCCACTGACCCGATAGTTAGAAATAAAACTTGCGTCATTGTAGTGCGCTGTAAGTGTGCTTTAAAATGATTGCTAAGGAAAATAGAAAACTTTAAAACAGATCAATTTTTGTTATTGAAGGAAGAGAATTTTTTCATCGAGAAAATGAGAAATAAGTTGCTTTGACAAAAACCATCTACTAGTCTTTGAACAACAATCTGACGCACCCATTTGATGAGTGCATCGGTTCTCAAAATCCTTTGTTTTACAATGTGAGTTCGGAACACAACCCAATCACTGAAAAGAATTCCAAGAACTTGCAACTGAAGAGTTTGTTACCGAAAGTAGCATGGAATGGCTTCGTAGGAGAGAACTTTTTAAAAATTCAAACCTATAATCCGGCCTAATATTAGTAAATACAGCAAGAATGCAATTTTTTGTGCTATATGTATAAATATTTTTTTCAAAACACTTTTTAACAACACGTTTCCTTGTATAAGATGCAAAACATTTGCCTTTTAAGCATGGTCGATTGTACTAAATGGTAGACAGTCAATTCCGTACAAAACTATTAAAGCAATTTAATCAAATGTAATGTGCCTTTTCAGTTCTTTTAGAAATGTTTATGAGTTCAATCCTGTAGTTTCAGTAAACCATCTCGAAAACGGAAAGTGCTTTCGAGCTTAAAGCAATAAAGGAAGTGACTATTTAATTAATAAACACTACTAAGACAAACTTTCATCAAGTCTGGTTTGCTTTTAGCTTTTGCTATAAACACGGGATAGGAGTCGCATACGGTTCAGAAGAATGCGCGAGCATTTACCTGTAGGTGAGAGAATCGTAAAAATGTTTGAAGCCTTACCAAAAACACATCAAATTTCGTTGAAGAGACGCCAAAATTAGTTTTAAGAACTTTTCTTTGTATCCACCTAAAACAAGCTTCTGCTGCTTAACCCTTTAACTCCAATGAGGAACCAAGACAGAATTTTTCCTCACCATATCAACACAAAATCAAGCAGACAAGTGAGCAGAATATGAAAGAAAATTCAATTAGGGGGACTACAAGTCGATCCAATACCAAATTCTCCAATGCAAACTGAAATCATTAGTATTTTATGGCAGACAGTAGGGAGAATTACTCACGAGATCTTGGGGGTTAAGGGAGTTAACAATCACGGGTAGACAGGATGCTTCATGATGAAAGACACTACTCAGAATTTCATTGTTGACGGGTCACGCTTAAGGCCCAACAGTCAGTCGCAGTCTGGAGAGGGCTACCCTGCAGTCAAAACCTTTCTAAGAATCTCCTTTGACAATCTAAACCGATTTTAAAAATTATGCTCGTCTTTTGATGGACGAAATATTCGAGCCTGTGCATACTATGAAATCGATATTTTGTCCCCTTTGAATTATGGTCACAGGACGGTCGTCGAAATTAAATGTCGACCAAATTTTCGCAGAAAATCCCCATGCAAACTGCTTGAGAGTATTCCTTGTTTGTGCCGAAATTCCAAGCTATTCTAAAATCTCGGTTTCTAATTCAGTTTGTTTAAGATTTTACGGTTTCAAGAACCTGCTAAAATATGGCGATCTCACCGAACCCGGAAGTACGGTTATTTTTCGGTTAAGTAGAACATCGACACGATTCCTCAGTTGAATCGTTTAAAATTTCTTAACAAACATCTGATAATCTTAAGACGCTTACTGAAAATAACATTCCAGCGCAGACTTTGCCGGCGGGCTTTCAGAAAAACGCATTGTCATGCGTGCATGATGCAATTCATTGAAAACGCTAACTTGGCATATTTTTCACGCGGTTGCTTTGACTCAAAGTGGCTAGCATGGATTTACGTTTTCGACAGGTTTTCTTCGGCAGTTTTTGCATGGTAACATTGCTTCAAGGTAAGTTTCAATGCTGGCATCATGAACGTGTAGTTAATAACGGTAGAACGTAAAAGAGAATTGATAAAGTTTTGAAATTGAATAGTGAAACCGGAAAGTGATGCTCCGAATATATTAGTGCCCTTCGATAACAAAGTTGAGGTTCGATGCGCTGCATTAAAAACTTTCTACACAGTTGTTAAAAATGTTTGAAATGACTCATCGTTCGCTATTGAGTTCGAAGAAATTTCTAAAGGCATCAACGGCCATTAATTTGTTCAACTACTCTGGAGCTTCCTGCTTTTCTCGGAAATATCATACATGATACGAGTAACAAGTAACTGACGTAACGCTGCGTGACATCCTTGAAAACGACCGCGAACGAGACTATAGTAACTAAACTGAAAGGCATTGAGCGAAGCAGGACTGAAGAAAACGTCAGGGAGAAAATTACTAAATACTTTCTGAAGAATTTGGCGAGTGGCTAGATGGGTTTCCCGTCTGTAACGGCGCCATACCCGACAACTTTAGCGTATGTCGTCAACAGGATTAATTCCCGACGTTTCCTCGAGTTTGTTCTTCGATGGGTGCAGGCTCATTTCCCGAAAAACGGCTGGTAATCGAAGGATAAGAAATGAACAAAGCTAGATTTTTTTGATCATTTAATCTTTTGTTTCACCACGCTGTCGTTACGAACGCCGTCTTGGTTTGTCCAAAGTCCCTCGTAGAACATAATAATCTCACTTCAATCAGAAACGGTTTTAAATTTGAAATTGTTTGATGGCATGCTCGGGATTTGAGTCACAAATTTTCACTTGTGGACAAGGGTATTCACACCAAAACGTAGTGATAAGATTGGAGGACGTATTTCTCCGGAAAAAAAACCTCGACAATCGATGGAAACAAATTTCTGGATCCACAATTGCTTGAAAAAAAAAAAACCAGCAGAGAACGGTTATCCGTCGACATGAATTTGATTGCATCGAAAAGAGGATTTGGTGGCTAAGCATAATGCGTTTACATGATGGTGCTATTTCGCGACATAGTGGATCGCCACGGAAATTTGATGATCGTCTGGTGAAGAAAGGCATTAAAATCGGTTTGCTGGGTTGGAAAAAGGGAACTGTTGATAACGGAAAAGAGTAATTGATACGAGTCGGTGTAAATCAGAGAAGGTGTCATTAAAATTGTTGACCATTTGAGCAGAAAGTGAGTTGAAAAAATATGTATTGAGGGAAAATAAGACAATTTAAACTAGTCGTTTATAGGTCATGATTGCTTAGCGATGAATGAGTCGCATTAAAGTTCTCATAACTTATAAAAATATTACACTTGAATCGAGTGTTCTATCAATTAATTATTAATCATTTGATTTGCATTTTCTCATTTCCTTGATTTTTATTTTTAATAGTGGCTGGTAGTATAAGCTTCACAGGGGACATACCAGACCGTACAATAAAAAGGCCAGACTAGGTGACGATGTCGCTCTGGGCTGGGGCTTCTCATACAACGATTTGGGAGGCAATCCAGGTGGCCCATTTGGTGCTCCAGACGTGTCCGAAATCAGTTTTGGTATTTATAAATCCATACATAGCGAAACTTTCTTGAGCGAGAAACTTGTTGTTGTCAATAGTGGTGGAAATTTTAGTGTGCAAGATGGATTTGATAGAAAAATGGATTGAGCCACTCAAAATACAAATTAACATTCATTCTGAAAAACATTGCTATCCAAGATCAGGGAATGTACGGAGTGAATGTTGAGCTTGGCTTGAGTCAGCTGCCGCTCAAAGATTCTGTGATTGTTATCATACCAGGACTCTCGTACGTGGTTCAAAATGGCAGCTCGATTGTCCGTAAAGGTAAGGCAAATTAATCCAGTGATATCCTTAACCCTATTTTGTTTATAACTAGTGGTGAAATGTAGACTTCAAAATTCTAATATTCTACCTTTTTTTTTAGAGTCAGCCTACATGATGGAACCTTTTGAACTATCGTTTACAAGATCAGACCACGACCGAACTGCTGACCGTTTCAAGTACACACTCAAAAAAGATACCACAACCATTTTCATTATTGGAAAGAACAGAGAGGATAACACATTCAGTTGCTCTCATTATGTTTCTCAAAAACCTACACCCTGTTCTGATGATTCCTTCTCAGTGAACGAAACTTACGTTTCTTTCAAACTAAGAAATGTTACCTCTCAAGATGCTGGTCGATACCTCTGTATAAAGTATTCATCTGGGCTCTACAATACAACATTCGAGGAAATCGATCTTAATGTACTAGGTAACGTATGCAAGTATGTTTTAATGATTTACTGACACTAGGGCCAGGCTAGTTTTAACCAGAATTGAATTTAAGAAAGACCATTCATTTTCTTTTATACTGCAGTTTGATATTTGATTATTACTTGCTCAACTTAATCCGGGATATTTTTAGCTGCTCTTTATGCAACCCTTCGAAGTTTCTAGTTGGCCTGAAAATCAGTTTATCTTGGTAAATTTCCAGTGTACTGATTCGAACTTGTCATTAATCTTTTCCATCTGCTTTTATGCCTTCTATTAGAGAGACCAACCGTAACTCCCAGCGCAAATAGTAGTTATTCTGGTAAGTATCAATTGTAAACCCTATCAGTAAAGGAGTCCAAAAAGTGATTTGATAGGAAATTAGAGTATGATGAGGTTGAGTCATAATACAAAGTATGCACAGATGAGCACAGTTAAGTGTAGAGTAGTTTTTTTTCCCCGAATCGTCTCGCAACTTCCGCCGGCGGACTTCGGAGGAAGAATAGGGCTGAAATTGCATGGAGTGGTTAAGTCAGTTTTAAAAATGATTGTGGAGTGGAATGTACAAAGTTGAGCTCAGTGTACTGTAGATGGTGTTCAAGGAGAATGAAGTACTAGGAGAGTCTCAGCTACAGTAGCCTTGCGTGGGATTGGCTTGTTGTAGTCTGTACTAGTGCATCGTACGATTAAGCTAGCTTGTTTTTTGGTGAGACAGTGTTTTATTGGTGAGGAAAGGGTAACCTAACCTGATTGCACTTAACTCAAGCCCCGCAGAACGGGTTTCTTCAGGTGAAAAGGTGTACGTGATGTGGAAATGCTCAAGAAGAATAATAATACTTAGCGTCTGAACCAAAAAAGCTCTTCTTGTGAGGCAAATTAGCACGCTGTTAATTATACAGTGTTCCTGGCTTTAATTTGTTCTTAATGTAAAATGACAACAAAAGTAACATAATTATAATATAATTATGAATTCATCCCACTCAAAGCCTTGATTGACTGCAGGTTTCACCACAGCCAGAATCTGATAAGTCTTGTGCGACTCTTTTTCTTTTTTTTACTTACTATAGCATGCATGCCTCAGATGTCCCATTTTCATTATTGCAGGTAAACCAAATTCAACACAGGCTACAACAGTTACAACCAGTACAGTTTCTAAAGGTAAAAAGGCATTATTCATGCAGCTGGGATGAAAAATTAGGGATTAAATCTAGGTACTTAATGGTTAACAAAAAGATGGAGTGTGAAGCTAGCTCCATCATATTGGTATAAAAGTAATTCAGTCCATCTGCAAATTGATTCACACATTTAGTTTCACTTAGTTTTCTACTAAGCCACTACACAACATGAGGCAGCTACATATATATCATAGATTGATATACACTCAGGTACTGTTAGCAATTTTTTTTCTTGAAATAGACATTATACAAGTCAAATATTGGGTTCTTGTATTCAAAAGATATGTAGAAATTTCTCATGAATGATGCTTTTAAATTGGAAAATCCATCCATTTGTCAGTCACTCAGTCCGTTAATCAACACATGCATGAATTATGTAATGCTTATTGATTAAGCTGAAAGTTTAGCTTGAATGCATTTCTTTCATGATATTCTCTGTTAACATATCCTAATAAATTAACCAAGTTGAACACACAATTATTTATATAATCTCAATTGTTACTTCTTCTAAATCATTAGTTGTACTTGCCATTCTTTAACTTTTCTTTTTTTCTTTTGTAAGTACAGGTAGCACAAACCATGCCGTCATCGCAGGTTCAGTTTCTGCTGCAATCGTAGTTGTCATTCTGATTGTTTCTTAGTAGTTTTCAGGACGCACATATTAAGATTGTATTATTTTGCATATACTAGAACATGAAGTGACTCGTCCTAAATAAACTTTACAAATTGAATGTCTTGTATATGTAGTCAGAATAATTATTTCTTTTTAAGGAAAATTCAAATGCTGTTATACAGTTTCAATGAGGGTATATTTTTGTATTTTAATGACCTTTTTAGTTATCAGGTGCATTGGAGTCATTATCCTTGTACTAATTATAAGTTTGATGTAAGAAAATTAAATATGGCTTTTTTTAATGTAAACTGTACACTCAGATAACTGTGTTATAACAATCAGGAGAAGTATTGTTAGCAGGAGACATTATTATAGATGTGATGATGTAATAAATGTTTTCCCGTTTTGTTTGGAAAAACCTTGCTAGAATCCAAAGGTCCAAGCTTGAGCCAGTAATTGGCCAGTTTTTTCAGTCCTATTTTAAGGAGACACACTCCTTTAACAATGCCTCTCTCCAGGAAAATAAATGGATACCAACACGAAGTCAGGTGAACTTAACCCTCTCCACCCTATCATGGGTATTCATATTCTCCATACTGATCTGTATACATTTCTGTGGTGCTAACATGAAGAATTTGCTCACCTACTATGAGCCTCTCATGTTGGTGATCATTCTCTTTATTATCATGACCTTACAATGTTTGACTGAGCAGTGATTTTAGATGCCAATCACTCTTAGGGGTTAATAGGGTAACTTGTTGAATCACTGGGGTAGTTTTCTTGAATTAACAACCTGTCCTGGAAGATTAGCATTGATAATTGTCTCAGTCACTGCGTACTGGAGACGAGAGGATATTGTCAAGCTGTGACACCTCATAGGCTGCTAGTTCCTAACACAGACTTACAATGCAGATAGACTGTTAAAAAAACCAAACAAGAGGTTCTGCCTCATGTGATTGCAATGTGTATCATGGTCATTGCATCACAAAAAATCCCTCTTAAAGAAAGAAAGCTGAAAATGACAAATGGGTCATCCCCTTCCACTTCTGGGCAACTCTCTACAAATTTTAATTTTTGAGGATTTGTCCGAGAAAATTGGGTTAAAATTCCCCTGACAATCACATTTTCTTTAATTGAATGATTCTTTGTGTGATCTATTAATGTGGACGAATTTAGCAGTCACCTCTTAGTTTTTGCTGCAGCAGAGTGTTTGGATTTTTGCTTTTTTTTATCACCATTCTATTATGTGAAAATTTTCTTGAATGACGTTTGCTCGCAAAAGCTGATTCTTAACCTTTAAACTCGTCCATATTTAATATCAAAACTCATGTCTTCTTCTGTTTCATATTCCCTACCCCACCCAGGCAAGGTTAAAGAATGTCCCACCTTGGAGTATGGAAGAGAGGGGAGGGAGGTGTGGATGTTGAAGCTTTAAATTAATTAGTGCATAAACCGTAAGAAAGTATTTTTATTAAAAACTAGATCATTAGATTTCAATCCCCATGCCCATAGAAATCCTTTATCTTCACCCCTTGTGCAACATAAACAGATATGCATACTTATCAACTTTATTAGGCTCATTGTATGAGCAAGGGCTACCTGTAGTAGGGTTCATGACCAATTGTCAATTACAATTTTCACTATCTCACTTTAAATTTACCAACTTAATTCCCTACCTTTGTAAAATTTTATTCCAGAAATATTCCCATGCAAGCTGTAGCAATCATACCAAGAGAATTTAATGTTCTATTCAACCCAAACCATATTTATTCTAATCCTAATTAGGATATTGTATTTGACAAAGGAAAAATTTTTAACAACCATTTGGTTGTTATACATTTTAGGCAGTGTAGCCAAGTGGTTAGGGCACTGGACTTGTTATCTGGTGGTCCGGGGTTCAAGTTCAATATATTTGTAAGGTGAAATACAATGAATGTAACTGATTTTTTACTGCAAAATTACTACTAAGGCAGGGCCTTACAAAAAGCATTGAGAGCTAATGAAAATAATACAGCATCAAAGGAAATAATTTACTACATATACAGATTTATTTATTTGTTGTTAGCATAAATAAAACCGACAAACCCTAATTAAGACATGACGTCACATATATTCTTCCATGTCATTGGTTTGTTGAGGAACTTAGTTGCTGAAGAGTAAGGTTCATACTACAAACCAAATCTGACTGGTTTACACAGTAACTTATGTCCCAAAGAACTCATTGAAAATGTATTTGAGATCAGAATGATTCATTCAGGAACTAAGATACCTAAGCTGTCAAGTACATTTTTCAATGGGGATGTGCTTTTTGTCATTTCTTGGTAGTAGCACAAGTACAACATTGCAATTCCTCCAATCAGGAATAAAACTGCAACAGCCCCTGCCAATAGTAGCAGGGATGACAGCCTCATTTTTGTTGCCAGTTCCTAAAATTAATAAATGACATAATAACAAGTTAGTTATACCTTCATGGAATTGCCGTCCAAATGTTGACATTTAAGATGTGTTTGTGCGGTCCTGCATAACTATTGTGATGTTTACAATACACTGTGGTTGGCTGCAGCTAAATAGCCAAAGAAAAAACAATTCATATACGAAGTGAATTAATAGTTACTTGGAGTTTTAGCTACTGTCACAGCTATTGGGTTGTTAGTAGTTTTATCATTTTCCGCAAGGCTTGCCGGTTAGTTTTAGAGTTATGTTATTTGTTAAGAAATTCAAATGACCTTATACGGTTAAATTTCTCGGAAACAATATCATGAAAATAATGGCGAATATCAACAAAACATCAGATAGATAGTCAGGGTTTGAAACTACTTTTCTTTTAAGTCTGAAAGTCCTCTTCTCCGAGTCGCAACCATTAAAAATAGCTGCATTGGTATCACAACTAAGAAAATCCGAGATTCCATTAAGCGGTGAATCGACCCTCCGTATCGAACGAAGGCGACGATGATTTCAGCTACTCTCATCATGTCTCTGTGGCTCCCAGGTGGGTTTAAGAACACAGTGTTGACATTGTCAGTAATCAAACGATTCCTTCATTCTTTTCTTTTTTTTCATCGTGACCTTTTACAACAATGCAACTCATCTCACCATTTAACTGAAGCCGACGATCGGATAAACGCACAAACCCGGAAGTGCCTCTTCGTCATACCACCTTAAATTAGGAAATTAAGTCTAAACCGGAATTATGTACATTTGTAGCCTGATTTTAACACTGGAAACAATATTTAAAGCAATTGATGCTTTAACACAGACAAAAAAGGTTTTTCGTTCTAGATTAACTGCTTAAGGTGAAAGTGAAAGTAATCATCAATAAGAGAGAATTTAATGTTTGGTGTACGGAAGATATATTAAGACTTACTAGATTTAACAAAGTCTAAATTAGAATGAAAACATTTCGAATTTCCAGACCTGAAAGCAAGGATTTTGCGACCCAACAGAGAAATCTGAAAAACAGGATCGGCAAACGGTTGGTTTAAGAAAGAGATGACCACGAACTATATTTTTGAAGCGGCTGAAGACACTGCTTGTGGAAGACCTTTCATAAATAATTAAATGACTGTATGTTTAGCGATGTAGTCGCTACCGGTTTATTCTAAAAAATATTCAAAAGCTAAAGAGCGACATCTGAACTACGATTTTTGATAAATATTCAGGTGATTTATTTCCGAGAAAGAACAAGACAAAGAGAAAGGCCATTGTTTAGGTTCAGTCTGTGCATAAATCAATCGACAGTGTCTCAGTACACGAATGGAAAATAAGGAATCTAGAATTATGGAAATGAAATACGCGGAAACTACAAATCGTTAACACGCACCTAGAGACCATTTGCATTTGATCAGTCTACTTGTCAAACTGATACATTATTAGCTTTTTAAAAAACTTCTAGAGCAATTCCGTTACAGGGAAAAAGTACGGAAGGAGTTCTTCGGTCTTTGGTCAACGGAGAGATTTGACAACTTAGCTTACGAAGTCGCTTCTGATTCTGCATTTAGGCAATAATAACCATTCTATTGTTTTTCTTTTCCATTTCTTTCCACGATTTAACAGTATTTTGCCAAGGAGGGCATCCTAAAATTGTTTCTAGACCAAGTGATCCCCTGATTGCTCGTAGCGAAGACAAAGCTACGCTTAATTGGACGCTTGGGTTGCTTCCCTCAGAGACGTGGAATAGTAGCATATTTGAAGTGGCGTTTGGAATCTGGAAAGATCCAGGATTCCTGAAAACAAAACTCTTGGCCATCGATAGACATGGTGAGGTACTGATAAGACCAAACTACGAAAAGAAAATTAGCTGCGACTTTAACATGTCCAAGCTTCAAGTTGCATTCACACTCCATGGTTTAACCATGAAGGATGAGAATCACTATTGTCTTCAGGTTGAGCTTGGCCTTCATCAGCCTCCTTTGACGGATCCTGTGATGCTTCTTCTTGAGGGTAATATGTTTGTTACATTTCATTTGTGGAGGAATGCCACAGACCCGGAAGAAGGGGTACTTGGGTAAATATGTTCTGAGTATATGCCCCTGGCCACTCAGAGCCCCTTGCCCATAGTCTTTCAGTGGCCAATTATGGACCCCATCTTAGCCACTTTTGAGAAAATGTGATGGCTTTCCTTCTTTGACTTTCACTTCTGATTTAGAAAAACCTTATTCTCAAATATCTAAACAGATTCTCCTAAGATAACCAGTCCCAAACAGGAAAACTTTTCCGTGAACGTTGGGGACAACTTGCGAATAAACAGCCAAGCAAAGGGTCTTCCTGCACCTAACATAACATGGACGAAACAGGGGAGAATTGTTGGTAATGATACATTGATTGTCAATGGAGTAACGCCAAATGACAGCGGAGTCTACTTGTGCAGCGCTCACAACCAGGCTGGTGAAGATCATAAGGAGATTGTGGTTACGGTTTTGGAGCATAATTATGGATCACAAAAGCTAACAGGTTTTAACAATTTGTTTGTCGAAATAAATACCCATGAACTAGATTGCTAATGCATATTCTTATGTTGGTGACTGAATTTTCATTTCCAGAGTGTTTCCATTGGCGCGCTCTGTGTTAAACGATTTGAAAATTACAAACACTCCCTCACTAGTAACCGAATGGAATCATTACCTATTCAAGGAGTTAGTTTCTCTGATCTTTTTTAAGCTAAGGATCTCTTTCGCACAAGTCATGATATCGACCACATCAGTGTCCCTGTAATCTTAAGCAGTCCACATTACTCTAACAAGGTCCCACAATTTGATACCTTCTCCTGATATCGATCATCGGTTCGATTAACTTATTTATACGTTTAAAAAAAAAGTTTTCAATTTTCAATTTTCTGAATTGGCCAAGCCGCTCATTCACAATTTAATTACAGACAGACTGATAACCGAGGTGGCCCCCCCTGGCCTCTCCTCTAGTCTTTGAGGTCTCTTGTTGTTGAATTTGTATAAATATTACTTCTGAAGCTGCTCAGAAATAATGACGACGATTATAATGATAATCATCCTTCCTGCTAAAGTGCTTTCTAACTTTTTTCTAGTTCCTCATATGCCAACACAAACATCACATGATAGAGGAAGTCCTGTGTGGTTATTTCCAGTAGTCATAGGTGTGTCAGTTTTTTAATAGCTGCAGTGGTTGTCTTTCGCTCGCGTGGGCACCGCTGCAAAAGGAACCTCGCTTATGAGCAGCATATTGATGAAAAAGCATCAGGTGAGCACTTCACAACTGCCGAGATCTAGCCTAGAGCCGATGAGGAGGCTGCGAGTTAGTGACTGAACAGTATACCTTGATCATACTCTATCATGGAATGCATCATTAGCTGGTATACCGAAATAGTATCAAAAGCAGCTGTGCAATTTCTCCAATTTTTCCTCTTTCTTAACCTCCTGCCGGTTTCTGCTCCTAAGCCTCTAAATTGTCTCCACTGATCCGATAATTCTCGTAAGTTATAAATAAAACTTGCGTAATTGTAGTACACTATAAGCGTGCTTTAAAATGATTGCTAAGGAAAAATAGAAAACTTTAAAACAGATCAATTCATGTTATTGACGGGACAAAATTTTCTCATCGAGAAAATGAGAAATGAGTTGCTTTGACAAAAATCGTCTACTAGTCTTTGAATAACATTCTGACGCACCTATTTGATGAGTGCATCGGTACTCAAAATCCTTTGTTTTACAACGTTAGTTCGGAACACAACCCAATCACTGAAAAAATTCCAAGAACTTGCAACTGAATTGTTTGCTACCTTAATTGGCATGGAAAGGCTTGATAGGAGAGAACTTTTAAAAATTAAAACCTGTAATCTGGCCTAATTTTGGTAAATAAAGCAAGAATACAATTTTCTGCGCTACATGTATATATATATTTTTTTTTTTTTTTTCCAAAAGCAACACTTTTAAACAACACGTTTCCTTGTATCCAAGGGTTATAGAACAAGATATCATAAAATGCAAAAGATTTGCCTTTTTAGTAAGGGCGACTGTACCAAACGGTCGACAATGAATTCCGTAAAAAACTATCAAAACAGTTTGATCAAATATGGTGTGCCTTTTCGTTTCTTTTAGAAATGTTTATAAGTTCAATCCTGTCGTTTCAGTGAACAATCTCGAAAACGGAAAGAGCCTTCGAGCTTCAAGCAATAAAGGAAGCTACATGCAGGGTGAATTACAAGTGATTTGGCCCGACAACCAACCCTTGTAGTAATCTCCATTTTAATTTATAAACACTACTAAGATAAACTTTCATAAAGCTTGGTTTGCTTTTAGCTTTTGCTATAAATACAGGATAGGAGTCGCATACGGTTCAGAAGAATGCGGATGCATTTACCTGTTGGTGAGAGAATCAGAAAAGTGTACGAAGCCTTACCAAAAACACATCAAAATTCGCTGGAGAGACGCCAAAATAAGTTTTAACCCTTTAACTCCCAGGAGTGATCAAGACGGAATTACTCCTTACAATATCAATACAATATCAACCAGATAAGTGATGAAAACAAAGAAAAATATCAATTTGGGGATAATGAGTCGATGCAATACTAAATTATTTGAACTAACATTGTAAGAATTGTATGGTTGACGGTAAGGAGAGTAAGAACTTTTAAGAACTTTTCTCTGTCTCCATCTAAATCAAGCTCCTGCTGCTTAACCCTTTAACTCCTATGAGTGACCAAGACAGAATCTCTCCTTACAATATCAACACAAAATCAAGCAGACGAGTAAGGAGAAAATAGAAGAAGGGAGACTACAAGTTGATCCAATACCAAATTCTCCAAATTGAAATGATTAGTAGTTTATGGCAGACAGTAGGGAGAATTCCTTAGACATCTTGGGAGTTAAGGGAGTTAACAATCACAGGTAGACAGGATGCTTTATGAAGAAAGACACTTCTCAGAATTTCATTGCTGACGTGTCACGCCATGAAAGCCCGACAGAGCGGGCTTCCCTGCAATCAAAACTTTTCTAAGAATCACATCTAACAATATCAAGTGATCTTAAAAATTATGCTTGTCTTTTGATAGACAAAATACCCAAATTTGTGCATACTATAAAATCGATATGTTGTCCTCTTTGAATTAGGGGGGACAGTACGGTTGTCAGAAATTAAATATTGACCAAACTTCCGCGGAAAACTTCATGCAAACCTCTTGAGACTCTCCGATTCCTTGTTTCGGCCGACACTCCGAGCGATTCTAAGATCTCGGCTCTTAATTCAGTTGGTTCAAGATTCTACGGTTTCAAGGACCAGTTAAGACATAGCGATTTCACTGTACCCTGAAGTACGGTTATTTCGTAAAGTAGAACATCGACACGATTCCTCAGTTGAACTGATTAAATTTCTTAACAGACATCTGATACTCCTAAGATGTTTACAGGGCATTCCTGGGAACCAAGAAAATGCACTGTCAGGGTCGTGGATTTTATTACAATAGCGCATGGATGATGCAATTCAATAAAACGCTAACTCAACATATATCTAGTGGCTGTGATGGATTTACGTTTGCGCCAAGTTTTCTTCGGCAGTTTTTGCATGGTGACATTACTTCAAGGTAAGTTTTAATGCTGGCAGCATGTACGAGGAGATGATAACGTTAGTAAGTAAAATAGAATCTATAAAGCTTTGAAATTGAAGATGAAATCGGAAAGTGATGCTCCAAATATGTTCGTGCCCTTCGACAACAAAGTTGAGGTTCGAAGTGCTGCGTTGAAAACTTAACACACAATTGTTAGAAATATCTGAAATGACTCATCGTTCGCTACTGAGTTAGAAGAAATTTCTGAAGGCATCCACAGCCATTGATTTTCAAGAGCTTCCTGCTTTTCTAGGAAATATCATATATGATACGAGCAACAAATAAAACGACTGCGAACGAGACTAAAGTAACCCAGCTCAAAGGCATTGGGCGAAGCAGAACCAAGGAAAACGTCGAGGAGAAAATTGTTAAATACTTTCTGAAGAATTTGACGAGTGGCCGAATGGGTTTCACGTCTCTAGCGGCGCCAAACCCGACAATTTTAGCTGATGTTGTCAACAGGATTAATTCCCGACGTTTCCTCGAGTTTGTCCCTCAATGAGCGCAGACTCATTTCCCGAACAGCGGCTGGTAATCGAAGGATAAGAAATGTACAAAGCTAGATTTTTTTATTATTAAATCTTTTGTTTCACCACGCTGTCAGTTAAGTCCCTTGTATAACTTAAGGACCTCATTTCAATCAGAAACGGTTTTAAATTTGAAATTGTTTGATGCATGCTTGGGATTTGAGTCACAAATTTTCACTTGTTAGCAAGGGTATTCACAACAAAACGTAGTGATGAGATTGGAGGACGTATTTCTCGAGAAGAAAAAACCTCAACAATCGATGGAAACAGATTTCTGGATTCAAAATTTTTTGAAAAAAAAAAGAAAAAAGAAAAAAACAAGCAAAGAACGGTTACCCGTCGATATGAACTTGATCGCATCGAAAAGAGGATTTGGTGGCCAAGCATAATGCGTTAACATGATGGTGCTATTTCGCGACATAGTGGATCACCACGGAAATTTGATGATCGTCTGGTAAATGAAAAGCATTAACATCGGTGTGCTGGGTTGGAAAAAGGGAACTGTTGATTATGGAAAAGAGTAATTGACACGAGTTGTAAATCAGAGAAGGTGCCAATAAAATTGTTGACCATTTGAGTAGAGAGTGAGTTGAAAAAATATGTTTTAAGAAAAATCAAGACAATTTAAACTAGTCGTTTACAGGTCATGATTGCTCAGCGATAAACGAGTCGCATTAAAGTTTTCATAACTTACAAAAATATTACACCTGAATTGATTGTTCTATTAATTAATTATTAATCATTTGATTTTGTATTTTCTCATTTCCTTGATTTTTATTTTTAATAGTGGCTGGTAGTATAAACTTCACAGGGGACATACCAGACCGTACAATAAAGGCCAAACTAGATGACGATGTCGCTCTGGGCTGGAGCTTCTCATACAACGATTTGGGAGGCAATCCAGGTGGCCCATTTGGTGCTCCAGACGTGTATGAAATCAGCTTTGGCATTTATAAATCTATACATGGCGAAACTTTCTTGAGCGAGAAACTTGTTGTTGTCGATAGTAGTGGAAAGTTCAGTGTTCAAGCTGGATTTGATAGAAAAATGGATTGGAGCCACTCAAAATACAAATTAACATTCATTCTGAAAAACATTGCTATCCAAGATCAGGGAATGTACGGAGTGAATGTTGAGCTTGGCTTGAGTCAGCTGCCGCTCAAGGATTCTGTGATTGTTATCATACCAGGACTCTCGTACGTGGTTCAAAATGGCAGCTCGATTGTCCGTAAAGGTAAGGCAAATTAATTCAGTGATATCCTTAACCCTATAAAACTAATGAAATGTAGACTTCAAAATTCTGATATTCTAATTTTTTTTAGAGTCAGCCTACATGATGGAACCTTTTGAACTATCGTTTACAAGATCGGAACACGACCGAACTGCTGACCGTATCAAGTACACACTCAAAAAAGATAACACAAGCATTTTCATTATTGGAAAGAACAGAGAAGATAACAAATTCAGTTGCTCTCATTATGTTACTCCAAAACCTACACCCTGTTCTGATGATTCCTTCTCAGTGAACGAAATTTACGTTTCTTTCAAACTAAGAAATGTTACCCTTCAAGATGCTGGTCGATACCTGTGTATAAAGTATTCATCGGGGCTCTACAATACAACATTCGAGGAAATCGATCTTAATGTACAAGGTAACGTAAGCAAGTATGTTTGAATGATTTACTGACATTACAGCCAGCTTATCTTTAACCAGAGCTGAATTTGAGAAAGACCATGAATTTTCTTTCATTTGTTCTTTTGAAATTTGTTGATTACTTGCTCAACTTAATCCGTGATAAGTTTAGCTGCTCCAGGTGCAACCCTTTGAGTTTGCTGGTAGGGCCTGAAAAAAGATAAAAATGAAAAAAAATTTCTCACCCGTACGCTGTTTTAAAATCTGTATATCTTAGAAAATTTCCAGTGTGCTGATTTCAACTTGTCATTAATCTTTGCCATCTGCTTTTATGTCTTCTATTAGAGAGACCAACCGTAGAAATAATTGACGATGAAACATCAGCTCCCAGGGCAAAAAGCAGTTATTCCAGTAAGTATCGATTGTAAGCCCTACCAGTAAAAGAGTCCAGAAAATGAGTCGATAGGTAATAAGAGTAAGAAAAGATAGACTCATAATATAAAGTATGCACAGAAGGGCGCGGTTAAATGTAGAGTGGTGTTGTAAAGCGGTAAATGCATTGTCGTCGAGAAGGCCCTTATTATCAACTCTTCGGCACGAGCTTGTGGGAAATTATGAGACTTTGAGCTACGCAAAACGGCGATCCAGACTCCCAGCAAACCATTCCCCGACTCGTCTCCAATCTTTACGCATGCAGAGAAACGCGCGTCCCGCAGCGCTAATAACGAGGGCCTACTCGCAGGCTGGTAAGTTCAAGGACTTCGGAGGAAGTATGGGCCTGAAGTTGCATGGAGTGGTTGGATTAAATTTGAAAATGATTGTAACGATGTGGAGTGGAATGTACGTAGTGCAGCATGAGCCTTGTGTCATGCGTGGAGGGACTTAACGTGGCTTATAGTGTACTCTAGGTGGTGTTCAAGAGGAGCAAAGTACTAGGAGAGTCGTCAGCCACAGGGGACGTACGTGGGATTGACTTTTTGTAGTCTGCACTAGTGCATTATACAATTAAACTAGCTTGTTTTTGGTGAGACAGGGTTTTATTTGGTGTGGAATGGCATGAATTAATCTGGATGGGGATGAAGTGTAAACTGTGTGTGAGTGATGAAGAGTGCTGTAGAGTAGCATCAGATTGTGAGTAATGGAATTAAGTTGTCGATTGTGTTAGATTGCTGTGGGAAAAGAGTCCGATGGAGATGTTAGGCGTTGAGTGCACAGAAGTAGTGCCGAGTTGCACAGAGAATCGTCTGTGGGTGCATGGTACTTGCGTAGAATAATGTGTGAGTAGTACTGTATAAGATGAAGTCGTAATTAAGGAATTACGAGAGCGGGTTGCGGTATGCTCAGGTGTGTAAAGGCAGGAAAGGACTGAAACAGCTGGAAAAATGCACAGCAAGAGAATATCAGTTCAGGTCTTATTTTACAAGTTAGCGCTTAGCCACCATGTAGGCGCTGAATTTCAAATAAAGTGAAGTGCGATGGAGAAGCGAGACAAAATGTAGGATATCTGGGACTGAGAATAATTTGCTTCACTGTTATTGATACTGTTGTGAGTGTATTGCTGCTGAATTAAAAAAGAAAGAAAGAAAAATGCTAACATTTTGAAATAGTGTGAGGTGAAATCTCTAGGCTATACAAATTAGGAAATACGAAAAAAAATTGTTTTTGTTAGTTTTGATTCCCTTAATTAATTAAAGTCACTCATACGTTTCATTCTTTTTCAGGTATTCAGCCTGTATGTCAAGTATTGGGAGCAATATTGATCTTACAGGCAGTGCTCGTCTAGAAAAACACACCCTTCACCGTGGACGGAGGAAGCATTGAACATCAGTTTTACAAAATATGATGATATATAATGACCCCCTCCCCCCCAACCCCCGCTCCGTGCTTGTGGTTTAGAAATTTTGAAACGGTTTGGTTTGAAACGACCATGAGCTTGTAACGTTAACATGTCCTAATAAGGACAGAGTACACGCTCTTTGTCTTCCCAATAGCGAATGTGTAAGACTATATTGTGACGCAAAGAAAGTTCTTGGCCTTTTCACGCATCACAAATAATATCCAAAATTCTTTCACGTTCACGTGAAATTCAAGACGATCACGTTTCGAATTAAAAATAAAAGCCAGATTCACCAATTAAAATGTTCACTCTTTCAAACCTGTTTTTAAAGTTCTAAATCCTCCGAGTTTGGCTCTTCGAAATAGAGTGAGATATATCGCGCAAAACAAAATGGTTCACTAGTCACGTTTGATTCATCTCTTCATTCACGAATCACGTTTATTTAAATCAAATTTTAAATCACGACTCACGTGACAAAAAAATCTCCAAATCACGCTTGCGTTAAAATTTCCGACTGGTTTGTCTTATAAATTCTGTTGCGTGACATACGGTCAAAGTCCCTTATACTTTATACTTTAGTTTCAGGGGACCCTCCCTTTGACATAACGTCACGCAACAGAATTTATAAGACAAACCAGTCAATCATTATAAACAGACATTTTTATATCATCTGATCTTCTAAAGAACTCTTAACAGAAGGTAAAGGGACCCATCCCGCTTTTTTCCCGAGGTTTGGGAGCTGTTGTACACAGTCTCAACAAACCTTGTCAGACTGGAATCTTTTTTTAGACCCCTGAGTCTTCAAAGAAAGACTGTACCACAAAGCACTGTACTGCTAAAGTAGTGTTCATTACTGTGATGGTCGCTTTCACGTTCACTTCTTTTTCCACAGTTCACATATGTGATTTTCCTAGATTCACAGTCATTTATTCATCACTTTACGGGTTTATTTGGAGTCAACGTAGTGACCAGCTCCCAGTTGGCTTGTTAGCTTATTTGGTAGAGCGTTCCACAGGTATCGCAGTGGTCACGAGTTCAACTCCTGTAAAGGCCTGAATTTTTTTCAAGCCTTCTTTTCACTGCTGAAGTAGTGTTCGTTATTGCGATAATCGCTTTCATATTCACTTCTTCGGTCCGCAGTTCACATATGTGATTTTCTTATACTCACAGTAATTCAAAGCACATAACGTCACGCACATTACGCATTTAGTGACATACTTAGACTCGCCTGACATTTCATCACTGCCCCGAGTTACTGTCTTGGAATTTAGTCTGAAGATTACGTCTTGTCTGCTTGTCTAATTTTTCATAATATTTCTTGACAGAAGTAGGTTTAATAACAACAAATTTTAGTTTTAGTTCGACTCAAAGGGTTTCAGTTTCATTTTCGCGTCAGGGATCAAAATATTAGACTAGAGCGCGGCGGGAATGAGACCATGCGTAAGTTTCATATTTTTAAATGTCGACATAGATCGTGATCTTTTTATCATTTTACAAAGTCTATTGGTATTTTTTCGTTGAGGTAATCATTTTTGTTCACTTTAGACAAAAAAAAAACTCAATAATTTTGGTCTGAGTATGCTGGTAGAAAATTGAATTCGCGTGAGCCACGAGAACCTCGTGGTCATGATATTTTGCTAACTCGTGCATATCAATATGCAAATTTTGCTGACTTACGCACACAATATGCAAATTTGGTCTTACCACGACCTCGTCCTATCAAAAGCACATGCTGACATTTACTATCATGTGATTGTAGGACTCTTAATCGAACTTTCAGAGTCACGATTGGGCATATGCAATGAAACGCGTCACATTTGTCTGCAGCTTTAAACCCATGCATCCATAGTAGTGCCATCCTTTCACAGAAGGGATGACACTTTGATAGGCAGTATACAATCTATTTCATTGCCACAACCCTTTGGTTTAGGACTAGAGGCTCAAAGCGGAATAACAGGATCTTTCAAAGAAGCTTACATCATGACAACTCTCCAAAGAGTCGGATTTTACAACTTATTAAAAAAGTGCAAATACTTTTTACTGCAAATGACTTAGGAATCCCAATATTTCATTTAATTAACAGCTACACCAACATGTGTACGAGCTGTCAACCTGAGTGTTGAGAACTGTAGTGGTAAGTGAAAAATATGTTTCTGTTTATAATTTACCTATTAACTGATTTGCATGTTTTTGGCTCTTAAACATCAGTCGTTCAACGCATTTACAAGGACATTATCAGCAAAAACAAGGCCTTCAGAGAGAATCACTTTTGACTTAGAATAATATAAACTCATGGTGACTACTGAAAGTGTCAAAGCCTAAATTTCCCACCCCTGTTCTTAACCTACAGCTAATAGTAAGTTAGTAACTCATTCTCTAACAAATTTAAGGCAGCTTCTTGGTTATGTCCGGGTATGTACTGAGGTTAAAATAGCAATATATGTTTCAATATACCTTTTAGTTGCCCAAGGTCTCAAGAAGTGTATAAGTGTACGACAAATATGACATCTACTCAACAGTTCCCGTATGATGGTAAACATATCACTTAACAATCAAAAAGCTAATTATGTAAACCTTGGTGAAGGCTCTCCTGTTACCCACCTGATCAAGCTCCTAGAAGGAGAAGATGGTTGTGGTGCCTGTTACAATGAGGTACCTGGGTGCAAGAAAAACTACTGTCTTAGACATTCAGGAGACAAAACTCTAAATATAACATTAAAAGAGATTACCAAGTCCATGGAGGGCTTTTACAGGTTATATCCATACTGCTTAGGAACTAACCATAACTGTACAACACACCAACCTTTGAAGAGTTTCATGCTCTTCATTGAAGGTAGAGTCAGATCGCTTACTTTAACCTTTTAACTCCCAGAAGTAATTAACATGTTACTTCTCCACTATAACATGCATACATTATCCAGCAAATGGGTTGTGAGAGTACTTGAAATTATCAGGTAAAAGATATTACCTTGATGAAACACCAAATTCTCATAACCAATTTACAAGAAAATGTGTAGCACCTAGAGGAGAGAATATCCTGGTTGCCTCCCTCATTGTTTTAAATAAAATTCCTTAGAATGTGCTTCTATCTCAGTAAGCCTAGTGTATATATCTAAAGAGCATCTTTGCCTGCATGAAGCTATGACAACTACTGAGACAAACTCAGGCCCTGCAGAGCAGGTTTCTTTAAGTAGAAAGGTGTATCTAATGAGGAAATGCTGGAGAAAAATAATAATTGTCTATTTATTGAATACTTCAAAATTGTATCTAAGGTTTGTGCAAGCTAAGTGACTGTGGCCCTGATGGTGGTGTGAAAAATTAGGGCTGAGTTAAATTTAGTGATTGTGCAACTTAAATGTGATTTTACAACCAAGTAAATTGTGGCTCATATATAATGAGGAAAAAACTTAGAATATAGGATAAGGAATTTATGTTGTGAAAAATACTCTTCATTGCCTTAGGTTAGGACACATTTATATGGAAGAATCACATTGACTTCCAACTTGACTTTTTGTATCTGTTTACTGAAAAGGTGAACAGCTACACTTAATGTGTAAAAAGTGATGACATAAACTTGCTTTCATCATTGCATATAAGCCAGAGCCAACAAAGGTGACAACAGTTGAGACAGACTCAGGCCCCACAGAATGGGTTTCTTCAGGTAAAAAGGTGTATGTGATGAGGAAATACTCATGCAGAATAATAATTAACAAATGAAAGTGTCTTAGCTGAAAAAGCTTTTCTTGTGAGACAAATTAGCACACTGTTCATTATACAGTTTTTCTGCTTTAACTTGTTCTAAATGTAAAATGATAACAAAAGTCACATAATTATAATATAACTATGAATTCATCCCACTCAAAGCCTTGGCTGACAGCAGGTTTCACTGCAGTTAGAATCTCATACAGCTTGTGTACTTGTACTTCTCATTCTTTACTTTTTCTTTTTCTTCTTTTGTAATTACAGGTAACACAAATGATGCGGTCATCACAGGGGCTGTTTCTGTTGCAATCATAGTTCCCATCTTGATGGGTTGGTTTATGGTTTAACCCCTCTCTCTCATTTTCATCTGCTTTGAAGCCTTAGATACTGCAATTTTGTATTATTTTTGCTATAATGTGAATATTCCCCTGTAAATAGGTACTTCATCTAGATTCATAAGTAAAGTGTATGTGTTTGTAGTGAGCCAGACAAGTTTGAGAAATCATATTTGGAGGGATATTATAAATGAAATGGTTTAGCCCCTCCCTTTCTCTCATTTTTGTCTGCTTTGAAGTCATAGATATATTGTAATTTTGTATCATGTTGAAGCTGGATTTCAACATTTCTATGAAGACAAATAATGTGAATATTATCCTGTTAATAGGTACTTCATTTAGATTTATAAGTGAAGTGTTCATGTTTGTCTGTGTCAGACAAGTCTGAGAAATCATTTATGGAGGGATATTCTGTATTATGTTTAACTTAATTAAATTCTTGTGTGACATGGAAGTAGGATTGGAGACAACTTTATCCCTAGTACAGAATTTATTTGGACACAGCAAGCAATGCAGATTGAAATAATTTAACCCTTTAACTCCCATGAGTGACCAAGACATAATTTTTCCTGACAATTTCAATACAATATCAACCAGATAAGTGATGAAAATCAAGAAAAATATCAATTTGGGGATAATTAGTTGATCCAATACTAAATTCTCTGATCTAACATTGTAAGAATTACATGGTTGACAGTGAGGAGAATTACAAATTTGATCTGAGAGTTAAAGGGTTAATAGGCTGTTTTGGATTTGGATTTGAGAATATCATCACATGTAAAGTGTTACAAATCGTAAAATAATGCATCATATTTCTACCTTATCTTTTAAAGCAAAAATGCCAGCTGAGAGTACCATGACAACAACTTAATTAAAACAAAACTGCCCAAAAATCCTACTCTCAAATGTGTATCCAGCACACATGTGATAACATAGAAGAAGTGAATGTTGATAGCTTTGTCGTGCATATGATTTTTAATCCATTCTTACAAGCAAATACACAGCATTTCCAATCTTGTTTAATAAAATGATAATCATCATTAGTCACAATTTCCATGCAGTAATTTATTTGTACCCTAATTGTACCTTCATTGAGTACCCTAATATACTTGGTTTACTAGAAAACAGAGTTATGTTATACAGCTGTACATGACTAACATATACAAACTCTTTTCTTAGGAACCAACATTATAGTCATCTAAATATGCTACTCAAAAAGAAATATGTCTCTTAATTTATGCATCTTACAAGGCACGCTATTCACCTATCCCTTAACAATAGCCAACCAATAATGTAAATAGTAGTTTTAGTATAGATTTCCTTTTGCACGTACATACTCTTCTCCTCTCTTTAAGCTGAAAAACTTCAGTGGCACTTCATGGTTGCAGCCTCCACCGAAGACTGGGCTGTCATCCAGCTTTGTGGATTTGTTCTTAGTATGAAGACTGGAACTAACTTAAAACTGATTACACTACTCCTACAACATAACACATTTAACTCTCAATCTTTAACTTCCTTTGCACCTTCAGGTTTGGGACTGGCAAGAGTGATGGTATATATTATGATGCTACCTGTAAAGACCATAAATCAATTGCAAAAAAAGAAGAAACAAACTGTACTAAAAAGAAAAAAAAAAAAGGAAAAATGAGGGCTGCAATCGAGATTATTCGCTTGTTCTTGAAGCTGACAATTCACAAGGTTCCTGTAAATTAACTTTACATAATTATCAAGCTAACAATATATTTCAGCTACAAGGATTTCATTTGCAAGTGATGCAAATGAAAACATCATCTTAATGGATAGCCATCTCTACTTACCAAAAGGCGCCTTTCTTGCACAGTCTAAGCGCAGTGACATTGAAGAACTATGAAACTGATTGAAGTTAAAGCTATCTGCGACGGTGAATTTGCGTACGTTTACTTTCATCAAATTCAGGTAACACTGTTTGGTAGGAAATGCACGCTAACGTCAAACAACAGCGGTTGAGCGTAAAGTTATATCGACATATTTCCAGACGCAAAGAAGGTTAAGAAATGTGTCAAGTATAAATGTTATTGCATCTATTACATTTAAGTTGTGTTGGGGAAGTAATAGGGCGGTACTGCTTGGTACACTGTTAATTAAGGTTATGTCGATTAAAAGAACGTTCACTTACGCAAAACGACCGACAGATTCGAGACTAATTTCGATTGTAAAACAGCTTTACCACCACAAGTGTTTACATCGAAAAGCTTTTTAAGGTTAAAGCATGTACTGAACAAATAACGATGATGAAATTCGTTTTGTAAATAAAATTGGTGAATGGAACGGGAACACGCAACGAGCTGTTTGGATAAATTTATCAGCTTTAGTTGAACAATGTCTAAAATAATTCTACTTACCCTTCAGACAGCTAAACTTCAGAATACCCCGCAACTCATTTCCGCCTCACTTACATGTGTCGGGAGGCTTTGAAGATCGAGGCATAACACAATAGACGGTATTCTTATTCAATGACATGTAAATGAGTTGCGGGGTATTCTGAAGTTGCTCCCTTCAGACTTTTCCATAAGAAAAAACTCCATTAAAAATTTTCCGGACGGGTTATATCAATATCAGTCCCAAAAAGCGTAAAGCGATGTTATGTCCGCTCGTAGGCAAGCTCCATTCACACTAGAATCACAAATCGCTCCTCGAACGGAAAGCACTATATAACATCGTCCTAAACCAGATGAGCCCACGACATATCAGCGGCATCTTGTATGAGTATCCGCAGGTTACAACGTGACTTCCGCTTATTCTTGTTAAAGCGTATTTTACAGTGTACTCATGGAATAGGAAGTGCGTTTGAGCCAGTTTCTGGCAGATTTGAACAGAAAAGCGGGTCTTTTGTTCGAGTGTAATGACATTTTGATCGATGGCGCTGTTAACGAAATGTTTGGCTGGTTCGTAAGTTGTCGACCTGGTTTCGGTCGATCTGATTAATTGGCAACACCTCTTGGAAATCCTACACACCATCGACCTAAGCCTCATAGCTGCCAAGTGAGCAGAAGAACAATGACATCAAAATACTCGAGAAAGATAAGTATTAATTTTAATTGCATTTGTGTTAAACTTATATGTACGGAAATTTCTGAAGAGGTACTTAATCAGAAGTTTATCACATGATAAGCCTTCAAACTTGTATTAAATAAATTGATGTACATATTTCACAATTTTAAGATGATTGTGTGATGACAATACACCGACGGTCAACATTCGAATATTCAGCTTGAGCTTCCTCCTAAATGTTAAGTATTTCAATTGAACTTGTAGAATATAACCTATGGATTAAATGTGGGTCTATAAGTATCATCCATGAAATTCTTACAGGCAATTTTCATCATGATATTAAAGCACCACAAACTCAAGAACAAGGAAAAATAATTGGTTCAATATGAGAAAATTTTTTCCAAATTTGGTCAACAGCAGCTGGTTATGATGAAATATGTGAGTGGTTTTAACCTTTCAGAAACAGGGAATATTTTGAATGAATAATAATGCAAATTATACCAACATTACTATTGACATCAGTAATAGTTACAGAATGTTATAATTACAGAGTACTGAACACTGTATTTTTTAAGAAAATCCATTTAAAAAGTCCATGACAGCATTCCATTAAAACAGTGCCAGTGCAAATCCCTCTCTGATAAAATTGTGATATTATAGTCTTGACATTGAGTTTGAGGAATGAGTGCCAGTGTAGCTTAAAGAAGCTCTACATGTAGTACATTTTAGTGGTGGTTTTTGTTGTGATGTATAATCTTTATTCATTCTTTATATATATTCGACATGACAGTGGAAGCAGCACAGTCTACAGTAGACTGATGATCTGTGTGAAGTTAAGTCACCTTAAATTCCCCACCAAACTTCAGTTTCCTGATTCAAAAAAAAAAAAAATTTAATTGATGGCCAAGTACTTACCCTCCCCCATGGGGTGAAATAAGTGATCCGTAGGTTTAGGAGGAAGTAATATGTAAATACGCTCCTCTGTAGCTATTGTTTGCTTCTTTTCTGACTCTAGGGATGTTCTCAGAAATTTTGACATTGTCTCCCTTCTACTCTTTGTGTTCTCTGAAATCTAACAATACAATGTTTTAATTAAAATAATATTCGAAAAATTGGTTTCTAAAATATTCACTCTGTTTCCATTTCAGGTAAATTTGTTTCAATTCTGCACAACGAAATTTCCAGGTTGTCTTATCATATGTCCACTTCACCTACATGTAACACAAGGCCCATTAGGATTAAGCGCCCTTTATTAGGCTAGTGATCATTCATGTTTATGGTAGTGCCCCCTGAACCCTTATTCAATAATTAAAATAAACTGACCTTATTTTCAGGATACTTGATAATTTTCCTTAGGTGGATCTTTGCTGGACAGTCACATTTCTTCGTATCCTGTACTATAAAGCGCTGTTTGGTGTTGTTATAGCAGTGATCAGCATTCTCCTTCTGAAACCAAATAGATTTATTGGATTGTTAGATAGAGCAGTCATATGGGAATAGTCAAGTTATCAATAAACTTAGAAGTAATAAAAAGTATCCTTTAAAATAGTACTTGATTCCTACCTTATAAACTGCAGTCACAGTGGTCCTTTTTTGCGACTTTGCTTATTTTAACAAATAAAATGTGATATGTCCTTTTACTTGCAAGTGGTAAAAAAGAAAACATTATTGCCTGCTATTAGCCCTGAGGGAGAGGTGAGTGCTCACCAACTTGCTTAGAAAAATCAGTTGGGACTTACCACCTTGTTAGCTTAAGAGCAAATAGGTGAAGGTAAATCAATAACTATGTAATGCCCTATATATGATATCCTCTTTGGGAGTCCTTAAGTAATAATATCATCTTGTTTACATTCTTATTTAGTTAATTATTATGCATGCTTACATCTTTTGTAGTCTCTTTTGAGCCTCCTTCCTTTTGAGTGCCTTATATCTGTCTGGCCCATTTTGGCATTCTAAAACTTTGACCCCACAATTTGGAATGGGATGCCATCAAAACTTAGTCTGCATCCTGTCATCTCCTGTGAGTCAGCCCATTGTATACGGTGGTTCTTAGCATTTTTATCTGCATTTTCTTTTTTATGTGAGAAGAGGAACCAAGCTAAGTTAGCAATATGATACATGTACACAAACACATACGTACATATGTACACATGGGTGCTTAAAATGGAGGGCCTCAAAATCAAGCCTGCCCCACCCAGATGTAGCCCAAGGACTGGTGTAATGGATGGGGATGCTGGCAGCTGTGTGTCAATAGCACTGAGTAGGGTTTTGACACTTTTAAGCTTGATGTTAATTAATTAAGCATTTCTTGCCAACTCTTGCTGCAGGCTCACAGTAAATTGACACTTGAAGCTAAGTTTAATTTTAATTACATGTTAATTTTGAAAGTCTAACTGACCAGTGTAAACCGAAGAATAATGATGTGTACATGTATTCTTAAGATATCAATAATTATTGGAAAAAGTTAAATCCTTTTTTTATTTTGATTTATCTATATTTCATGTTAATAACACGATCTCACACGTCCCTGGCTTTAAATACCTATAGTGTCTAAATAAAGTTATACTTCACTTTACTTTACTGTCAGTATGGTTTATTTTGTAAATCTTTACATGTGAGCTTAATTACCCAGCCTACTGCAATTTGAAAATCCTCCTGTTTGTTTAAATACAGTGAAGCGTGACGTCGTAGCTATCTCGTACTGTTTTATGAGTTCGTCAGCGCTGCTTTCATCGTTAACATACCCGGAATAAGGGTCAAACTGTACGGTCCATCTTGAAGCCCAAGGTGTACTGTTATCAGCCATGTTTGTTCTTCTACCAAACATTTAGATTTCCCGCCAATATTTACCCGCGAGCCGCAAAACATAAATGCATGAGTGTTAAATATTAACTGGACCATCCCTTGGCAAATATATTTATTAGTAGCAAATAAGATGTTGAACAAAAACCAAGAGATCATGGTCAAATAAAACGTAAAGATAATTTATTACAAACAGAAAAGAACTGTATGTTTGTTCCAATCGAAAGATTTTACAGTGCAAAGTTATGCAAATGATCTTTGACCTGAATCTGCTTTTGGTCGATGATAGCGAGGTCAGAGGATAACATCGACCGAAACTATTGGGCCAGTCATATTTAAGTGTCGATCCTCCTTTTAACGCCTTTATAACAGGCTAGATTTTTTCTTAAATATGTGATCTAGACAGAAATTAGTTTGTACAAGTTATGGGAAGAATACTTTCGCAATAAAATATTGAAGAATACGAAGCTTTATCGTCAGTCACACAGGTCACGGTCTCTTGATTCGCCGGAAACGAGCAGAAAAATATAAGACTCTCGCTACGATTCCGCTGACGTGTCATGGACTCATCTGGTTTGGGACGATGATATGTATTGCCTTAGGGGTGTTGTCAATTAATCAGATCGACCGAAACCAGGTCGACAACTTACGAACCAGCCAAACATTTCGTTAACAGCGCCATCGATCAAAATGTCATTACACTCGAACAAAAGACCCGCTTTTCTGTTCAAATCTGCCAGAAACTGGCTCAAACGCACTTCCTATTCCATGAGTACACTGTAAAATACGCTTTAACAAGAATAAGCGGAAGTCACGTTGTAACCTGCGGATACTCATACAAGATGCCGCTGATATGTCGTGGGCTCATCTGGTTTAGGACGATGTTATATAGTGCTTCAAAACCACCTCGGTCGAGAGGGACTGAGATGGAATATTTAATGACTTGCAAAACATAACCGAAGATTCTCGGAAATCCGCAAGTGATGTAGCCGAACATCCGAAGCTGTAAATCCCATGATTCTAGAGGAACAAACAGAAACAGCATAGCGAGAATTTTAAGTCGCGAACCATTGATGGTAGACATGCAGATAATTTAGAATACGTAAATTCTGTTGATGAGGCGTATAAACTTATTGCGGAATTCGAAACAGGATTGACGACGAAGTTTTCTTTCTTTAAAGCTGTCAAAGGTTTCGGGAACATATATATATATATTGATATAGCTCTTTAGCATTACAAAGCTTTGCTATCGCTATTGTGCATTCTCACTAGTTTATCTAGTTCAAGTCCTCTGGTATGGCTTGGATGATACCACAATTGTGGAATCATTCGAGTTAATTTAATGCTTACACCTCCTTCCTCGGACAGATGTCACAAAATACTGGGGGAAGATGCACGAGATATTTAAGGAGCAAAAATTCGTTTTTCACTGGTGTGCCTTTCCTAATTTTGGGAAGGAAAGTGTTCAATTGCCAGCACGGCATAGATAGAACAGCTGGAGAGAAAAGGAAACGAAAAGATGCAGAAGAAGTACTGTATATAATAATTTCTTTTTATCCTCAACTTTTGTGTTTCTGTCAACTATGGCTTGCTAATAGTCCTTTTTACAGTTCCTGGCGCCATATTGGATTAGTAACCGCGCAAACACGATAGCGAGGCTGCCGGTGACCCGATTCGGGCGTCACATAAGAGTTTGTTGGTGTTTTCAAGCATTTCGTTGGTTTGTCGAGTCTTTGGTGGGATGAATGAAAGCTTAAGCGTCGGGGAAACATCCTCCGCCCCTCGAAAGAGAAGAGGAAAGTATTGTGCAGCCTTTGACTGCAATAATAGCGCCTATAATGTAAACGGTACTCGTACAAGTTATCATTTCTTCGAGTTTCCCAAGGACGCTCAGCGAAGGAATCGGTGGTGTTCACTTATCAAGCGACGACACGGACAGGACGGCTTTGTTGTTTCCACCGCCACTGTCCTCTGTCATGAGCATTTTCGGGCAGAAGATATCTCGAAAAAACTTTCTGGTCGCTGGAATTTGAAGACAGGTTTGTGATATTGTCGAGCTTTTGTTGTGTGCGTTCGTGATTTGAACTATGAAAAACTCAAAATTCAAAGATATTTTGGTCTTTAGAAACAAGGATTCGTTTAATTTTTCCCAAATCAAAGATTTTGGTTGTTTTATTCGACGATTGTTGTTTTATTGTAAACTTTATGATTTAAAGTGTTTCATGTCTTGTGATTTTTGTCACTGAATGATAGAATATTTAATGTATGCTTATTAATATTGCTGGACTTCACAAAGGCAATCAATTTAATTGCAGATTAACTCATAATAAATAAATCTGAAATGATTACTGTCACATTTAATAAGATTAATTTTTTTTTTTATACAAGGTGCAGAGCCATGTATATTTAGCTGGACAAAGCAATCAAACCAAAGAAAGGCACCAAAGGAAAGAAAGATGGATGAGTCAACTGTTGGAGTAGCAGCATCAGCATTGCAGTTTGGATCCTGCTCAGTATTTTCTTCTATTGATGCGTCAACTGATGCTGCTCATTCATTTTCAGAGTGTGATGAAAATGCAGCTGAAGTGGAGTGCGAGTCCCCTCAAACAAGCCTGATTGTGTCCTTGAACTGCAAAGGAGAATTGAATTACTTGAAACTCAGCTAGCTGACTGCCAGGAAAAACTCAGTGAAGCAGAAAAGGAAAATGCTGTGTTATTGGAACGTCAATTTTCCATTGACAAAATTAAAGATGACAATGCTGCTGTTTTATTTTACACCGGATTCCCAAGTTATGAGAAATTAATAAGCTTCTACAAATACATTGAGCCAAAGCTTTCCAAAATGCAGTACTGGAAGGGTGAAAATCTAGTAAAGGAACGCCAGCCTTATCAACTTGATGATAACAAGAGTAAACCTGGACCATCAAGGAAGCTTACTTTTCTGGATGAGTTCCTACTGGTGCTCATGAGACTGAAAGCTGGTCTATTTGTACAGGACCTTGCCGACAGATTTGGCATCAGTGCCAGCCTGGTTTCCAGGATCTGCATCACCTGGATAAATTTGCTCTATCATGAGCTCAAGGACCTGTTTCCATTTCCCACACAGGAGCTTGTTCGCAAAAACATGCCTAAGGAGTTTGCCCAGTATGCCACAACCAGGATAATTTTAGACTGTACTGAGCTATTCATTCAGCGACCATCTACTATGCTGGCTCAGTCAGAGACATGGTCAGATTATAAACACCATAATACTTGGAAGTTGCTAGTTGGGGTAACCCCAAATGGACAGGTCACTTTTTTGTCAGATCTCTGGGGTGGGCGTGTGTCTGACAAGCAAATAACAAGAGAGAGTGGTGTATTAGATTTGTTGCAAGTGGGTGATAATGTCATGGTTGATCGCGGATTTGACATTTCTGCAATTGTACCTGCTGGCGTTACAGTAAACATGCCACCATTTTTGGCTGGCCATGATCAAATGACAGCAGCTGAAACTGAAGAGACTATGAGCATTGCTTCAGTGCGCATTCACGTGGAGCGTGCAATTGGCCGCATTAAGACCTACCACATTTTAGATGGTACCTTACCTAATACATTGAGCCCCTATGCAACACAAATTTCAACTGTCTGTGGCCTTCTGACAAACTTTTTACCCCCTTTACTACCACCGGCCAATCTTTGATTCTAGTTTTTGCTGTCTATTTATTATTAGGTAGAAATGTTTACTTTTTTTGCATTTTAAAATTGTGGCAGAAGCCCAGCTATCAGTCTAAGCCTGCTTCCTGTAATCAGCCCCTTGGGTTCCATTAATTTTGTATTCCAAATAATACCACTTGCATGTCAATGCATATTAATAACTATTGGGATTCCATATAGTAAATTATCATGGAACCAAAAATTCCCACTTTATTTCATTTAAAAATGAAATTGTACATGTATTTTTACACAGTGCATGCTAGTAATTTGTTCCCTTGAGCACAATGTGGCGGTACTTGCGCGTTGACACAACCAGGTAATCGTAAAGCTGAATAAAATTTAGTTCGGGAAGCTGACGTAAATCAGTGGACCATCCGAGAGCAGAGATTCGTCTTAAAGTTTCATCGTACTTGAAGTCACCACTATTTTCCGTTGTATTCTGGTGATCCTGAGCAGTATTATCGCTACTTTGCTGCTGATACTCACCCGGTCGTAGAATTTGCTATTTAAATTTATCCCCTCCATTTTTCTGGATATTGTGAGCAAAAACAAACAATTATCACAAAATGCATGGTATACAATGGTTTGATTCACTAATGTGGCAAAGGCATTTCACTGTCTATCCATAAAAAGGGAAATAGTTTGTAAAATGTAAGACATTCTGCATCTTGAGCGTATACTTATTCATCCATGTGAAATTAAAGGTTACTTGAAATAAATGTGAAAGATTTATAGGATTTTCAGACCCCTGATAACAATTACTAATGTGCTGATTTGTTGTACATAAAGGTTATGATTTTAGCGGAAATAGTGGGAGAAATTTCTGGACCTGGAATTTTGTTGCAAATGTCTGTTTAAATCAGTTTAGGTCAGTTAAAAACTCTCCTGTTTCAAGATTACATGATTACCACACCAGAACCTTTTGTATTCTATATTGTGCACCATGTTATGATTATGGTTTCAATAATAAAAGGTGCTGACTCAAGAACTTTGCAAAATATCTCTACATACAAAGAAATAGATTGCGGTTATGTACTCCAAATAGCAGGTCACATCAGTCTTCTGTAAAGAAGTAGCAGAAATTGCTATGGTGGTTTTGGTGGATGGAGAGAAACATCCACCAAAACCACTTTATTCTATGTGTTAAGAGTTATGATAATCATTATGAACGTTTGGTCGGTCAGCAATTGTGCACCACAAAAAATAATTAGCCAGAGCACTAACTGCTAATTAGTGGTATAAATCTTTTGTCTCCCTGAACATCTAACAGTGGCTATAGATAAAATTTAAAAAATATATTGTTGATGGTTTTGGTCAAAGTTTTGGTGGATGTTCCCTAATGACATCCACCAAAACTACGTAACATCTAAGCACCTTTTAAATACGTGAAATATTTGCATAAAATTGCGTAAAATGTTTTATAATACTACAATCGAACAATAAATTAATACTTACCATTTCTTGAGTAAAAAGTATTGACGCAATTTCCCAAACAAATGATACACTTAGGTCATCGGGATAAGTCGGCATTTTGTCGTGGCTCCGTAATTTTCATTTAGTATAACAAGTCATGAGTTGTCCATCATTCCATCTCAGTCTCTCTCGACCAAGGTGGTTTTGGTGGATGGAATCTAATGCTGACCGTGAAACTGACGTGACGTCATATGATCTCCGGCGAGAATCTTCGGCACAGTGATCGGGTTCCCATTCGTAAAAACAAATATGGCGGACACTAAAGCTTGAGGCGATTACCATGAGTACGGAGATTGAGGAGATGGTGTGAACGGTGAATGGTGAGTATATAATCTCTAATCATAATAACAATTGTAAAGAACAATCTTCGTATTATTTTGTTCATTTAGGAATTTGCAAGGAAATGCTCTTGTAATGTTATTCACATTTCTGAAGAATCGTCGTTTTGGTCGATGGAGAGATAGGCCATCCATCAAAATGACATAAGACTAGATGAAGGTGAAAGTTTGGTCGAGAGTTAGCGGTAAATATATTAAGGTCTGTCTGCCTGAAGTGCTGGTAGGCATGCTATAAGAAATTACCATCCTTGTTTTTATAAATTTACCATAAAAATTTCTTTACTGAATTTTCTTTTTTAGAGAATGCAAGATTAAACTTTTTTTTTTCCTAAAATGCAAATAAGGTCATAGCCTGTTAATGGAAACATGAGCTTACTAGTTACGGTACATGTAAATACAGACCAAACTAATATTGTTAGGTACACTTTTTTATGTTGACACAAATTTATAGAGCTAAGCTTCAAGTAAGCTTATTAAAATGTAAAAACTGAAACAGTAGATATTAACCATACAATATCATTTAAGTCATACAGTTGAAAAACAACTAAACTATTTGCCACCATGCAAGTTGGTAACAATGATTAGCCCTCAAAACAGCATAATACTCAACAAGTATAATTAAAGCAAATGCTTTACCAAACTTATTTTTTTGCAAAACACATGTGGTGGCAAGCATAACAGATGTGGTGAAATTTAAAGTTAAAAATAACTTTAAAAATTTTCTACAACAACTGTTTTTTTTCAAATTATTTTGTCTGTTGACTTTTTTAAACAAATTTCAGTTGGAACACTTGTAAATAGATTACTCGCACAATTATTTAAACTGCAGTTTGGTATCCTTTTTTTTATAAAAAATATTTTAAACAATATTTCACATTATTTTAAACCATTTTTGGATTACTTCAAAATTGTGTGGTTCCAAAAATAGATACCCATCTCTAGAAGATCACTATAAGTTGCAGCCACTGACTGTTTAACCAATATTTTTTTGGGAAACTATGGCGCTAAACTGAGATTTCTTAAAAGGGACTTTAACCTAAAAAAGCCCCTTCTGTTGGGTGTGAGGGAGATATGAAAATTTTCTGTAACACAGTTATGACAATGACCTTCACAAAAAAGTTCTGTGATGAAATTGCAAATGAGAGGAATGGTTTCAAGTGACAAACTTAAAATATCTGATGTCTAAGACTTGCATATGGCATTCTACATAGACAGTAGATAGCAACAGATGATTTGTTGCAGCTGATATGAAAAGGAACTCTCCTTGTTGTTTTCGGAAATGGCACCATTGCTCCATTCTCCAGGCAGCGGACATAATGTTGCCGTATAGATTTTTGTTCATACTTTTGATTAACAGGGTCTAAACCATGGCAGAGGTCAGTTGCAAAGGCCAGAGCAAATAGGCCACAATCATTGATACCTACTTGTCTCTGGACCTTTTCATTTATAAGGGTGATTTGATCCCCAGGAAACATCAACATGCGACAAGCATGTTTGATTGCTATTGAACTGGGTTTAAGGTAAAGGCTGTCAAAGATCCTTACAGTGCCACTAGCTGGTCTTGTTGCTATTGTACTGAGGCACACCCAGTGTGACCCAGTATTTACAATCTGAACAAAGTCAGATCTAGCAGGCACAACATGTGACCCAGTGATTGTTGTATCATTTAGGCCATCTAGAAATGGAAATTCTTTCTTTAGGAGAAGCTGCCCTGCATGGATTTCTGAATCTGTTAGCCAGCTGGTTTTGTTGAGAATACTACTTTTGCTTGCGTGATAAAGAATTAGTTTAGATTCAGGATCATCAGGATTGCAATTTTCTAATTTCACCCACAATGGAGGATCAGGAGAATCATCATTGACAATAATTACAGGTGATTTACAGGAAGGGATGACTGGATCACAGGGACTGTTGCAGTTGTGCTCATCTGTGTTTTCTTTAGCTGATTCACCAGATTCATTCAGGAGAGTGTGCTTCTGTGGAGCTGACTGTGGTTTTGAATTTTCTGTGGGTGCAGGAGTGGGAGCATCATTTATGCCATTGGAAGAGGATGTTTCACTATTCAATGTCGGCACATTCTGGGGTGGTTGTCCCCAGTCTCATCGTTGTTTCTTAGCTGGTGTGGAATATTTGAGGCCTGATTTGTTTTTTCTTTTCAGACTTTTTTTGGTTTGGGTTTTGTCAGAGGTACTAGAGGCACCATTCACAGGGACATTCACTTTGTAGTGCTTTTGCATCATAGATGCAAATGCCCCAACTCTGTTTTTGTACCGGTTTTTCTTGGGCCGCACAGGTAGTGGAAGGTAATGCCCAGCAGATGATTTACCATTTGACTTAACCTGTTTGTTGAGCAATGTCTGTGGAAAGTTTTCCTTTTCATCAATTGTTTGGCATTTTTTAAACTTGTTGACTAATAATTCCAGAGAAGTATTAAGTTCCTTAAGGCCATTTAAATTTTCAATGTTGTATGTTATTGATGTTAGCTCTTTTAGTTTCTCTCTACACACCATTGCTTCCTGCCTTATTGGGTCTTCAGGATTTCTGGCTCTCTGCCTGGGTATGCCAGTTCTTTGACCTTGTAGATCCCTTTTAAGATTTTCGCCAATGCCATTATTTCCTTCCTCAGTGGACTCATCGGTAGCGTTATATTTATTAGCATCAACAAAAACATGTTCCCAGTCTAGTGAGATGTGAGGGTTTTGTCGGAACTTTTCTGGTAATGCATCCCACTGCCACATTGGATACAGGTCAAATATTGCAAAAAAATGCTTACATAGCAGCCCAGTGTGGCAAAAATCAGGACAGGTACATCTTGGCATGATATTCTCAGAACCAAAAGAAAGATCGTACCAAACTTCATCTGTCTGGGACTGGACTTTGAAATTTCCACCTTCTTCTTCTCTGATGTGTTTTGATTGAACTTCGCTTGCATGTTTTATCTGCTTCTCACAGTGGTTTAGGAAAGGTCTTGGTTTGTTGTGCAGGTATTTGGGTAGGGTCAAGCTGTAACGCTTGTAGCCTCCACTAAACTTTGTGTTTAGCTCCACATACCTAACAAAAATAGAAAGAGAGAGGAAAAAGGTTGACATGCAAGCTGCTTAGATGGAGAGATGATCGCTTCCGATTTACTTAACGTTTTGATAGAATATGAATTGCAAGTTTGTAGAGGTATTGTTGTTGGGCCATTATTCTCAAATAGCTAAGTGAGTGAAAAAAAAAAAAGAGGGGATGAGGGGAAAGGCTCATTTTTTTCCATTGACCACCCACTTTTTCATTAGCCCCCGACTATTCAATAGCTTGAAACTGGCTATCTCTTTGCTCATAAGAGTCAAGTGACCTTGTCAATAATAATGAAAAAATATTGTGTTAAAAAATAGACTAATTCCTCGAAACCCCAAGAGCATTCAAAAATACAAAATGGCCAAGTTTTAGGGGCCTGACATTAGAGAGTGATTCTTTGTCGCAGTCTGAATTTTTGAGAAATTTTAAGGAATTGTATGAGATTCAAAAAATTCAAACACACTGTCATAAAAACTTCACTCAAACTGTGCAATTGTGCTTTTTTTTTGGTCATGATAAAGTGATTCCCCACCTCAAAATGGTTAATAGTGATGTTTTGTCTGTCTTTGACAGTTACTGTACCTTCTGTATTTGTCTGAAAAATACTCCTCAGTCACTACGGTAATCATCCCGCTAAGGCTGTTGTTATTGCGGTCCTTCAAATATTGGTATTTCAACGATTCATTCTGGTGTTCAGTTCCATTGTTGGTGTTGATACTGACCAGGAATCTGTCCTGCTTAAATGCCCACACCCATCTCTGTAACAGAACAGGTTACAGGAAATTTAATCTTTTCAAAAGTATTATATTTCTCCCTTGCTGCATGCTTGGGCATCATATGTTTATTGTGCCAAATTTATGACATAATAAATAATTACAAAATGAATCAATAAATCACTAATACAGTATTCAAATTGTTGTTGCTGTGTTACAAAAACTTGTAAAAAGTCACACCGTGCATTGTCTCCTTCAGGCTTTTAGATATTAAATAACAAGCCAATGGCGGCAATGACAATCCAACAGATGTGTACCTTATCAATATTGTCAATAGGTTTTTTTAATATCAAACTGCTAGTAGACATACGGACAATACTATGCTCTGTGGAAAACACTGACTGAGAATGGTCCTGCACTATTTACTGAAAGTGACAGAGAAAACCCAAGCAAATGTTTGATGTGTGTACACTACTTACCTTGGCCTCTACCAACCAGGTTTTTTCAAACCAATTTCTAAGCTTGGGATTGGCTAACCAAAGGTCACTCTCCTTAAGTTAGGACAGATTGTCTTGAAATGCTTCCTCTGTTGATGATTTGGCAACATTACGAAGCAGACTTAGGACCTCCTCCCTGCTCTCTGACAAACCATTTTCAGTTTTTCTCAGCCATCTCTCCCAGCTTTGTTCTCGGTGAAAGTCACAGATATATGTTGTGGTATCTATTAAATAAAAAATTAACTTCATAAAATCTTTATTTGGATACAATTTTTGTATTTTTTGAAAATATTGAAACCTATAAGTAAAACCTTTTCTTTATGACACTATATATATATGAACTGGTTGGTTATGATTAATGGTAAGCCATCCAGATTAAACAATTCTTATTATCTCCAAAGTTATAATAACTGTTCTACATGTTAAACCACATTTAACCATATTTTTTAATTTAGTCTCTAAAGTAGGTCTTCAACAAGGGGAAAATTGCAAAAAAAAAAAAAATATGCAGTTAGCCCTTGTGGTCAGCAAATGTATTAGGATGCTCTTATCAGCCACTCACATCAATTGAAGTCTAAGGTTAACATATATTTTATTGAAACATTCTTACCTGGGAATGTGCTCTCAATGGCATTAATCTCCTCCTGGCAAAAGTCAGTCATAAAATATCGTGGCTTCCAGCTTTCATTCCAATCTCGAAAGATTTCCAGTGCTTCCTGAATGGAAGCTGTTGTTTCCCTTTGAATTATAAAACATCCCACAACCGTGTAGTTAACATTTGTCTTGACAACCAGAAGAAATAATGGTAGGTCATATCTCATTGTCTTGTAGGTTGCATCAAGGAGGGATATTTCATTTCCATAAAGATTCATAAGATGTTTCTGCCAGGCTGTTTGATGTGCAAAGAGGAGTTCTTCAGTCTGCTCACAAGTCTCATCTGTTTCACTTCCTGTTTCGGCAGTAGCTGAGGTAGACAGAGCACTGGGTCAAAAATAGAACGAGTCCTCAGGATGCTCCTCACGCCAATTTTCTATTTTCCTTTGCAGGTTTTCCTGATCCACTTTGGACAGCAATTTTTTTACCGATGCCCGGTACATGTGGTTCCTGACATCCACATCTGTGGGATAGAAGCACCTGTTTGTGATAGGAGGTGGAGTCTGCCCTGGAAAAAGTTCACATTTCACAAACTGTTTAAGGTGTCTTTTCATTTCATCAACAGTTTTAACACCTTCACCAACAAGCTCTTCAATCTTGTCTACAAGCCGTTTGTCAATTGGTTGCAGAAGACCACCAACCTTATTTGTTGAAAAAGAAGGAAAAAAATTGTGTTAATAACTATACAAATATATAATTTAATATGTATAATTAATAATAATACTGAATGGTCGATGATCCGCACGAGGTCAAGCCAATATTGTGGAATAGTTGTCACTGAGCCTGAGTAGAGTAATAATTATTCTACTCAGGATGTCAGTGGCATCCGATTAGAGGTATATTGCTACTGACATGTATACTTTAGATTACAGTTTCTGGTATCGACTTATTACACTTTGCATGATGACCTGACTTTCCTTTTAAATTATGGGCACAAATTAATCAGAATGAACTTGTTTATTTTGTTGATCCTGTCTTAAAATCAAAATACAGTTTAATAGACAAAACGGTAGATTAAGAAAGTAAGTGACAGTACAGAAAAATGTGAAAAGGATGATAGCATCAACATGACACAAGCATGAAGCAAAGAAACAAAGCTGAGTCCCTGACAGAAATTGACCCATGACATCCCAAATGTCGGGCAGAAACTCTTTCCAGTGAGCAACAAGAACTCCCGGAGAGCCAGCCCATTTAACATGCATCCTGCATGCATACTGCTAGGTTCAGCAGTTTTATTTCCAAGCTTAAAATTCACCATTGTCTCATTTATCAGTACAGAAAAATTTATAAAAATGATCTTAGGTTTACTTGTAAGACCATTCATCGGACGGGTGCTTAACAAACCTCGCCAGTGATATGGTCTTTGTGTTCATCCTCCTTTGGTAGGTAGATATAGATTCTACGTTCATATGGAGGTTTTTGTCCACTGTTGGTATCAGTCTTTAGCTTTTTGGACATGTCCCATCGAAGTCTCTCTGTGTCATCCCTGATCTACTTGTAAAGAGTTATTGTTAACAAAACTTTTACTTGTAATTTAGTACAGACTAATAATAAATTATGAGTATTGAGGTTACTATACTTAAAAATATGTTGAAAACATCGCTATCAATAGCACACAGCAATAGTTATAGTAATAATAATAATAATCATCATCATCATCATCATCTTCATCATCATCATCATCATCTCATTGTTTACAGACTGAAGTACCTTGTAACTTGGATATGTAATAACTTCTGATAGACGAATACTTGCAGTGCACCCGAATTTCATGGTGTCTTGAGGTAAAAATCTCTTCTTTTTGAAGGAGTGATCGCCAGCCTGTAGTTAAGAAGAAATAATAATTATAATGTAAGAAAAGAAACAAACAAAAACAAAAGGTTACTTAGATGGGGAAGAAATAGATTTTTTTTGGAATTTTAATTTGTCAAAAGCATACCTTCTCATTGGCTTGTCTTGCTTTGAATGCCTTTTTTCTGTCTGGACCATGTTGGCAGTCAAACACCTTTGAGCCAATGATACTGAAGGGCACTCCATCAAATGGGATTTTGTCATCTTTAAAATAAACTTTTCTTGGCTTGGCAAAGGGATCTGTGACAACATCCAAAGAAGGAATTTTTGTTTGTATTTTATTTAATGCACTGGTCATTTTATCAAGCATTTCTGTTCTTTATTTCAAAGATTAAATGACACAATTTGTTTCTTTTTTTTACCTGCTTCACCTTTATCTAATATTCATCCATAGCCCTCACCTGCTTAACCCAAGCACGTAAGCTACAGTTGAATCCAGCAAGAACCCACACATTTTTTTTCAGATTAGGTGAAATTTGTTCTTAATAAAGTCAATAAGCCTATATGACAATACAAACATCAGCTAACCTTAGTTGTAATTTTTAGACAGATATTACTGGACATCCCAGTGAGAGGGAGGGGGGGTTCTACTCAATAATTTTTTATATAGGGGGGGATCTGTCCAGTGGTCCAAACCCTTATCTTTTCATCTACTACTTTTGACCTGAAAAAGGTAACCCTTTCATGCACAGCCTCTCAACATTCATAGTCCACTATGGGAGTAACCTCCCCCCCCCCCTACACACACACACACACCCATAGGTGTATGGGCGCACCTTTCGGACTTGGGAAGGTGGTGACCTTGACCTAAATTTTAAAAAAAAAAACTAACTGTTTAAAATTATCGTGTCTCACGAAACTAGTGTCACAATTCCAGAATCCAAATATGAATTCTTGAAACCCATTTTATTAATTAATGGGATTTTTTGTTTGTTTTCTCCATGTGCTTTTGCTGGAATCATGGGCATTTTGTCCTACCCAGCGAGCAGAGTCGATCTTCCTAGATCAGTCGGGTAAGAAGATCGAAGAGACTCTGTTCGCAGGGTAATTTTGTCCGAAAAAAAATTACGACTGGGGGCTGCCGCCTCCCCCCCCCCTCCTGTTCGTTCGCGTATGCCCCCCAATCTAAATGTATATTTTTCCCATGTTTGCATGCATAATAGACTCACCTCCAGCCCCAAACATCTTGTCAGATTTAAAACAGGAAAACTTTGTCGTGGTTTCTATCTCATATTGCTTTATCACAGCCATGGCTGCTTCAACTGACTCGACATAACCAACATACTTGCTTGTAGATCCTTTAAACTTCGGCTCCCACGAACATACCGCATGAGCAGTAGTACTCAAAGTACTGTTTAATTGTACAAGATCATCTGTGTGGCGTTCTTCGACATTTACTGGCGTAGCCATTTCTAAAAGGGTTAGCTGGGCTATCACAGTTCTTACTAAACTTCCAGATTTAGCGGTCGCGGAACCTTAATAGAAAATCTGCATTTACATATTTGAAAATGCCCGCCAAAGAACGAAGCTTAGCGGGAAAGAAATGCTCGGAAATCCGAGGGCAATGTTCGGCAAATTGTCGTTCATCGCCGAGTACGATCACCCAGCATGTCACGTCACTTTCACGGATGGAAGATTACGATCGAATATGCCATCTTTCAAACTGACGTTGATTCACCATTCGGTGATACACACCGGTATACGCACTAAAATATAAACAGTTACTCTCAGCTTTATTAAAAGTAACTCAGAGTTTTATTTGATGTACAAGGCAAAACATAAAGATCTGCAAAAGGTTAAGAGAGAAACATCCGCCATATTTGTTTTTTCTAAAGGAAACCCGAAACCCGAACCACTGAACCGAAGATTCCCGTCGGAGATCATATGACGTCACGTCAGTTTCACGGATGGAAACTAGAGACGACCTCATCATGGCCGCCACGTCATCTGTATGTTTCAAACAAATGTTCTTTATTGGGAGCCTCATCTTCTACATTTTAGCACCGATTCAAGGTAAGTTGAGTCTAAAGCTGTTAGGGTTTACGTGTAGTTCATTGAAATGAGCGGGAATCACTTTCTCCAGTTATGCTTCAAGTTAACGGGTTATGTACCAGTGTTCACTAAAAACCTACAGATTCACATAGTTGTTGTATTCATCTTCATATCTATCACGCGTCAAGAACTCCATACCTTTTTCACAGTTTCTCAGACTTCGTCGTGTATGTAGTGACGACTCTGATTTTTCCGAAAAATCAGAGACAATGTGCCAGTTTTTCGATAAACGTGGCTATCCTGTTTCTGTCGTTCAAGCGGGCCACCACCGTGCCCAACAAATCGATCGACAGTCAGCACTACAAACGGCTGAGAAGGAAAACACTGACCGCATTCCATTTACTCTTACATTTCACCCTCACAACCACGCAGTTAAATCTATCATTCTTAAAAATTTTAAATTACTCCAAAACGATTCAGAGACTGGCACTATCTTTTCGCAACCCCCACTTATTTCTTACAAAAACATAGGCAACTTTTTAGTCAGGAGTTCATTTCAAACCAGTGACCAATCTGGAACTTTTAAATGCACTCGCTCACGATGCAAAACTTGTCCTTTCATTCATAACGGGGATAAAAATATCGGGACCCAAGAGATCCATTAAGATCATTGATCACTTTACGTGTACCTCCGCCAATGTTATTTACTGCATAACTTGCACTTATTGCAATAAGTTATACATCGGCGAAACAGGAAGATGACTAGGTGACCGATTCCAAGAACACCTTTGCGATGTGGAAAGAAATGACAAGGACGCATCCAAACCAGTCGCTGGACACTTTAATCTTCCTAATCATTCTAAACAGCATATGGCAGTTTGCGGCCTTTCCTTACATCTAGGCAGTTCGGAAAGCCGTAAAACACTAGAACAAAAATTTATCTTCCAAATCGGCACCCTTAATCCCCACGGAATCAATGAGCGCTTTTCATTCAACTAATTTATTCCTGTTTCTGTCACCATATTCCCACCAATGGCGTAGCTCCACTTTCTGCATGTAAACCCACACACAACCCACAATTCCTCCAATCGCTCTGACGAAGGGCTAACGCTCGAAACATCAGCTTTTTTACTCTTTACGGTGGCTAATTTACATTTTCAACCCAGTTGTTAACACTAAATTACATGCTATACTCTCCCACCAATGCAGCACCACAGTTTCTTTAGAAACTTACCCCTTTATGCTTCAGAACTAGTAAGTATGCACCGATAAAGAAGTTCTAACATTGTATTTTGTGAAATTACTGGTTGTTGTTTAAGCTACAGTGTATCATATTCGAGTGAAGTTGTTCATCCATTGAATAAGGTTGATTTAGTAGTTCAAAGCTTCCTGCTTTTCTTGGAACCATTATATAAGGAACATAATTGCAGGGGGGACTATTTAAAACTAATTGCCAATTTTGACGGGTTCACATGGTTTTTAGGGGAACAGAGGGTGGATCAGCCATTGTGAACAGAGTGTAAAGGGGGAAACTATTTAAAATAAATTGCCAATAAACTGCCAATGAAGGGGCTTACAAGAATATTACAGTGCCTTGTGGGGGGATTTAGTAAATTTTATCATGATGCAACCAAAATCCTCACCTTCCCCCCCCCCTTCCCTCAAGGTAAATGATGATCATGTCTGGAATCAGGGAAATTATGAGAAAATCATGAAAAGTATCAACAAGGGATATAATAATAGGTTGGAGGGTGCAGTTTATTTATCGAATGGTAAATTGTTATCACTAGAATGATTGTTATCATTACCAATTATTTTTATTATTTTCTTGGTCTTCCATTTCCTATTTCCAAATAAATACATTGATTGATTAATGTTTTTTAGTTCTTCATTGCTGTGATTTCATTGTGGATAGTTTGTGGAGACATACACTTTACAAATGACAAGCTAAAAAATTCCATAATAACTTCTTTAGGTGATAATGTACCTGTATATGATGATAATGGAAAAAATACAGCTCACTCATGGGGTGCTCTGGGAAAGTCACAATTCCAACATGGTGAGTTGAAATAATACAATAATGTCTTTTATTTAATACCTTTAACTATGAGGAAATGTGATTCTCAACATATTTTTGCCTTTATGCATAGATTAACAAAAATCAGTCATTTAAACTGTTGTACTCTTCCATGCACTTGTTTCAGCCCATCCATTAGAAACTGTGGACATCCTGTTTTCAAGATCAAAGAGGGAATCATCAACAGATTTCCGCAAGTATGAAATCTTGAAAAATAACTACTCTATTATCACCCTTGGAAAAGAAGAAGATGGAAAGAAATTCTTTTGTAAGGAAAATGCTATTTACACAGCTACCTGCAGGGAGCGTTTCTCTTTTAGTTATATAAACAGCACCAATATGGCCTTCCAAATAAGAAATATAATGTCTCAAGATGCTGGCCAATATTCCTGTCAAGCATATTTCACTGGGGCTAACAAAGAGAACGACCCACAATATGAACATGTCTATTTGATAGTACAAGGTAAAGTATGTACATTTACCTATTTATAATCTGGTCATTCTTTCATGCAGTTTTCATTTATTAGCTACTTCTTTCATCACAATATTTGAGAAGTTTTCAATCCTTTTTGTTTGAGGTAAAAAATATAAATCTGATCTGCAGAACAGATGGGATTTTCTCAGCCATTCTCTTTGTAAATTAGTGACATTTTTTTAAATAACATGGGAAAAAAGTCCTAATTGTTCCTTTTGCTTCATTTCATGAGATTAAAATTCCTTCACTTCTGTTTATGTTTTTAATAACACTATTCGAAAAAGTGACTCACAAAATGACTGAATTTTTTTCTATTTGGTTGGCACAGAGTGTTTACTATTTGGAAATGTAGTCTAGACACAAAATGCAGTGCGCAGAATGCAGACTGAATTCAGAATACAGACTAAAAAACTAGAGTATAAAAATTATAATATTTTATCACATTTAAAGTCAACTTAGACGAAAAACTGGTTTTGTTTTTAGTCTAAACATGTTTTTTCCTTTTAACAGATTATGCTACAGTTCCCTCTTCTTTGGCTTCCACAGCTACAAGTGATCATTCTGGTTGGTAATTTGCTTATTAACTAAAAACTGGTACTATTGTAATGTATTCTTTAATTGAAATGGAAAAAAGTCTTAATTGTTCCTTTCTCTTCATTTGATGAGATTAAAATTCCTTCACTTCTGTTTATGTTTTTAATAACACTATTCGAAAAAGTGACTCACAAAATGACTGAATTTTTTTCTATTTGGTTGGCACAGAGTGTTTACTATTTGGAAATGTAGTCTAGACACAAAATGCAGTGCGCAGAATGCAGACTGAATTCAGAATACAGACTAAAAAACTAGAGTATAAAAATTATAATATTTTATCACATTTAAAGTCAACTTAGACGAAAAACTGGTTTTGTTTTTAGTCTTAACATGTTTTTTCCTTTTAACAGATTATGCTACAGTTCCCTCTTCTTTGGCTTCCACAGCTACAAGTGATCATTCTGGTTGGTAATTTGCTTATTAACTAAAAACTGGTACTATTGTAATGTATTCTTTAATTGAAATGGAAAAAAGTCTTAATTGTTCCTTTCTCTTCATTAGATGATATTAAAATTCCTTTACTTCTGTTTATGTTTGTAATAACACTATTTTTTAAATGTGAGTGACAAAATGACTGAATTTTCTTCCATTTGGTTGACACAGAGTGCATACTACTTGGAAATGTAGCCTAGACACGGAATACAGTGCACAGAATGCAGACTGAATTCATAATACAGACTAAAAAACTAGATTATAAAAATTATAATATTTTATTGCGTTTATAGTCTACATTTTGCACCCAGTCTGCTGCTCACATTTATTACTAACTGTTTTTTCCTTTTAACAGGTCACACTGTTCCTGCAACTTCAGCTTCCACAGCTACAAGGGTTCATTCTGGTTAGTAAATTTGCTTATTAACTGATAACTGGCAGAAAAGTGTAAAGTGAAAAAAATAAAATAAAATGAGGCACATTACAATGTAAAACCTGGGCCACAATGCCCAGAGTATGAGTTACTAAGAGTAGAATATGGTGGCTTTAAATTGCATAATAGTGAAACAATTAGCAAGGACTCTTGTACATGATTTTGTTGGGTGATTGGTTTGAAGTGCCCTGGATACCTGTAAAGGAATGGCAAATCAGGGAAGTACCTTAGATTGGCAGAGAATGCTGGTGTGGTATGAAATGGAGTAGAGTTGAAGAGGGTGGTATGGACTGATCTGCAACCCTAATCAATAACATATTTGCAAATACTTTTAGTGCAAATGCTACTAGTGGTAACTTAGTCCTAAGAATCTCTGATCATCTTCCCCAATTTCTGATTGTAGATAATGTTAAGGTAAATTATAAAACTCTAAACTATTATAAAAATGATTATTCCAAGTTTGATAAAGAAAAATTTATCAATGATTTCTCACTTCTTGACTAAGCTAACATTTTTAATAATAATTTAGATGCTAACACTAAATTTTGTTTTGTGTGATCAAATCTCCCAGTTTATTAACTGTTATGCACCACACTGGAAGTTCTCAAAGATTGAAATAAAGTTATCAACCAAACCATGGATCACAAAAGACATACTTGCTTACATAAGATACAGAGATAAGCAACCACATCCAAATCTGATATCTCTTCACAAGAATTCAGGAACAGTGTTGTTTAAGATATCAAAGCCAGTAAGTCTAATACTATAAGAATTACTTTTTGTGTAACTGTTACAGGAATAATATTTAAAAAATCTGGTGTGGAATTAGATCAATCATAAACATTACTAAAGTTAAAGTTGATTACATTCCCACCCTTCTACAAAGTGGCAAATCTACCGACAATCCCTGTGCTATTGCCAAGATTTTTAAAAATTTTTTTGTAAATGTGGGTAGAAACATTGACTAAGATATTCCACAGGGGAAGTCCTTTCCTACCTCTTTCCTAAATGGCAATTTTCCTTAATTGATGTTCCTTTCCCCTATTGCCTCATTTGAAGATTAGTCTTACATCTCTCAAATGGACAATAACAAATGCATTGGTCCTTGCAGCACTCCAGTCCCTCTGCTAAAAATTCTTAAAACCCATATTTCTCTACTTCTTTCATCCCTAATTAATGATTCTTTTCTCTGTGGCATTTTCCCAAATAAACTTAAATTGGCAACAGTTACTTCAGTTTTCAAGGCTCTAGATAAGACAAAGATAATTACCGTATTTACCCGTGTATAATGCGCGCCCGTGTATAATACGCACCCTAATTTTTGACCTCTTTTTTCCGAAAAAAAAGATTTCATGACAAATACCAAGAATTAAAACTTCCATTTTTTCACTTAATTAACAAGAGCTGGGAATTCATTAATAATATGTTTACAACAATTTCTAACTAGTTGCTACTACAAATATCGCACGCACCGAGCACCTATTTACAAGCTTTTTTATTCAGTAACAGTCAAACGTTTTATAAATGTTGTAACTTGAAGTCCTTATTAATATTCCTAAATTCACAACTTGAATTATTATCATAACAGCCGTTCATAAACATTATTTCTACTCACAGTACTGCTGGTAGCTTGAATATAATTACTGCATTGCAATTGCGTGATTTAAGTAAAATGTTCAGTGTCTTTAAACAACGAAACCTTCAAATTCCGACTCACAGTCCGATTCGAATAGGTTTCGATGACTGAATCCTCAAGTTCATCAGTGATCTCAGTTGAATTGTAAACCAATTCATCTTGTGATCCATTCGAATTGTTTGTGCACCCACACTTCAGAGAGAGGCAGCGATCATTTCTGATGGAATGCCTTCCCACGCTTGTGAAATATACGAACAGATCAGTTCCTCCGAAGCCTTTTTTTGTCGTCCAGTAAGTTCGTGAATTCCATCAGCCATCCACTCCTTTCGGACTCCATCTCTAAATGGTTTGTTCAAAGATACATCGAGCGGCTGGAGAAGGGAAGTTCGCGTTTGAAGGAAGTGTTCACAGTATCTGTCACGTGAGCCTCAAATGAGTCGTAAATAAGCAAGCTCTTTCTCCTCCCCAGGCCACCGATCCGTGCACTTTTACTTTCTTTGTTGCGTTTTTAACGTATGCAAAACATACATATACTTTATTTGTCACGTAGGTCGATAAATGGCAGCTAAAAAGCTGATGTGGACCTACAAAACTAAAGAGTGTCTACAAAATTTAAATAATAACAATAACAAGTAGCGAAATTATGGTAAGTAAGAAAGGATGTAAGACCTAGTAATATAATATACAGTTGATTTACAGTAGTAATAAAAAGTAATAAAATAAATAAAAGTAGTAAAATAGCTTTAATATATGTAATTTACAACGTCTTTATTTAGTCCCTGTAAACCATTAAATGTTATTTTATCTAAAATGTCGGATTTTGCTTTGAGAGCAGATTTGAAAGAAACAATGTTCGGTTTGCTCTTCAAGTACACGGGTAAGTTGTTCCATAGAACAGACGCATGGTGAGAAAAAGAAGATCGACGGAAGTCACTTTTAGGGCGTTGCACGAATAGCTTCAGATTGTCCCTTAGATTTCTCAACGGAGAGTGTTTAGTAAACAAAGAGCTTATAGCAGCCGGAGCTCTATTGTAAAATGCCTGATAGGATATAGTGGCAATCCTCTTTTTATAGAAATATGATAAGGACTTCCATTTTGTCGCTGCCAGAACTTCGGACGGATTAGGACGTGCTTGACAAACAATAGAATCCGTGTATAATACGCACCGCGATTTTGATGCTTGTTTTTATGGAAAAAAGGTGCGCATTATACACGGGTAAATACGGGTATAGGCCAATATCAGTGCTATCTGTTTTGAACAAAATGTTTGAAAAAGCGATGTATAAGCTCCTCTATGGTTATTTTGAATGTCATAATATTCTCTACTCACTTCAGTTTCACAATTACTATAAGCCAATATCTTCTGTTCATTCATATTATACAAGTCAATCACTGAATGAGAAACTTTGTAAACCCAGTTCAAACAACTCAATATAGTATTCATTCTCTTTGTTACACTGGTACCACACTCTGGAATTCATTAGCAATTAATGTTAAACAAAACACTCCTTTTTTTTTAGATTTTGCCAAAATATAAAGAATTCTATGACTGACGGTTATTATAGTGGTATTAATTCATAAATATTTTGTGTAAATATATTTTAATTCTTTGTAGTTAGTATGAAAAGTAATTGTAAATTGTTTTGGTTTCTTTTTTCATTTTCTTATTGTACTGTATTCTTCATATTGATGTTTGCAACACAACTTTCATTACTTTTCAGGCTGTCTTTCCTGTTTTGTTATGCTGGCAATGATAACCACTCTACAAGCCCTTGTGCCATAAGAGAATGTCTCCTGGGGAGCTCCAACAATGAACGAGTTGCCAGTAATAGGATCCCTCTACTATGCGCAAAGGGTTCTGGGATCACCACTGAGCAAATAACACAAATGGCTGTGACTCAGCAGAGGGGCATTTTGTTGC